AGCTACCCGACACAAACACCGCCGAGCACGGTTGTAATGAAAGAGGGAGGGGGAGGCGGGTTTCTTCACACGTTTCTCGGCCGCGTAAACCGACAAAACTAATTCCATTTCAGCCGAGCCAACGCCGAGTCTCTATTGGAAGGCGTGTTTATTCACGCTCGCTGCTTTAGCTGAATTCCGCATGGCAAATATTACAATATCAAGCCGCAACCAGACGCGCACCTGCGTCGCATTTGTAGGAATCCCCGCGGCTCGTATTAACTTTACAAAACAAACGGACGTCCGAAAAAGACCAACAAAAAAAAAAAAAATGTCAGCCGTGGCACCGCAGATCCATCCTCCACGCATGAGATGCAGGTGGATAAAACCATTGTGCCGTTTGCGGAGAGAGCAGGTAATTATTGTTGGCATTTTGACAAGTGTTTGCCAGAGTGAAGGTCAACTGTGTCTGCGTGGGAGATCTATGCTAATCTGTTCAGCTGGAAAAGACTCACCACTCACATGGTAGCTGCAGCACCATTATGCAGTCACAGCTACTGTGTTTTCACTTCAGAGATGTGTGTGTGTGTGTGTGTGTGTGTGTGTGTGTGTGTGTGTGTGTGTCTATAAACAGATCAAAGAGAGTACCAGGCCTTCCTACGGAGGAGAGAGAAAAGACCGACACACAGAATCAAGCAAACAGATTGAGACAAATGGAGTAAGAAGGAAAGGGAGGAGGTATATTTAAATATGTAATTTGGTTGCGTATAATCCACTTGTTTTTATGCGTATTATCAATGTGCACATGAAATAAACCGGCGCAGGGAACAGTCATACGGTAAGACAATGTTTTCGAGCTTGGCTAAAGAAAAAAACTGGATAAATCCTTAAAAACCCAATGTGACGAAATGCAACGGAAACAGACTTGATTAACTTACCATGACGACTTAAACGCACTGACGTTTATCTGTGTAACTCCTGATATTCATGAGACAGAAGAGGAAACAACCATAAATTTCCTTTGAATAAATTGATTTAAATTTGCCCATAACCAATATTCCTGTTGCCCCGTGTGTGTGTGTGTGTGTGTGTGTGTGTGTGTGTGTGTGTGTGTGTGTGTGTGTGACAACAGCAGAGGCTTAAACGTGGGAGAAAGACATTGTCCACGTCGACATCACTGCGCGTCTCCCTCAGGTGACAGCAGCGTGTCAGGGTCTCTGCTCCCTGCTTCCAGAAGGCCCCGCCACTTTGCTCCCAGGGTCCCAAAGTCTCTCAGCCCTCAATTGACCCAGGGCCTGGGTTCTCACGGCCTGGGAGCCCGCCGACTCATTGCTGTGGCCTGGCCTCTGGGGCCTTTGGGGCCTCAGAGGGGCTCCGGGGTCGCCCAGCCGTGACAGCGGAGACAATAGGAGCGTCCACACCACGGCTGCCGCCCACCACCCACCAGCCCCTCTCGACACACACACACACACACACACACACACACACACAGGCTCACTCGTCATGGCCTGGTCATCCTTGACCACAGTCGGTGGACAGCGGCCAAGTCATCGGCAGTCAGTTTTAACGTCGGACCCTTGCGGAGGGCGGTGATCAACTTGGTCACGAGGGCACAAAAGGACACAAAGGTGTCGCAAACCTGGGTGATGACGGACGTCCGTATCGTCAACGGAAAAAATTGAATGGCGGGAGGTGATTGCAGACACTTGATGAGGCACAAACAACCTTCCCACACACGAATCCGCCCACTCACTGCGAAGTGAACAAACATGTGGAAGGAGGGTGTGTGGATCAAATCCGTCGCCAGTTACAAAATGTTGCTTCGCGGAGAGCCAAGGCAACATTCACCCCGACCGAATTTGATTTACGTGTTTTGGAAATCGCATTGAGATCGAGAGGCAGCGAGACAGCGAAATAAGTTGAGTTCTAAACAACACGTTTCAACGTTGGTCTTAACAGCTTGGCTGCCACTTCATCAAATATTGAATAAATCATTTCTTGGCACAGTATGAACACAGCTGCAAGAAGAAAAAAAAAAAACACACACACACACACAACGTACACACATCCGCACACGGGCACACGGACACACAGAATGCCTTGTAGTTTTGATAAAGCGGCAGCTTTCTCTTTTGTCTTGCAGCCGAGCAGGGATTAGGCAGCGCCGGTCTTTGTCCTGCGGTTTTCCAGTTGAGCAGAACACAAGAGCCTCTACCTCCACTAATACAGTCAGACCTCCCAGCAGGCCTTTCACCACTCAGCCGCTAAGAACCTGCTGCCCAAAAGATGCTTTTCAATGAGTTATCAAATCTCCTCTATACTGTCCATGCCTTTCAACCGAGTCTCTTTGTCTATTCTTTTCAATGGAGCATTGAACGCATCAAATACAGCTGATGGGCCGATAGATGGACGGCAGAACTCTGGAGGAACAGCAGTCAAGGTCTAATGTGTTGTTGCATCTCAACGCACATGCAGCGAATGTACATGCAAGTATTTCATGCATCAACATTTATGGTCAGTGTTTATTATTCAGAGTAGTTTCCCAGCAGGGAAATAAATCACGCAGCATTTTGGCTTGTTTCAGAAATGAAATGGTCATCTGAAACCATTCCAGTTCTCAAACGTAAAGATTTTCAATGTTTAACAACTTAAATAGCGCCGGGTTTCAGACTGTCGGTTAGATGAAACACAATATTTAAAAGTGTCACCTCAGGCTCTCAGAACTTGTGGAAGTAAGTTACTATTTAGTGTCACGTTTCAGAGCAAACGTACATCTCTAGAGGATCACGGATCATTTTAAAGATATCTCCAAGCACTGCTATGCACAGGACATTTAACTTTACATCTCATTCATGCCTCAGCATTTGAGTTATCGGGGTGAATACATGCACACGGGCATCGCAGACAGAGACATCCATACCGACATGTGGGTGTGTAGTCCTTCTGATCAGGTACTTTCACGGCCCCACACAACTACAGTCACGAGAGAAAATGGGACATCGACTTTTCCATCGACAAAACATCAAAAGTGTAATTAAAGATTCTTTGTCTTTAGCTGTTGATTACCAAACCTATTTTCTACCAAGAGAAGGGCCCATGGACTGAATTGTGCAATTCAAATAAACTAACTTGCACACTGATGTACAGTAGAACATGTTGCAGGTTGCGTGCAGACTACATTCGGGGGGGTGGGGAGGGGGGAGAAGGCTTCGATGAGTTCATTAAGAGGCCACGTCATTTATGCGCGGTCACACGTAAGGCGACGGTCAGCCAGGATTCCCCCAGGTGGCCGCTGCATGTGGATGTCAGGTTGATTTTCAGATTCCGCTTAAAGCGCGCCATTCGCTCCTCAACGTGTAACCGCTGGGAAATCACGACGCCGCGACCGCATTGTGTGGCGCTCGGTGTTCGGCGTGCATGTCTGGAGTTGGACATAGGTAGAAGAAAATGATTTGAAACACTAATAAAAAAAAGAGGTTTTCTGCATTAAATGGCAGTAGGAGAATGGGAAGTCCAGTCCACTTCACACTGTGGTAGAAACAGCAGGTGGGCGGGGGAGGGGGGAAGCGCAGGAGATGGAGTAGGATTTGATCTAAAGTCAGTGGGGGCACGCGTGTAGCCCCCGAGACAGAGGATTTAACCACTCCGCTATCTGCAAGCAGCGTTTTTCCATTTTGACTGCGTTTCAGAGGTGAACCTCACAGTCAGCCGGGATTTAGGGACAACAACTCTGCATCTGAAGCAGTTTGATAAGATCCTTCTGCAGCCTTTCACCAATCACCATTCATAATGCATCACCACGGGTCAGGCTGATGATCATGTTGACTTAACATTTGGTCTGACATTTCAGCCCCCTCATGCCTGTCATTAGCTCTCGCCACACGCCACCTCATCAAAGTCAGTCACACAAGACGGGAGGTGGAAAGAAATAAATGAAGATGAGGGAAAAGGGATAAAAATGGAAAGAGAGACGAGACGATGATACAATCAGATCATTGCACATCGTGCAGGAGGGGTAGATCGGCCATAGTTGCGATGTTTGCTCATTTTGTTACACAAACGCTGCAAAAGTGAGGGATGAATACAGATACACACTGCAATCCAACAAACGCACACAGGGGGGGGGGAAACAAACTCACAATCGAAATCGCTGAACCGAAGCTCAACCCCCGGCCCAACCTTTCTTGCGGTGAATCTGTATCATCAGCCATCACCCAGCACGACCCTGATAGGAGACGAGTCGGTGCCAAAAAATGTCACCGCGCAGAATAAAAAAAAAACCGGAGCCGCAACGCATTTCAGCCAATAACAACACCGGCGTGTTGATTCCAGCGGGGTGATAGTGGGTGATATTGACTGTTTGGGAGTATTGCCGTGCTTCTCAAAGTCATTTCCGACCAAAGCAAGGACATGGACACACATATCTCTCACACACAGGGACGCACACACACACACACACACACTGATCCGTCCGGCAGATCGGAGGGCAGGCGATAAACATGGGAGTTGAGAGGCATATGACAACCCTCCTTTCTGTGGGTGACAGCTTTCCATCAGTCCACATCAGACAAGTAAATACATGCAGCTGCACACACAGAAGTACACACTCTGACTGATTGGCCAGTGAAAGCCTGTTTTCACAAATAAGGTGTCCCGTACTCCCGTACTCTGTACGCGTGTGTATGTGTGTGTGTGTGTGTGTGTGTGTGTGTGTGTGCGTGTGTGGAGACAGACCCATCACCACAGTAATTGATGGTCATCTGTCATTGCACACTCTTGATAATCTTCTTTGGGACGGGGGCTTTGTCGGAACAAGAGGAACCCCCCTCCCCCTATCTACTGTATCTGGAGAGACTAATCCGTGTTGTCATTTTAACACAGACGGTGACTGAGTGGTCCGGCTGGTGAAAATGAGATGAATCGCAATGAGGGTCGTCAAATGCAATGCAGTGTAATATATGATAGAAGAAGAAATATATATCTATATACAGCATATATAGATGTATATACACTGATCTTACCTGCAACTTGAACCAGATCTGCGGTGGTCACGTTCTTGGGGTTGGGGCCAATTCTGAAAGTCAATGCTGGACCCAAGACACTGCAGCAAACAGCAAAGAACAGCAAAGAAATAGTTGCATTTAGAGGATGTGTTTAACATCTGGTGAATATGAGTCTTAGGCGTCTTGCTACGAGTTAGACGACAAGATCAATGCAGCTCTTAGGGCGGTTGCAGGTATGAAGCGGGAGGAAGCGCTGGCCCGAGTCACGAGTGTTTCCGATATGTTTGCCTGTTGTACATCTCACACATGCCTGGAAGAAACGGTACGTGTAGGAGTGTAAACTCAAAACAGAGCTTTTTTTTTTTTTTTCAAGATTGAGTTACGACATGACAATAGCGATTCTTTAATGGGCTCTAGGTGAAAACGTCCCGTCTCTGGCCTAAGATAAGCTAACTGGTTTCATACCACATTCAATGGAGAATTTTCCGGGGTACAAAAAAAAGGTGGAACTGATGAGAACAGAACCAGACGCCATACTAGAGAAAGATGTCGTCATTATCATCATGAATTCTCTTTCCCTTTTCAGTTTGAATCTGGCCCGTGTACAGTCACCGTGTGTTCTGTTACTCTGCTCGGTCGGGTCAGAAGTCAGCTCCAGACTTCTTTCCCTGGGGCAGAATAAATGTTTGAGGTCCCCGAGGTTAGCCATGAAATAAAATAAAACAACCCCATCAGACTCGGTAAGAACTCCCTGCAGTGGTCAGGAAATACTGCAAATTCTGAAGCAGTGTGCGGAGACTAAATCATACCCTTGTCTACTGTAACCTCTTAAAATCCCAAAGGAAGGGATTGAATTATGTTTTTTTTAAGAGAATGTGACTTCAGAAGGGCCTTCTCGGGAGGGCTGACGTTCAAAACAGGTTTAAACAAGCCTAAAATAAGCATGGCATCCCCCGCGAATGATGAAGACCCTGTCTGAGCCAATCGGTAACTAGTATGGCACATTACTTTTTAGCTGTAATTGTAATCCCCCAATGGGCCGATCAGGATGATTCTGAATGCTGTGACTGCAGCAGTGAGCTGTGATTTTCGACGAGCTTTATCACAATTAAATCAGAGATGTTGGAGAGACTGATAATGAACACATGGCATGAGTGTGAACAAATGATCAAAGCGGGAGTCAGATGCATCACTCTCACACGTTGAAGGGAAATCTTAACAGGCCATTTAGTGAGAATGAAATTCCAGAACTGAGATTTAGTCTGCGAAAATCTGCATCTTATCAAGTACTTTGAGTCTTTTATTCGGTTCCAAATGTCCCCCAGGGAGGTGGGTTCGTTCTCAAGTGTCCAATACAAACCAACTTGTTTCAACAATCTTGTTGAAGCAAGTTATATTTTACTTGATTCTAGTGCAAGCTTATAGAGACTTTAAAAAAATGACACTGCTTGGGCCTTAATACAATACTTCAATTAATTCATTTTTTGAGCCCTATGCCGCATGGTACTTGCATGTTTAGCCCATTGACTGCTTATATATTAAATACCACATTGTAGCTAACCTCTGCACACCTTGCTGCCAATTTAGTTACAGTACGTGCAGTTCTGATAGCCATTGACCGCCATTCATATTGACTCTTGAATGCTGCTTAACATGTATAAGCCATTACGGTAAAAAGCAAGGTTGCTTTCATTTTCAGTTCATGTAAAAGACTTCACTATGCAAGGATACATTAGCAAAACTAAGTGCATGACGTTCCGAAAACTCTAGCCATTGTCTTTCAAAAATGTAAATCAATGGCTACTTGGAACAGTGGATAAAATAATAGATCTCGGACAGAAGGCATTGATAAAACCTTTAAATAAATGCAGATAACATATAATGTGTTGTTAGTCGGCATGAATGGGTTTATTCTGTGCAGTTTTCACTCTCTTTCCAGCAGCTTGTGAGGGAAATGTCAGTCGGCTAAATGCTCCAGTCGGTTCACTAGCGCATAAACTGTGTCCGTCTGCTGTGTGGTGCTGAGCAGGTAGTGGAAGACAGACTTCTAGAGCTTTCTTTATTTTACTATATAAGAGAATGAGCTGAGAATGTTCTCAGTGGGTCATTTTATAGACATACAAATCTTTAGTGTACTTCTGCAGAGTGCACGGCGGAGAGGGCGATTCATCAGAGTTCCAGAGTGCTGTGACCCCGACCCACTCACCATCACTCAGCCCCACTGAGCCAGCAGCGTCCGCCCTGCCGGGGGGGGGGGGGCAACACGTGACGGGCAGACTGACGAACTCGACCATGCACGATGCATTTTTGATCCTGATCACACACGCATGCACATGCATGCATGCGGCTCAAAAGGAAGTGTGTCCTTCTCCAATAACTTCACCTAGGCTCTGTTTGCTCTCGTAAATGTCAATATTTCCCCAATCTTTTTTTTCTTCCCCACCAGCCAAACCTGGCTGTGTTTTCACCACGAGTATATTTAAATAAGGTATTTAAATATACAGTCGGGGTGAAGTTAAGACGGATACGTTTTCTGGAGGACTTCACATCGTGTCCTGTGTTATTGGATGTTTGGGCTCAGACTTCATATTAGCTCTGCTGCTGGGACCTGATGAGTATATATGTGCAGAGTGGATGGCGGGATATTGGCAGTGTGTGTGTGTGTGTGTGTGTGTGTGTCTGCACAGGCTGCGTGTGAGGACGGACTTGTGAGTGTGTATCCCGCTCCCCCTAGTGTTCCCGGCGAGAAAAGCACTTACGTCATCTGAGAAAGGCACATAGTATCTGTACCCCTGAACATCATCATCCAAAACTAGAATTTCACATCTCCTTTGAAGGGAGAATATTCTTCTGGAGCAGAAGCCTCGAACAGCGCATAGAAATCTGGACAACACCGAAACCTTCCGCCTCCTCGTCTCTGTAATTCTTCTCCGACTGCCTGTTGTCATATTTGAGTATCTCGTCTTCAGTCTCCCTACCAGTGCTCATCAGAGCGAGCGAGCGAGGAGAGAGTGCCCCCCCCCCCCACCCCCTATGAAGCAGGGCGGCATGCTCTGACCCAGCTCTCCCTCTCTCTCTTCGACTCATATTCAGACACAGGCTTTCAAACACTCACCTGCCGGGGCCACACAGCGAGAGGCACAATGGGCTCTCGTCACGTCCTCCGTCTTGGCTATTTCTACTCGAATGCACTTTCATTACTTTGTGAAAAAGGAAAGAGAACGCCGATAGACAAGCCCTGAAAAAAGGACATTTTTGTTTTTGTCTCCTGATTAGAATACTGTGATCCACATGAGGGGTGATCTGTCTATGAATGTATGCAACAGTATGCTTAAGTATTCCTATTTTATTCCTTCATACTACTAAAGACTGAAGAGGAAATCGTTGTACTCTTAAGTCAACTATAATTATTTAACAAAATATCTAAGAGTCACTTTCGGGATTCCGATTTTACAGATATCTTATCTGATAATTTGTTAGATCAGACTGCACGGCCTGCAGCAGGATACAAGACGGAGGAGGAAAAGCAAGAGATCCAAACTAAATAAAAGCCCAGATTTATATAAATAACATATAACACATCCAGATAACAGTCACAATCACCACGTGCATCGTGAGTTGATTCTCAGCGATATGAAATGACAGATGCAATAACCAGATCGGCCCAATCAGTGCCGGCAGAGTGACATGTCCCGGTGTTCTTCCTCATCGAAACGAAATCCGAAGCTTTCGTTTCCAAAAATGGGACGCCTCCGTTTATTTTGAGCTCACTGTGTATTTTTCAATGTTGAGCACTCGATACAGCGAGGTACTTTTTTTTTTTTAACCTCGCAGCGGCGGCTATCGGCAGCAGCAGAGTACGACAGTAACAGTGCAGCCGCAGACTGCAGTGCAGCGGCTTCGCTGGCGTTCGCTATGCTGCGGGTGTCACTGAACCAGACTTCCCTTGAAAGGCTTGTCAGACCTCAGGCGAACGCGGTCTCCTCTGCCTCCGACGTGGTCCCACACACCGGATGCACCGCAGGGAACGCGGTGCGAGCGGGAACCGACCCGGGTTCAAGGACGGTCCGTTCCGCTCACTATTACATTCGCCGCCTCCTGCCGGACTACGTTTCTCTATTTCCAGCTCTCCATCCACCGCTGCCCCCTCTCCTCTCTCCCTCTCTCTCTTGCTCGGTTTTGATGGCTTGGCTGCTCTCTTTTTCGACGAGCTGTACAGTGACAATGGCGGCGAGGCAGTGCTTTGAGCACAATGGAGACACATCAGTATGTGCCTGGAGGTAATTAGGCCTGATTTCTCTCCCTGCGAGGAGCCAAACACTAAAAAGGTTTGAAAGAAAAAAAGAGACAAACGCCTACGGTCTCTGACAGCGTGGCACAACATTTTGAGGGTTTTAAGGTTGTCCTTGAAGCCTCTGTTCCTTGAGCCCAAAGGAACTAAATATATGCTTTTAAATGCGCTCAATTATCCTTCATGCAATGTGGCGACGCGTGCACGTGTAGTGGGTGTTTGGGTTCGTGCACGTACGAGAGCTGGGTGAGGTCCGCGGCGTGGAGGTTCAGCCTCTTCGTCAGCCGCTCCATCAGGTCCGAGCCCTGGTCGCTGGTGAGGGCGCTGGGGGGGGGGTGGGGGGGGAGAAGAGAATCACACACAGACAGCCAGGCGTCACGTTTTTGAGGTCCGCACCCATTTGAACGAATATACACAGCCATTCAGCCGTTAAAATGCAATTTCTTTCAGGTGGATACTAGCACAATTCATACCCACAAATGGGTTATCGCGTACAAGCACGGCCCCGGTTTGTCTGAATGGACACACTAGCAGACAGACGCGCACAAACAAACACACAAAGAAACGTGCCAAGGGATCAGCTGCCTCTTCAGGCTTGGTAAACCACCTGCTTTTTTTTTTTCTTCTTCTTCTTTTCAGCAATGAGACAAACAATAAGGTGCAAATGAAACCTGCATGAGGTGTAATGGTTGCATCATATGGACGCGCCTTTGTCTCCGCTCTCATCTTTCTTTTTCTTTCGCTCGTCATTCTCTCGCTCTCTCTGGCGCGCACAAAGTAAAGCGCGATAACACAAAGTACACAAACAGACGGGCACGCACGCGCCCTCATGGTGGGATGAGAGTAATAAGGTGCAAATGGAATGGAGGTGAAGTGTAATGGGGGTCTGATAAAGCCATGCCTCATCTCGGCTCAGTCTCTCTCTCTCTCTCTCTGAGAGCAAATCGCCCAGGAAATGGACCAAACAAAGGCAATCTGCACGCCGACGCGCTGGCTGGAGGAAACGAGGAAAGGGCATTCACAAAAACACGCAGAAGGCTACCTCAGCGCTGGCAGCTTAACCTGGAATCACAGGCGGTGCCAAGTGACCGCAAGGTGACACGCACCAGAAAGTCGGCGGATCATAACGGGACATTGTTTTGTTAGCGGGGGGGGGTGAGGAGAATGGAACTGGGAACCAATTCCACACAACATCGACGATTGTTCTCACTAAAATACACTATTATACCGGTTATTCTTTTGTTTAGCCTGCATTTGACACAGCAATACAGCAGCTTCCACCCCCCAACAGTGTACTGTGCATGCGTAGCTGATTCACTGGGTGGCTCTTTTTTCCCCACACTGTTTCTAAGGGATTTTGAAAGTTAAAAGATTCACCGAAGCAATTCAAGACACGTTTGCATCCCTCTGCGGTAATTCCAGCAACTGGAGAGCTCCAGGAGTGACTTGGTTGTTGATGCTAGCACTTTCCCCCCTTGGGTTCCTCTGTCTTTTTCTCTTCCATCCAAACCCTTCCTCCCTCACACCCTATTCCCCCCCCCCACTACCACCACCACAACGTCAGGAGCTGTCAGATAAGCAAGTTTAGGGCAGCCTCTCTGCAGGGCGCGAAGGAGCCGCGGATGACAGCCGTGCAATCATGAGGTGTGCGGCGAATGCAAACCCCTCTGTAGACCGACTACAGGTGACCGCTCAGTGGGCTGAGGACAGACGGGGCGGAGGAGGTGGGGATTTCTATTCAGGAGGTGACCTTTTCATTTCCCCTTGGCACACACTCACCTCCATTGCGTGTTTTGCGTCTTAATCGGCGTTCCTTATATGTGAGGCGGTAGCGCCCCAAAAAAAAAAAAAAGCGAGCGCCGCGTGTCGGGCAGGTGAAGGACGACCCACTGACTCGATAACCTCCACGAGGGGATTTGAGAGAGGAACCCGCGGCGAAGAGAGCCGATAGGAACTTCTCTTTCCCGGGCCCGAGCTGACTGAGAGGTGAGAGCGACGGAGAGGGAGAGAACTTGGCTCCCTTTCATGTCAAAGTATCATCATCAAAGCTGTAATACGCCTCGGTAGGGCCCACACACAAAAGGGATTTATCGCCTCTGCTGCTGCAATCGGGTGCAGCGCAGTCAGCAGACGCCAACATATATTTGAAATATATATACATATATATATATATATATATATATATATATATATATATACATATATATATATATATATATATATATATATATATATATATATATAGTCAGAAACGGTGTGTGTTAAAGGCAGTTTTACGTAACTGCACAAAGCACACATGCAGTATTAGGGTACGCAAGGAGAAACTGGTTAGCGGGAGCAATAAACTATGACGTGTGAAACAGCTGATAATAACCACTTAAGAGCTTTTATAAAGCTATGGACATACTTGATACACCGTAGCAAAATAAAAGAGGCCCATACGTCCCTGTGGATTATTTTTTGGTTGTTGTTTTTCCTACCCCCCCCCAGCCATTGTAATAGATCCCTACATGTGATGTACATCTGGATCCATGGTTCAATGTATAAATGCACATGTGTAGCATTTGTCTCCACACATGGGTGTACATGTATGTCTGCATGAATGTAAGGCCAGTTGTTTTTAGTTATTCCACAACACGCTGATGATTTGACCTTGAAGGCCGCTGGATATTTAATGTGGTTGATATAAAAGGAAAGACTAGGACATTAAACATTAAACTTTTTAATATTGCCACACTTAACATCTGCCAGAAATGTCCGGGTGGCATAATAAAAAGTCAAATTTATGTTCTGTCCTAGTCTTCTATTTCTATATGAAATCACAAAGAGGCTTTTAGTAAGTTTGATTCGTTTTGCAGTTACTACAGTAAAAGTGAAAGAGGTTATTGCCATAATGAAGATGAATCTATTGACAGTCTTGTTTCTTGTCCCGTATCGCTCCACTTACAGTCTCACGTGAATAACCTTTATACAAATACACAAGGCTCAGCATGAAAACACTGACACAATCAGGGATAATTGTGATACATTGATTAAGAGCATTATTAATTAGAAATGATGAATAGATGCGAATCCTACTCACTCTGAGCCCGTGATAATGTAGCCAAAGTGTCTGTCCTTCCCTCTGCTAGAAAACTCCTTCACCCCCACGTGGACCAGCTGAGTTTTGATCCTCATGTCCTTCTTCTGTGGCTCCTCCCCCTGCTTTCCCCCCTGCATCCACCTCTGGATCTCTGAGTCCACCTGAGCGTCGGGCGCATCCGCAGCGCCGGCCAGACGCAGGGTGGAGCCTTCCTTCGCGGGACCGGTCTTGTCCTCCCAGCGGAGGGGAACGGACGCCTGGCCCTGCGTCGTCCGGCTTTGGACATTCTCCAGTCCAGCCATTTTGCGGAGGGGAGCTGGTGGCTCAGGGTTGACCTTTGGAGCGTCGCCGAAGGCCTCCAGGTTGAGGTAGTCCAGCAGCTTGGAGAAGACGGCTGCGTGCTGCGTTGAATAAAATTTGTCTTTTGAATAAGGTGGGCGATTTTACTTTCTTTCAGGGATACATTTCTTTTTAAAATATATTTTTTTTAATCAAAACCATGAAAATTTAAAGGGATACATTTTTGTTGCATTCACTGACATGTTTATGGCTGAGCGCTGGTCTCTAAGCTTCCATTTGTAAAATATTTTAGGTTAAACAAAACTCAAGGATTTTTCATTGGATCCTGCAGTTGCTTTGAACACAACATTTGTAATAATTCAAATAACGTGTAAGTCTAGACGTGTCTCGCTGCCTGAGAAAAACTATTTGTTGCTTGAGCAGAGTAACTTCAAATTCACCTCGTCAACAGGCTCTTTGGCTGCACCATCTATTTGTTGGCCTGGAAACAAACACAGTTTATCTTTGTTAGAGAGCAGATTGTGTGAAAAAAGTTCTCTTTTGTATTTAGCAAAGAAAGAAAACAGTAATGACTCAAAATGAAAGACTCCAAAATACATTTGGCAGCACTTTCTGTGAGGATTACACAAGCAAAGCATTAGTATTTGTTAATACTTAGAAAGCCTTATACTCTTAGTATATATGGCAGAAAAAAAACAGACTTGTAGTCCAATTGTTGCCAGCTTTTATTTTTTCGACAGAACAAACACTCACCTTGCTGTTTCCTTCTCAGCGGGTCTTCCTGGTTTAGCTCATTCCCTCTGTCGGGTTTCAGGACCTGGGGTTGACTCTGTTGCACGGCTGCCGGTGTCTGCCTGTTTCCCCCGATGCCCCCCTCGGAGTCAGCGGGTCCCGGTCCTGGCTGGGCCCCAACCACGGGCCGCTCCTCGTGCACCTCCTGCAGGACCCCTTTGATGACCCCCGCCAGCTGGTCCAGATCTTTGCCCATCAAAGCCTCCATGTTGACGCTGTGCCTCCCCAGCTGGTTCACCATACTCTGGATGAATCGCTCTGGACGGAAAAAAAAAAGGAATTAGAAGAACCTTTAATGGGAATACCGCGGCGCAAACATGAAAGCCCCCGGTGTGAAAAGGCGCCGCTTACCGTCCATGACACCGTGAGGCCCTTCGGCGTTCGGTTGGTTTGAGCCGGCCGTGAACAGAAGTCGGTCCGGATTAGGCTTTTGGGCTTTGGAGCCAAAAGCCACGCGAGACAGCGGTTCTTCGTGGTCATTGGGAGCTGGCCGGATGTAGCTGAGGTAGTGGAGCTTCCCTCTGGGCCACGCGGACTTGCCGCTCGGGGCACCGTGTTGAGTGCTTGGCACCTTGGCAAGGAGCTGCTCCAGATGGCTGTTGAGCAGTTGGCTGCCTCCTGGGTCCCGGTTGGAGTAGGTTGGACTGAGCTTGGGGTGTCGGCCCTCTCCGCTCTGGGTGAAGACTTTTGTGACTGGAGGTTGGCCAGCCCCCTTCTGATGGCTGTAGATGGTGGTCTCCTTCCACCCCGGCTGGGGCTTCAGTCGGCTGGGCTCTAAGCGACCTTCAGACTTGATGTCTTCATTCTGCAACACAAAATGCCACTGAGCACATTCGGGGCTCTGTTGATATGTCAAACCCCATTTTGCGATGCTCGCGGTGGGGCTTTGGGGATGACTGACGGTCCGACAATTGATCTGCCACTTTGGTCCGGACTATAATATCTACACGACTCAGATACCGGAGGATGAATCCCGATGGAATCAGTGACCCCTGACTTTTCCTCAAGCTCTACCATAGCTTTACATTTGTTGTTTATGGTACCAAACTACTGCAAATATTTGCTGTACTTTGTTAAATAGCCATTTTGCGTTAGCGTTAGCATGTTAAAGTTGGCATTTGCCCATGTACAGACACATAAAGTGTCCTATTCATCTCTCTAAAGCTAAAGTGACAACATTTATGTGATGAATCTACAGCTGGAGCTCTGCACCCCCCCCCCCACCACATCCCCCATGAGGACATTGGAAGGTTGCGCTGGGTCAGCATCGTTGTGACAGACGTTAGTGCAAAAAGAGAAGCAACCTGGGCTCAGCGAGACAGGACAGGATATGAATGTGGATTCTAGATCAAAGACAACTGCCCTTGGAAATTGCATTATGGAAATCACAGATGAGATAGTGTCACTCAAAGAGTAATTTCATGCATTTGCACAACAAACTTTAAAAGCCTATCCCTTCTGTCGAAGAAGTAGAAGCCGTCCTTTATCTAAGAAGAAGAAACTATGAGGTTTCTGATATCAGGCCATTTGGCATTATTGTTGGTATTAATACTGGCAGCAAAATGTGTGATTTTGTTCTTCTCTGTTCTTTCTCTCTGTGAAAAAGAGAAATTGTTCTTTCTGTCTGAATCCTAAGGACCCACGCTTCAATTCAGCTCACAATATATCCAATCCACTGAGCAGCATTATCCTCCATGTTGCTGCAGCACTTATACTACGTTTCTCCCTCGGTGCCATTTTCTGTCCTTCAAATACATAGAGAGAGAAAATGTCAGTCTTTCCAAGCCAGCGCCAAGAGAGGCCATAATGGCATCAGCACAGCTAGACGGGGTTGCTCCGCCATTCACGCTAACCGTGTTTGCATTTTTCCATCGCGCCACCGAACAAAAGACACCGCCTCATCAATAAAGAAGGTCTCTGAACTCTTCAACTTTGCATTACGGCTGCAACGACAAAGCCAGCGGGAAGCGGCTCGGCTGTGAAGGATGCGCAGCGCCGTTCGCACAAAGCCAGGGTTCCACCCTAAAATATGAGGGTTGAATAATGTAAAGAGGTGATGGAAGATCTTTGTGTCAAAAAGGTCTCTGCCCGGCGGGAGAGGGAGGAGGAGGAGGAGGAGACAGAAGGAGAGAAACAAAAGCGGTCCGGGGACAAGAGGGCGACCTCGGCAGAAGACATAATGACTCCCATTCAAAGGAAGTAGGAAGAGTTCTTTCAACCATTTAATTGAGGAAACGTGTGAGGTGGATCCACAGAGTAAACAAACTCTGTGGATCCACATTTATTGCCTTAATCCTGGACTACGTTGGTTTTGTGCACCCGTCACAGGTGTCCAATCCAATCCAATCCGAAGCCGAACCGCGAGTGACTTTCTCACCTCAGCGTTGACCCCCAGTTGTTGAATTCCTGGTTTTCCTTCGACCTCAGACTGCGACAGGAGGCCCAGGCCCGCCAGGTACTGCTGGAGGTTTCTGCTCAGCTTCCGGTCTCTGGAGCTGCTGTGGGCCGTCAGAGGGCTCGGAGCCGAGGCCTGGTGGCGGAGAGGAATGGTCCTCAGCTTGGAGAGCTCTTTAGAGATGACCTGCTGGGTGATGTCGTCCTGCCACGTCAAACCTGGAAGAAAAAAAAAGATGGACGAAGTGGTTAGAGTTTAAACCTCCCAACTGTAACCTTGAAAAAACAACATGTAGGCCAATAACTTCAGATTAAACACTGCTTCAACACTAATAAATAGAAAAACAAAAACATTCTGCATTGATGTACAAATGAGACAATAGGAACCCTGACCACACAATCAAGCACACATGTACAGACACATGTATATACACACACACACACACACACACACACACACCGAAGCCAGTCAACAAGCCTGGGGAGATTGTCACACTGCGGCCTGACGCCTTGCCAACATATCTGCTAATTGCCAACACATAGTTGAAATGCAGAACTCCTGGGCAGGGGCAAAGCGCACTGGTGCCAGGACCAGATGGAGCTACCCAAGCAAAAAAAAAAAAGATACCCAAAACATGGCTTCATTTCCAGGAGGCACGGCATTCCATCGGCAGAGAGCATGGAAATACCACAGATATCATACTTTCGTTGGAGGGGCCAAGCTGCCGCTGATGATACTTGAGTTTCAACGCAGAAGCCTTTTTTAATGAGAAATAACTAATTATGTCGTGCGGACCGCTCACGTTACTCGCTGCCACATGCCTAACTTTTTACATTCACCAAAGGAAACAATGCTGCTCTTAATGATGTGGAGTTGTTTGATAGCCATAAATATTCAGCCTGGGTTTAAGAGTACACCCCCCCCTCCCCTAAAAAAAAATAAGAAACTATCAACAAAGCCGAACGTCTTCATTAGCCTTGTTTTCTCACCCTTTCGACTTGGTATTCTCATAGATATTCATAAGCGGCAGATGAGGATGTGAGCAGCAGCCACGGACGCCTCCAGTCACACTACTGGCGGCACAAAGCAGCGTATGCCGTCGCTCTTCTGGAACGCGGCCGGACCAGCCATCCGTACAACAATGACAGTTAACTACCCGTGGCTTAACCGATGTGGCGTGTGCTTGTTATATATCAGCGCGGCGGCGTATCGTCAGCGCGGCCGGGCGAAATCGGCTCCGGCTTCGAGCCCTAAAGGATCCATATGGTACCTTCGGGTTAACTGCAGTTGGTTAAATGGGTTCAGGGCGAGAGGATGAAGCTGGCCTCATTGACTGTGACACCTCTATTCCCCCTGCTGTCTCCTGGGGGGGGGGGGGGCCGGACTCATTTCCATACATACCATGTTGTTGTGTGTTTGTGACGAGCAACCCTTGAGGGGGAGGGAGGGATACTGGCGAAAATTACACAATCAAAGTGAGCCAAAGACAGGGAGAAACCGGGCCGCTAAGGTTGGACTTCTCTCAATCAAAAGCTCAGCCGAGTACCTTGGGCACCGAGGAGCTAAATGTCATGCAAATTCATCTGTTAGTCCAGAGAAAGAGCAAGCGCTGTCGGGTCCTCGCCTATTAAGGATAGTACGCCGTCTCAGGCAAACGTCTCGGTTATTTAGCGCTCTTCCATTAGCGCAACAGCTTTTAAACAAGCGAGATATTTCCGTGGCCTCCAGTCGGTTTTCTCTGTGACTGAAAGGGCGGGAGAGCGAGAGAGAGAGAGATGGAGGGGCTTCCTGGATATTCAAAGCCTAGATCGAATCCTGTCTACACGTCGTTGAGGTTTCATCTGCCGTTTTTGAAATGCAGATTTCCCCTTTTCCTTTACGTCCCTCTTTCCGCCAACTGATTTTGAAGGAATTAATGAAGAGGGAGCTTGAATAATTTAGCAGCAAGATCTACCTAATAAATCAAAGAGAAATGTGTAGATCCCAATTTGATACCCTGCCGTGCTGAAAATAGGAATACACTGTGTATAGTGTCATCACATGTGCTTAAAAAATATAAAGTATAGATGTTATCTTCTTACTTACATCCCACATACTTTGTTTAGTAGCTTTGTCTTCTTCTATCAACCTGTTTCATCTCTTCATTGAAGCTACATGATGTTTACACTGACGGATATAAAATATAAAATATTCAAAATAGCCAATGCATTATTTTAAGCGATTCCCCCCAAATTACAGGACGATAATATTTTGTTAATTATTTGAGTTCTGTCGATTTGAACCTTTTGCCGTTGCTGCAAAACAGTTGGTGGAACATTTACAAGGACATAAACTATTATTTCCCTGTGAAGGAAATCATTTTTTGCCCGGAGTGAAAATCTGCAGCAGCCCCTTTGAAATGATCCTGCAACCTTCACAGACACAGAATCACAGCGAACGGTTCAATAAAAGCACTCTTGTTTCCCACACAACAACTCCGGTTTTCCACACGGCACGTTAGTGTGCGATGTATCTGGCGGGTTCTTTTTTTTTTTTTTTTTTTCATCTCTCCAGTACCATCTAGCAAGGTCGTCAAGGAACAGACAGGGCGAAAATACGAGGACGAACCACAACGGCTCTTGTCGATTGTCTGTCAAAAAAGACATTTTTAGTGCAGGAAGAAAGCGGGCAGAGGACTGACACAGTGTCAGCTTATGGTCACTGATTGTCCCTGACTGATGCCTCCTGTCAATGGAGTTATAACGCAAATGTCACCGAGCATCATCTTACTTCACTCGTCAGCGCTATGAGAATACCCGGCGCTCTGCACAGGTCAGCGGGTCAGCGGGCCGCGGGGTGAGTGTAGTTTAAACGGCGTGTATGATGAACACCAGCGATGAATTCTGACGTGATCCTTTCCGACGTTGACAGAATAGAGCTTGACAGGATAAATACTGACCAGGAACTGGTGAAATACGATATGAACTAGTTTTTCAAAAAGCATAGAATTAACTTTCTGCTGTCCTTCCAGTCCGCAATATGGAAAAGACAGAGAAAATTTGATTTAAAAATGTTTGGAATAAGATGTAATATTGAAGCCTTTTAAGATGAAAGAAAATATCGGGAAGGTAGAGAAACTCCTCTGTTGTGTAAATCACTAGTAAATGCATTTACTGGCGTCTAACGCTCACATTTCTTTTTAAATTCAAGATGCACTGTCTACAAACAAGTCCCCCTACCTCGCTAAAGTGTTACTTGTTGCATGATTGCTTCACGTATTAAAATTTGGACGAATAATTCAAAAATACCCTGCAGTGTAGGAGGTGTCATTAAGGCGGATTTTGTAGTCTCACCTTACTGAAATGATGATAAAGCTCGGGTTACAACTGCAAGCAGCTACGCGCTAATGAGCGGGAAATAAAGACCAGACCCGCTGTGATTGGCTCACACGCTAACCCACTCGCGCTCCGGGGCGGCGACGTCTAGCCAATGAGAGGCGGATTGAAATGTGCAGTCTTGAACGCGGGATGACTGCCGATTGTTTGCTCTCACGGTGGACAGATTGTCCCCGTCTGAACATGGTTGCTATGCAATGATTGGACATTTGCTGTGTAGGGGCAGCGTTCAGTCAGATGCTCCATCGCTGTGCGTGTTGTACATGTGAATTACAGCACATTGCTGAATTAGCTCCCGTGTGCATCGCCCCACAATCCCGGTATGCGAGCACACACACGTTGAGCGGCGCCACGACGGCTCCACAGCAGCACGCGGTGAATACTAACGCCGCTTGGCTTTAGGTGCTGTGTAATATAAAAGTCATTTACAGTTGGGTGACGGGGGCCTCGTATTCAAAAGGTACTGCGATCAAAACGGGATAGCAGACGTTGCGCTGTGCCAGTGGGGGACACGGCCAGACAAACCTAAGCCCTTTTGTTGCGAGGGTCCGTTTTTTATTGATCTGAATGACGTTGGTATTGTGCAGCGGGGCAGAGATTGTGCGCGGTTTGTACCTGCATCTCTGATGAAAGATAAAGAGGATTGTAAATCGATTCCATTGATGTTCTTCAACAGTTTTTTCTCCCCTTTACCTCTTCAATTTAGGTCGCAGTACAATGGTCTCGGTAACCCCGTCGGGGGCTGACAAAAAAAGGGAATAAAATGTCTCAAAGATGACACTTCAATAGCCGCTGAGCTGATAAGAATAACGTACCACTGGGTTTATACGGCGCACTGTGGATTCACCAGAAGCCAAAGCTCTGTGTATGTGGATGCAAGGGGCGGGGGTGGGGGGTGGGGGGATTCAAAGTGATGATGTCATGTCTTCGGCGTCTGTAAATGGGTGTCTACAAACACACGGTCAGGCTTGTGGGGAAAAGCATCTAAAGCGTTTAAAAAAAGTGGGGGCAGGGGAAAATTACACACCGGATCTCATTTGTTTATTTCAAAGCATCAATTAGAATAATTGTGCTGTCTCGCCTTACCTAATATTCATCACTTTATTCTTTCCCCCCCCTTTTTTTTTTTTTTTTTTTAATTTTCTCCGGCCAACTACTTGCTCCTAATTATTTTCCACAGCGGTTCACGCCTGTTAAAAGATATTAAGCTCGGAATGCCCTGCAAAGCCAATTATGTTAGGAGGGTTGATGCTCGCGGTCACGGTGCGTGTTAAAGGTGTCTACTGCTCCCTGGTGGTCGTAACTGTAGTAACAGGCTGCCCAAGGTGCTGAAAACACAACGTAGCAGTGTGTAAAGACTGGTCTTTACAAATGCAATATTTATTTTAGTTTATCTTAGTCAGGATTCAGTTTGAGTTGAATTGGTTGAGATGGATTTTCTTGGAAGAACTGCTACATTTAATCTTGAATACCTCTTCATCCATAATTTAACAAAAGCTGTTTTGTGTGCACAAAATCGCTTTCCACAAGTTTCCTCTCAGAAACAAACAAGCCAAAGTCCTTTATTCGAGCGGTTATAGCGATGGATCCATAACAACAGACTGCCTGCAGGCAGTAATTTCTTGCGGTTACGAGACAAGAATGCCAAATCTGCAAAGTCAACGTGACAGGACTGAGGAGAGACACGGCTCCGAGGTTAGAAAACGTGAACCCTTAAATTCCTGCTGCATTCACAATGAGCTGTTTAGTTACTTCTGTTACGAAGACATCTCATTGCAAATGCACTGTATGGCCCCCGAAGACGTGACCTGTTACAACAAACACATTAGCTGCTGCCATTGATTGAGAGGGAGAGACTGCCTAAGGTGATTACACTGCACAGTTACTCATCCACAAAATTAGCTCTAAATACCCCACCAGCATACGAGCCAATTACATTGGCTGCTGGAGTTACAGGGGGGGGTGATGGCGAAACAATGGCCCAATATGAGTCAAATGACCTGCTGTAGCTCAATTGTGTTGCACCGTGCTGGCCAAGGAGACAGCTTGGCTCATTTGGCTTCCGTTGAACAATGGCGGTGGACATTTGCGGTAAGCTCTGTACATAACTGATAAAGGGGGCTGAAGAAAGGGGGGAGGGAAGGTGGGGGGGGGGGAGCAATCGGACGAAGACAGACGGCCAGTATTTACCTCTGTGAGCCAGTTTCTGTAGGAGGATCCCTGAGGCGCTGCAAAGCCCGAGGAAGAAATATCGTACGTGTAAAGGTCTGCAGCGGCCAGCTCCTGGCACTTTCCAAACACTCCGTCTACACAGCAAAAAAAGGGGGGGAAACAACTGTGAAAACACTGTAAAAACACTGTGAAAACACTGTGAAAATCAGCTGTAAGTGAAAAGCACACATGAGAAAGACGTTTCAAGCCCATCTGCCTTTTTGAAAGGTTGTATTGGTGTGCGGCACTTTGATTGTGTCTGTAACAAAAATCCTGGGGGGGATGGAGGAGGGGGTTCGGAGGGCGTAGGGTGAGGGAGGGGAGGGGAGGCGGGGTAATGGCTCACTCTCCTCTCAGACAGCAGCGCGATAACGTTCTTGACAGGAAGGACTTTATCAGAGACCCTCGCTGCTCTGCCTATCAGCGGGCCTCCCCGCCTCACTCGATACGGGTTGCTAGGCAACCCCGCGCAACAGATTCCCCATCAGCCCTCTCATTCAAAAGGCCGGTCGAGACCGCAGGAGGACGCCGAGGATCAGGGGGTCAGAAAACAGAGCGCAGACGTGACGCCTGCAATATAAATGAACCATGTTTTTTTTTTGTCTCCTCTCAGTCACAGAGATAAATCCACGGGTCTTGTTGCTGCCTGAACTCACTTAATGAAAGTCCACCTCACAGGTGATCTCTGTGAGGCGACTCCTCCATCCTTCGATTTGAGCCACCTCGCCCGTGTGCGTTTTTGCGTGTCCGTGCGTGCAGTCGCACAACGCAACGCGCGCGAGCATGTGCGACGGCGCCACTGCGATTAGACGCGGCCTGATGATGTGAATCAACGCTTTGTCATGCACCGCGGCGTCCCGTTAATTAGGCCCAAGATGTCAGACAGTGATGGCAAACATCAGCGGTGCGATTGATGCACGGCGACATGTCCGCAGAGAACACAAACACCGACGTCCTTTACACGCTGCAAATATGCGGCGACCTCCCCCCAACGCCATTTATACACTGTATAGTTGTGTACGCGTGCACGTATATGATTTAGCATTTTGCCACAAAGAGCAGGGTGTCGAGCTTCGCCTTAGCGCCAACACCAGAAAAATATTCTTTAATAACTTCCACAGCAAATAATGGGATTAGAGTGTCACGTTCGGCGTGAAAGTCAGTGACTGATGATTAGAAATATAATAACGTGATGTCAGGCTCCAAATTGAATTCTTATTCTAAACAGGGAGCGGCTGTTACGCTGACTCCCCCCCTCCTGCCTCACCCTTTGCCTGTGACCCGTTAAATGACAGCTCTGTACAGGAAGAAGCCCGTGGGAGGTGTTGAATTAGCATAGACGACACAGAATAACAGTCAGAGAGTTATTTTAGGATCTCAAACAGCACACAGGAAAACCTCCCACCCACGGACGCTCAGAGCTTCACAGACATCTGCAGACCCTCTTCTCACTTAAAATCATCGCGATGAAAGTTTTCTCAAAACCACTCTGGTCGGATTTATTTCTCCCAGTGGAACAATAATGACACATATTATGTAAGAAGCGAGGAAAGGCTGGTGACATAACAAGTCGGCAGAAACAGGGCAATGTTTTACACTCTTCTTTCTTAATTAGTTTCCACGGCAGTGGCTGGCGTTAACTGGGTTGCTGGGTACATTTCACAGACAAACAAACACTGACCCGTGCATTAAAGTCAGAGAGGTATTTCACAACAAGGCCACCGTTTTAGAGTTGGATGGATTTATCAAAGTGATGTTGAACCATTTGGAGCCGCATGCACGATGACTCACAAAGCACCGTTCTGTCACTGCTGTAGTTTGTATTCGCGATGCAAAGATTATCAGGCAACGAGGGCTCACGGAAACAGATTTTCTTCTCAGCTAAAAACAAAGTTTTAATTTCAGGGTTGCGGGATGAAGGGTGTTTCAAATCTAAAAATAACAAGCAGGGCAATTAAATATCAGGCAGGTCCCATAAATGCGTCAGCATGTAACAGGCAGCGTTGGTTATATATTATAGGGCCATGGACTCCAAAGCTATTTGGGAATGAAGCAAAATCTATCGAGGACAGCAGAACAAAGTGATTTTCTAAGGATGTGTCAAGTTTATGGTATCATTAATGGGTCAATGGATCAAGTTGTGCCTTGTTTCACTGTGACAAACACAATACAACTCAAGTGCAATTTAACCTGGATCAATCTAATCTATAATGCATGAATCAATCAACAAAAGCGACTAATCCTACACACCAGTGACATGCCCACTAAAGACGAGGCTGCGTCTGCACAAGCGGCGCGCTGACAGGAATGAAGACGAAGACTTTCAGCCAAAACGAAGGTGAAGATCTTTAAATCCAGACACCGTCCCTCCTCCCGCTGTGACAGACAGCCGGCTGCCGCTAAAGCTATTCAAGCTGCGGAGGCTAATGCTCTGAGATAACGGGAGCGAACAGCAGAGCCGACAGTCTGCGGAGCATTTCTAAAAGACTGTAAAGCCGGAAGGAGGAGAAAACAGACCCGAGGGACAAATTAAGACGTATTGGAACAGGTGTATTAGCTGTGCAACTGGAGTCATGAAAATGAAAAGGCCTGAATCAATGCACCGCCCAGATAAAGACGACGAGGCTAACAAGGACAGGAACAGAAGCTCAAGTGCTTACTGGTTATTCAGGTCTTTTTTTTAAATATGAACATTGTGCCTTTGAAATGATAATTGCGCTTATTCATGCGCCGCATCTAAATGCAAATACATAAATTACTAAAGATAAACCAGACCCGGCGCTTCAGCTCCACAGACTACCTATTCCATTTGTTGACAACGGCAGCCCACAGGGAATCTTCTAGCACTCATCCGCTGTGCTTTAGCTTATCACACCAGAAAGCCACAGACTCTGTAGGGATGCATCAAATTAAAAGGAATTTCCGGTCTCGGGGTAATCACATATCCTTTTAAAGGAACCTGTGAGAAAGTATTTTCCCCAAAGATGGAAATAAACAGTTGATTTGTTGGCAGCAAAATGGCAGCTGAAGATCTTATGACGAATGGACCTGACCTACTAAATCAATGAGACATAACTTCTACATAACGAGAACACATTGAAGCGCATTTGTCTCCTCTTTTATCAAAGCCGCCTCAAAATGTAATCGTGGTTGCACAAATTAAAACTGACTACTTATGAACTGCAGTGTAAAAACCTGGTGCTGATTGACAGCGAAGAGAACAGCTCTCTTCCCCTAAAGCCCCTTTGCATGGCAACAGCACGGGTGAAGAAGAGCGCGACTGCCTCGCCCAGAATAAACCAGGTTCCTCCTTCGGGGACGCGGGGGAGGAGTTGAGGTGGCAGACCTAGTTACTCCCACCCTGTCCCCCGTTGGAGAGTGACAGGGCGTAGATCTGACGGGTGATGAAGCAACTCAATACGCTTTCATTACTTGCACATTATGTACAACATTAATCTTTCTGGCCTGTGTGTGTGTGTGTGTGTGTGTGTGTTTCCCTTTCTCGAGCACAGCGCCTGTAATTGCATTTCAGTGAGCGCGGCTTAAAAGATAAAATAGGCGGTGAGGAGATGAAAAGACGTGGGATAAGAAATGACCATCCAGGCCTGAACTGTGCGGGATAAATTGAGGTAATATGGATCTTCCACACCCACCACGACCCTCCTCTGTGCCTCGGGGGGGATTTTTGTTGAGGTATCAGCAATTTCCCTCCATTACACATCTCTCCCTTGTACCGATGCAGTCGGTGTAATTATAGCCAGTCTTTTTATATTTACCCTCCGCGCTGCCACCTCCTTCCCCGTTTCCTGCTAAACTGGGTTAATATGGAAATAAGGGGCGGAGGCCTCCAAATGTGCCTCTCTGACATGCTGCGGATCCAAAAACCACTAAGTAGCCCTCACTGTTAGATCGGATCACAGCCAACGCGCATCTCTTTAACCCGTCTTTGGACAGTAGTTGGATAAGAAGACTTGAAACAGCCTCCTCCAACAACCACTTACAAGCCCAAGCAGGTCTACGTCTCGTTTTAGTCATTTAGCCTTTTCCTTTGAGCAGGCTGGATGAATTTAATTTACTTACTACTTGATGGTATTTAAACCATCCACATTTGGGGTAAGTAAATGAACAGAGCAGCATGAGAAGCAAGAAGCCACAAACGCAGACACTAAACATCATAATGTTGGACCGATGTTGATCTCCGGTGCGCCCCCAAAAACAATATGCTGTCAAGTCCTTCGGCTACGTTGGAATATATTAACCTTTCACGATAGCTCTCTCGTGAAGATGATTCTTGATATTGTCATGCTATGAAATCCCATTCAAAATTGAAGCCCCCTCCCTCCCCTCCCTCCCCGCTGTGTGCGATTCTGCTGATTGCCACACTGTGAAAAGCACCCCGACATTTCCTCTCTATTCATCAGGTGACGCGTTGCCACGGCAACCACTGGCACAGACCCGTCCATCCTCCATGACGAGACGGTGAATTTGCGGTTTGAGCAAAGCTCGACATTTAAGACGGTCAACGTGGTGCTTATTCATCCTGAGCTTTTGAGTTGGATGAATTAAATGATTAACAGTTGTGTCGCCGGGCTCTCGCGTTGCTTTTGCCGCTTTTCTCAAACGTGACTCATACGTCTAAACTGGGCGCGGATCAAAACGGCTGTGAGCGAGCTCTCTCCGATGACGATGGTTCTCTCTATAGAGGCCTGAATGATTGAAAATAGCTGCGACGGCTCGGGAGCGGCTTCAGCGCGGCGATATAACGAGGCGCGGTGGGCGTAAAGGCGCACGCGTCTGCATGGGTCTGACTTACCATTGACGCAGAACTCATACGGCGAACACAGCTCATCTTCAAACAGGCAACCTGGAGGGGAGAGAATAAAGATACTTACACAACCACTCAAGACCTGTGCATTAAAAACAATTATAATACTTCTCTGTATATGTAATATCTTTCTATATATATAACATCTGATTCAGTTATTGTGGATCAATGTTGTTTTTATTAGAGCTTATTTATAAGTGTTTTTGATCTGGTTCCACTTTAAAGTCTATTCTGCGGGACTATAAGGATTATTTTATCTTATTTTGTTTACCAAACATCGAGCTGCAGCAGCTGATGTTTGCAGGAGACAGCTATCTTTGCTCTGCCTAGCATTGTGAAAAAGTAACAAAACCCCCTTCCAGCAGCTCTAAAGATCACTAATTACTCAACATCTCGTTTCTTTCAGCAGTGCAAAGAGTTCAGATGACTATTTGTGGTTGTGTTAACTTTGCGCGGAGCTGGTTTCCCTTGTTTTCAGTCTCTATGCTAAGCTAAACTAACCTGCTGCTGGAGGTAGCTTCAAATTCAAAAATAGAATCGATCTATAAACGCATATAACACAGCAAGAACCCTAATAAATGAATAAAACTAAAATGAGCCTACTTTCATCTTTTAAATCACTGTCAACTCAAGATGGGAGAGAGAATTCAAACGTGTGCAGCAGGTATAAATGGCACTGGGGAAAGCATTACAAACGCTACGAACGGAGACCAGACGCTTGTGTACAACTAGCAGAAAACTTACTAAATTTCAGAAGCAAATTAACCCAATGTCACAAATTCAAAAAAATGCATCGCGCTGTGACAGAAGCCTGCAGCTTAGTAGTGCATTAGCTCTGGCCGAGGGCCTCACTGCTAACGGCGGAGCCATCCGTCATCAATTAGGGCGTCTTCTCCCGTCCCGTCTCCGACACTAATACCCCGCTTCCATTTATGGATGCTGTCTGAATATTAATTCACTTTTGACGCTGGCACCATGGCTGCGTGTTCCATTCTAATAAATGAGCAGATGGCAGCAGCATTATGGGTAGCCGTTCCCCGTGTTCATATTTCACACGTGGGAGTCGCAGCGAGCCGACGGCTCTGCTCGCTGAAACGCGCAGGTGATCCTCAACATTTAAACGTTTCCAGAAAAAAAAATAATAATAATTGTCCGTTTGTTTAATTAGCGGTTGATAGGCTCAGACTGCAGAGTTCACAATTGTTAAACATCTGGGTCGAGCCCCCTTTTATCTGATATTTTCACCGCTTCAGCTCATCAGTAGGAGTGACGTGATTGAACGCAGCCCGTTGGCCCCCGCGGCCTCGACGGACAGCCGTGAGCAAGGGGAGGGAAGTCCTCCGTAGACCTCTTTGATAATGAGAAGAGAGAGGTCGGGAAAAGCCTGTCAATCCCACAGAAAGGAGAGATAATCAGGAACGGCGTGGATCAGACCGGAACGTTTCAGGCGTCGCTTGTTCCAAGTTTGTTCCGCCATTAGGAGCGTTATAGCCTTGTGGTCATTAAAGTCTAGTCTACGTGATAATATAATACGATGAATGTTGAGGGTCACATTTAGTAAAATCACATCCTTTGGTAACGGCTTCAATATATCAGCAAAACAGCAATTAAGTGCTGTGGAGTGCGGCGTCATAACAGAGCGGTAAGGTCGCTCTGCTCTCCACAACAAAACTAAAAAGGCAGAATGTCTCAATCAGAAGAGAAAGAACCTTCTGCTCAACCACAGAAAAACTGCTTTTGTCACTGTAATTATTATTTTCATGGACAGATTCAGCTACTTTGCAAGTAAACCACGACTATAAAACATTGCTGTTGGTTGAAAAACTGGACCACAGATACACAACTATTCCATTGGGTATAATACTATACGGTACTATATAAAAAATGAGAATGACCACCTCACGTTTCTATGCCTCTGCAAACCAGGCACATAACCAAAAACAGAGCCAAAAGAGCAAAATAAACACAACTTTAAAATATTTAATTTAATATTTTTAATTTTAATATTCATTATTTTACCAAGAGGATTTTGCTGGAAGAGGACTTGAACATTTCAAGAAACAGCCGCACACCCCTCTTGACCCTAAATCTCAGCACCCTGCAATTAGCGTCCTCCCGTTCAACTTTACCCCGCCTTGCTTATATCGTCAGGGTCTCTGGGAGGCCATGTCAGCTCTCAATATTAAGTACTACCTCCATTTAATGAAGCATCCCGTTAAGTATAGTGAGTCAGGCCATGTGTGTGTGTGTGTGTGTAATAGGCAGGGATATAGAATTGATAATGCCACATCCCCTTTCTCCTCCACCATGGCAGAGATGATTAAAATGGGGCTTTTTAATTAAAATGCAATCACAGTGAATGCTGCTGATTACCTCAGGCGGGAAAAAAAACAAAAGGATGCTCAACTCGTCGAGTGAGGAAGAGATGCTGGTAAAAAAAAAAGAAAAAGCTCTCTGTTATTTCCTAGTGAAGCATCCTGAAAAATGAATAGCCACATTGTGTAATTCTAAGGGTACATGATCATTTCCCAAAGAAAAGACAATTACCTTTCTAAAGAAGTGCGATTAAGTGGCGATGCTCTGTTGCCATGGCAACATCATCACAGTAGCTTTTCAATGGGGAACTAACCAATTGAAGTAAGTACAGCCTAATTTTTTTATCTTGTGTCCCAATTAACGGTGACTTAAAATACTTATATACCTGTTTATATAGTATATTTAATTTATAGAAGACTACAAAAACAGCACATATGTCAATTTGAAAATGTGAAACTACTAAACCCGCTTTTACTAACATATAAATGAATATATGTCTATTAAATATTCTTAATTGACAACTAAACATCATATTATCAGACGTCAACTTGAGCTAAGAGTTTATTGACTTAATGATTAGTCATTATCAGCCCGGTCTAGATGTGAGCTAAGTCCAGGTGTTACTGGTAGTACTGGTAGTTAGTGGCCTGTTTTCTCATCATTTGAAATCAAAGATACTTGAAGTAAGTGAAAATGGAAATACAGAAGGTACCAAATCAGGATCAATTAAATGTGGCCTCCATCCTCTCAAAAGCCTCCGCTGAGAGCTGTGGACTGGAGCAGAGAGACGTTCTCCAACAATGCCCCCTACCTGACGTATTACTGCTAACTGCTATTAAGGGCAGCAAGTCGGGATCTACACACACACACACACACACACACATTTCACCTTCAGCTGAAATCTCTCCACGGCGTGTCAGGGACATAACAACAAGGGGAAAGCTCATCTAAGGTAATTTAAGGAAAAGCAATTACATTAGGATGACGCAGAGTTTGTCCTTAGAAAAGGATACAACCACATTAATACCTCGCTGAAGCGCCACCTGTACGTTATCGAGCTCGCCTGGAACACGAACGATTACGTCCTAATGAGGCCCAACCCAAGGCTGAGCAAGAAGTCAAGAGATTGCGTCGTTGACTTTTCCCTCGCAGGTGGCTGGCCGGTGCCGGGTGACCATCTGTGATGTCAGAGGGGCCAAGGAGAACGCCGGGAATCTGGCAGCGAGGACAGTCCCTCCCAGAGCCGGCTGCATTAGGACATGTTCTCTCTCTGGGGCCATCGACATATCTTTTACTATAATTATAAAATCCAACCAAGGACACCTGACTCATTTCTAATCACACACACACACACACACACACATCTGTACTGTCAGCCAAAAAATCTGTGCAGCGGCAATAAAAGTGCAAGTGAATTGGGAGCACGACTGGAGGACAGAAGAGAGGAACATCACCTGCAAGCAAATTAGTATCAGTTTGACACCATGTCCGCAGTTTTAAACAGCTTGTGTCATTAAGGCGCTCGTCTGCTAAAATTAAAGATGGCTCCGAGCTTTTCTCTGCTCCGAAAGGTCTGTTCTTGTCAAGAGCTGCACTTTGCATCTCAGCGACGAAGCCGCGGTAACGCAATATTTTTCGTGCACTTTTCATCTTAACATGACAAGAATGTGTAGTTTTAATAATGTCGTGACATTCTGTGCGCCGACAATTCATGAGGAATCCTTTCTGGGGTGAAACGCGCCGTTAAACATTAAACTCCCACGGCTCAAAATGACCACCTACTGTTGAGGCTTCGTTTTTCTCTATTATTCCACAGATGGATGCTGATTTTCTGCACAGACGCACAGTTTGACCCTTTTGGAAAACTCAGTTACCTTGAGTTATCAAAACGTCAAACTTCTTCTCGAGGGAAGATTGTTTGCATCAGTGAAAACATCTACGGTCATTTCAAAACTAAAGTGATAATTAGTGGGAGCTTTTAGGTCTCCTGACATGAAAACCATCTGACATCCAGAGGAGTGAAACTAAATACATTTCTCACGGACTTTCTAGAGAATTTGTCTCGCAATTCCCCGGCAGGCGGCTCCCTCTCAGTCACTCAGCTGCCAGCCATGAATTAAAGATTGGCGCCGTCACCGCGGCAACGGAGGAACCCAGAAATAGGCCCTTCGTGACCTTTCCTCCGACCGCGCCGAATGATTCAGACATTTGATTTTCTCCCCTCTTCCGGAGGCGTGATTGGGCGTTGAAAAAGGGAACCAACACAACCCCCCCCCTCTCCCTCCCCGAGGGAAATCTCCACTCCCCCGGATGGAGCGCAACGTTTGAAGCTCATTCGAGGTGCAGGTGGTGCAGCGGTGTTTGGCTACTGCGTTCTTGTTCGCTTTCCGTAATTTAATATCTCTCAGCTAAACAACTCACCTGCGTAGTCACGGCATTTTGGTTGTGTCAAATCAGATTGAGGGCCATTTGGGAAATACTTTAGCGTGAAACTGTATCCGCGCTCCGTCCCACTCAGACAACCGCTCATCCCCCTGAGGGAAAGGCCAACACCCGCCGCCGTGTGTCCGTCGCTTCTTAACAAAGACTTTTCCTCCAGCTGTTTACACGAGCTGGCGGCATTTTAAATATTAAAACCGATCCTGCCTCACCTGAAACTGTTCTTATGACATGTTATTATCCTCCATTGCTAAATTGATTAGCTGCATTTGGATTACCCCAAATATTAGACACAACCAACAATATATTGAGATGCATTGAAAAGTAGTTACAGGAACGAATGTATATTTAACAGAAGAAGTGACTGAAATGCTTTTGGATGGATCTGGCAGATATTGTTATTTTAAGATGAATTATAAGCACATCACTTATGGCTGCTTAGCAAAAAGAAAACATCAACATCCTACTCCATCCTATAATGTATTGACTACCCCTCTCAAATATAATACAATGCATCTCCTATTCAATTTTACGATACAATAAACGTGGTCTGGAGTATTTCTCAGCATCACCCTAAAACGAAGACACGTGACAGCTGTAATCACGGCTAAGGTGGTAAATCCGAGGGGAGAAAGTACTCTGCTACACTGCGACTCTGCATGCAAGCGGCAAAATAGCTTGACATGCATATTCTTCAACACATTGTTCCAGCTGAGTTAAATGTAATGTCTTTTCATTTATAGGGTAAAAAGGAAGTTCTCACAACCTCCCCCCCTGCCTCTCTGGCGGCACTCTCAACCCAGAATATCCCCCAGGTTCCCCTTGAACTGGAGCAGGAAAGACGGGCAGGAGATGGATGGTGTGGACGCGTCTATTCGACACAGTTCCCACTAACCCCTCCCGCGAAGAGGCCGCTGACATTTTGTTCGGGAGAAACGCGGGAGCTCCGCCAGCCGTCGCCACTCTTGTCGCCTTCCACCACCCTCATGAGCCAACGCACTCCTCCGAGCATCTGTCGAGTCACAGAGGAGCGCCGCCGCACCTCGTCTGTTTGTCACACCGCCCGCAGCCGGGAATATGCAGCCTGCTCTGTGTCGGGAATTTGTTGAGATTGGCTGAAGAGTCTTGGAACGCGGCGACACTCGATCCAGATGTCGGTTCGGTCGAGGCGATATTGGTAGTCCCATATCACATTCCACAGCGGATGATAGCGGACCGTCTTGACCGTACACCGATCACATTCGCATCAAATGCTGCAGCTGCACACAGCTCAGCCATGTGCACAACGGAGGGCCGCGTTGCACCACAAAATATCCTCCAATAAGTAGTTTTTCCTCTTCTGCGGATGAGACCAAGCCAGCCTTTAGGTGAAACCTAGAAGAGCTCCACATCCAAAGTGTCAACGCAGTCTGAAGCCTGAAGGCCGACGCATGCGACCAGTTCAGTCAAGATGACGGATTTCTCTGTGACCCCCGCTGAGACACCCCGGCAGAGTTTTATTGGTTCACACAGTTGACTGAAGGTCTCCTTGAGCTAAAGAGATATTTTAGGTCAATTTTAGGTCATTTCAAACATCTCTTCAGTTCATGAATCCCGTAGCGTAGTTGATATTACCACTGAGTCTGGACATCTACGGGAAGACGGAGGCCCGCGGCGAAACAGATAAGAGCTGAGCAGACTATGAATCAAACCCAACTCGCCTGGATCTATTAGGAGATGGCTGCTGATAGCCAGTCGTAACGAAAGGACCCCTCAGCGCAGCCTTAAAGGACCACCGTCTCCATCTAGAAGCAACTCTGCCCATCAACACACACAGCACTCTTTTGTTTTAGTCAGGTTTAGGTGAGCTGAGGCCGAATAATCCTTTGAGTGTGTCGCAAATGCCGCACGAGGCTTTTGGAAATCAACGCCATCAATGTGGTGCGAGTGAGTCATCCTTCTCGCAGTCTTCATCCCGATCCTCGATTTGACTTCATCTACTTTGACTAAAAGATAAAACTTTACATAACTAACTTACAACTAACACGGCGTAGTGCTGTTAAATTTGTCGAACACCTCCCACCGGTAACGATGCCCCCCCCCGACCCCCTTTGGCTTCTTCTCCGGCGAGCTTTTGAATTATGCCTCGCTTCAAGGCACTGGACTCAAGGCTGTTTGTTGAGTCAGCCTAGCGTGAAAGCACAGAAAAGTACAACATGTCAACGCGCCCGTGATCCCCGCCGTCTGCTGGACGACCGCAGCGCCATCGCGGAGCAGCAAGTGTGGAGGTCATGAGGAGATCAAGGCAACAGAACAGCAGGTCTCTGCGTCTTCTGGCTGTTTATGTAAACTTGTGAGTGTGAATCTGAAACACGTGAGGATGACGCATCACAGCGTGATTATATTTGGCATTTTGTGTCTGACTACAATCAGTATGAAATGAATAATAAATGAATTTAATACATTCAAATGTGGCTTATTGGTAGATTAAGGGATATTTCTGTTGTGCTAGGTGTCAATTATCAGCTCCTGGAAGAAGAAAAAAAAATATATATAAATATATACGTATATGCAATGTTATTAAATACATAAATCTATGTCGCAGCAGCACTCCTTGATCGCTTTGCGCAGTGGGACTCATTAAAAACATAAAACCACCTCTAACTCCCAGCCACGCGCTAACAATGGAGACCTCTTCAGCACATGCTGAGAATTCAATGAGAGAAATGCACTCTGGGAATAAACACTGACTCATTCACAAATCATGGTAACCACAAATTACCATTATTTTTTAAAGAGAAAAAACAAGTACTGTCTATATATATTATGTTAGCTTACCTTTTAGCCGACAAGATCAGAGTGTGAATATAAAAAAATGAACTACCCAACTGTGGAAACGTTCTGCTTCTGAATACAAACAACACGCTGCAGCTCGGTGTGAATCATCACAGCAGCAGCAGTGTCAACGCCTCTCGCTCGTTATAAAGTTTATTCTGTGTGTTCTGACTGCAGATCCTGGACCAGTAAGTGTGATCACACACACACACCTGAAACAGTCACGTCAGGGCCTCTGATCTCTTTCTGTCCCTCAAAGGACACAATTATCTAGAATGCCGTACTTTGGACATGGGCCATTCTGTTTGAAATGAGAGTGGAGCGTCTGACGCAAGAACAGATGAAGGGTAATGACAATACAACCGGGGCCTGAAAATGAAAGCTGCCCCATGGAATTGGATATCATCAAATATTTAACTAGATTTAGAATGGCATGCTCTTTGGTGCATGTGTGGAGCCATTTTTATGGGTATAAAAGCCATTAAGCACATTTGTTTGTAGTTATAGTGTATTCATCTGGAGGTAAAAGTCACGATTGAGCGCAAAAGTTGCAGTTTTGTTTTTCTCCTGACAGTGTTTTTTTGTGAAACCAGCGGCTCGGTCCATCTCACTGTGAGCTTCCTGCACCGGGCCTGGTACCTTATGTAACTTTCACAGATGGATCTTCAGACGTCATCAGCAGCCTCGCCTGACACAAGTTTAAGAAATAGCAAGAACAATGGAGCACAATAGGAAAGACAACTTTTGCGATGCCAGTTCGAACGACCAGCTAAAAGGAGATAACACGGTTATTACCCTGAATATAATAATAATAACTAGTGGAACCGAATGAAACAAACGCTTACCGAATTTCCTGTCCGCGCTGGCAGGTGTGGAGCAGAAGCTCACCGCCAATGCAGCGAGGAGGACGGGACACCAGGGCGAATCCATACCGCCGCTAAGCACGCAGCCAGCCGTCCATGGCACGAGGCGGAGGAGGAGGAGGAGGAGGAGGAGGAGAAGAAGAAGCAGAAGCGAGGAGAGAAGAAGCGACGACCACTGAAAGGGCGACGTTTCAGCACCGCGAACAGCGACCAGCCGCGCAGGAGGAGCCGCTCCTAAAGCGCTGTGACGTCAAAACAGGCACGGCGAGCAGGGACGACGTGCACAGCGCCCCGGACGCACGAGAGAGGGAGGGGGGGGTGGGGGGGGCAGAAGGGCGGGGGGGGGGGGGCGTCGATCGCTGCCCGGAAACCGTGGGAACGACACAAGAAAACACAGCAGGAGAAAAGAGACAAACACGCTTTATCAGCTCGACAGGGAGAAAATAAATGTCACTAACAGATCTGGATCTTTAGAATAATTAGCAGCAAAATTGCCCTTGAATGATTCATATATATTTTATCATATAATAATACACTGTATCTATTGCTGCTCAATATGTGACCATGCAACATAGTTGATATATTTAATGTGCAGCACAGCAATGCAGGAAAGTATAAAATTTGCCTCTAAATCAAGTACACTTAACTAAAAAATGTTACTCAATACCACACTTATGTGACTTTAGATTACACGATTAACTGTCCAAATATAGTAAATGTAGCCTCTTACTATGAGACGCGCTGAATCCAAGAGGAATAAATGAGTGCAGAGCAGTCAGATGTACCGGCCTTACTGTCCAGATAAGACCATTACATGTGTGTCCCTGGGACGCACAATTACAAATATTGACTTAAGTTAAACAGCATGTGTTCTGAAAATAGGAGCCACTCCTTTTTTGGGGATGAAGAGATGGGGGAGGATGATTTATTGCTTGTTCGTACAGTTATTATTTAGCAAATCATTGTGCAGTCCAGTCAAGTTTAGGTGGATTAATAAATTGCTTTATTCTTATTAGAAATGAGGTACGGCTGACAGATTCAAAAGATACATAAATATAGTAAGACATGAAAAAATATATGTATTTCATATGTGGTTTGTTTTTATTTAAACTGTGCAGCAACAGCGTTTAAGAAGAGTAACACTCAATATAAGAAACTGTATAGCTGTGTTGTGGGTTTTCTAATGCAAAGAGAAAAGCAGAATATACTGATCTCCTCAGTGCCATAAAACACAAAAGAGATGTTAGATATCACAAATCAAAGAGGTTGACTCATAAATCCAGAATTTCGTTCACGGTCTTCACTGAAGATTCATAAATAAGCCTGTGGCAGGAGGGGAGGAAAGGTTAGTCACGACAGCTCATGCAACAAAGACCAATCAGAACTGTCTTATGTGGTCCCACTCACCTCTGGACGTCTCTGGTGTCTCCGGATGTGACGGCGTGTTTGTGAATCTGCTGCTGGACGGATGTGGCGGCGCTCCTCAAACTCGCTTTAGACTGCCCCGCTAAGAGTGTCACGTATAAAGCAAACGTGATACATCTCAACCAGCAAAGGGATCAAAAAAACAACCTAAAATCTTATGACTCACTGCGTCCGATGACCGCCAGCACGTGCAGGACGGCAGCCAGCTCGTGCAGGCTGCTGATGGACTCGGAGTCGAACGACGAGCAGACTTCTGTCAAAAAAGCCCTGAAAAGGACCCATTCAGAAAACGCCATATTTATTATTTATGATCCCTGGTAGCTTTTAGAGGGAGTAAGAGGATGTTTACCTGGTAAGGGAGGAGGATTTGAGGATGACAGACAGTAGGAGGCCGGACAGAGGAGGCAAGTCCTCCACTGACTCTGGAGTGACCACCTCTTCAGGACGGGTCATCTTTAAAAACAAGAGCACAGCGTCATTCATCGGGGCCCTGAGGTGCCTGGAAGAATTCCCCCGGTCGGTCAGCATGCGATGACGGCGAAAGACAAACAACAACAAAAAATGCTTTGGTGGGTCGGGCCGCACCTTCTGAAGCAAATGTCTCTTCTCCACCACCACCACGGCAAAGAGAGTGGAGAAGACCCCGTACAGAGGTGCTTTGTCCCAGGTCTGCGCCACCTTAAGGAAGTCCGCCAGGCCGGGAACGGCGGAGTGACACAGCTATGGGAGGGCACACAGACGGAGATGTGTGCTTAACACGGGAGATAAAAGATCTACACAGCTGGTCTGAGGCAAGAAATAAACAAGCACGGTGTATCTGAACTCAAGGTGGAGGACACACTCGGGAGTCCAGATGTGGACGTACCTGTTTTCCCTCCTCCGGGTCCTTCCTGAGACGACGAGCCAGAAGCTCGATGATCTTCTGGAAGATGTTGGCAACCACGCCCAGAGCAACAGTGGTCCCATCTTCCACGTGTTCCTGAGACGGGTCGTTCTTGTTGTGCTTGGGCAGGTGGCTGTCGGACACGTCCTTCAAAATCTGCAGCACCGCGGGAATGCAGAGGTAGCCCGCCTCTGGAAACCCCACGCAGAATGAGAAGGAAGGACATTCCGGTGAAGAAACATGATGTTTTGCCCGATAACATCTTTAAGATAGAAACACGCACACTGGTAGCCGTGTTGTTGTTTTTTCCGCCCACTATAAAAAGGCATTTAAAAAGACTCACCTGAGAGGAGGGTGAGGGAGCACAAGTGGAGGATTTGACCCGTGAACGCCTCGTCAGCCAAACCCACGAGCAAAACGTCTCGGCACACCGCGAGGAAACTCTGGGGGGGAAAACGCAAGACGTCTTTTTTTTTTTTAATCATGAAAATGTTCCCACTTTGTGAGCCTGAATCAAACATTTAGACCTGCACTGTGCCTCTGCTCCCTTGATAGAGACCACACACATTTGACCTATTTAGATAAATTTAAAGGCGGTGCTTAACGCAGTGAATTTGGCTCCACCAATTACAGCCGGACTCCGGGCTCCGTAGAATATGCTCAACCCGTATTTGTTTGGGCTCAATCAATCCTTTTAGTGGACGCTTCCCGCTCCGTTTTCTTTTCAGAGCTTTCGCGCTTGCATTATTAGCAAAGAGCTCACCTCGGTTATTCGCGCAGCAAGCGGCTGCAACTTCTCGGAATCCTTTTCAGCACCATCATCATCATTGTCGTTGGTGGTACGTTTAGCGAGGAAGGGCAACACCCTCTCAGCTACCCACGCTGCCACGTGCTCCAGAGAGAGCAGGTGCTCTCGACCTTCTGAGGACTGGGACACAAACAGAGGCTTTCGTCCTACATCCACTGAAATCGATATTTTCAAACCGGCAGGGATAAAAATGTGCTAAATTGGAGACTCACGCTATGCTGCAGATGCGCACTGAGTTGACCGTGATGCACAAAGGCTTTCAGTGCCGTCTCCACGCTGGGGTATTTAGCATCTTCAGCGGCGGCGCTGAGGTGAGTGTACAGCACTGACTGTCGAGACAAATATCACACCGGTTCCGCCGGAGGACGGATCATGAAAAGACATTTGTCTACTCCACGTGGAAAACGCTGAATAAAGAAATGTAAACGCACTCTAGGTCCGTTTGAAATGAAATAGCGATAAATAGCTCTCTGGCATACCCTCCAGTTTCCTAGAACCTCGTGCAGCTGCTTCAGAGGTGGCGGGCCGAGGGCCAGCACTTGGTCCCGCAGCGACGGGCGAATGAACAGGTACTCCAGGTACGCCAGGGCCAGGTCCGGTTTGGCCTCCGCCGTCTCCTGGATACGCACCTTTCGTCTGCCGCTGTCCTGAAAGTGAGAGGAGCAGTTTGATGAAGAGCGGCGAGGAGCCTCCATAGAAGTGCGAGAAACCACCGTGGCGCAATGACCGGCGGAGACACGGGGGTGGGGGGGCGGGGGTCTGACGCACCCCTTGCTTGGGCAGAGCCTCGGTGAGCCAGTCGGTGACGAGCTCGAGGACGTGAGCGGCCTGGCCCCAGCTGCACATGCAGTCCAACAGCTGGCTGTACTGCTTCGGCCCTGCGCACGAGTCCATCCGCCTCAGTCGGGACAGCACGCCGCAGCTGGTGGGGCGAAGAGAGAGAGGCGGCTTAGACGTTAAACGGAAAAAGAGCAGGGCGGGACCGGAGGAGGCGTCAGGGCGTACCTGAAGGTTGGAGCCGCGGCCGGGGGCATGAAGGAGGCCAGCTGGATGAGAGGAGCGGTGCAGCGCTCGTCCTGGGAAAAGCAAACGGACAACGTTTCACGGTGAAAACCCGTCAGTTGGTGGAAAGAAAACAACACGGGGAAGGAACAAGTACCTCAAAGGTCTGGAAATACTTGTTCATCACACTTCCAAACTTGGCCAAAGTGTACTTGCGGGCCTCTTCGTTTTGTTTGAGGGCCTTTGTGACACTTCTCCAAAGGATGACCACGACCTCCAGCAGACCGGAGAGGACGGCCGTGTCGTTGCCCAGCGAAGGTTGAGCCTGTCGACATCAGAACGGGAAATTATAGAAAGAAATACGGCTCAACTTATTTGTCAAGGGTTAATTTGTAGGTTTAAAGTAAAGAAGACGATCCACACAAACTTCTCATTTAAATGCCTCCGTCTTACTTTGCTGTTCTCCTTGTTGCTGTCGATAAAGTCGGACTGGTCACAGTCGCTCTGGATGCAGCTGTTCACAACACGGCGAATGGCCAACATCAGCTTTACTGGAAGAGAAGACAAAACCAAACGGGTGACCCAACCACAGATGCAACACGGCATTTATTGATTTCTGCCTCACGTGCACAGCACCTACTTATGTTAGTGGGTGCTGTGTGTTTGTGGGCGAGCTGGTAGAACTTCCGGGTAGCCATGGGGTTCATCTGGAGGAGGGTGATGCAGCGGCAGCACCACTCGCGCTCCGGGTCGTTGACGGGGAAGAAGGACTTGAAGAGCAGGTTGACGATGCGCTTGGAGACCGGATGGGAGTCGATAGCCAGGCGGGCCAGCAGGTGGTCCATGTTGCACACGTCCCAAAACTGCGGAGCGGTACGTTAGTGATCTGCGTTGCTGACTGCACTTTCGCGGTTTGGATTTGGATCACATTGTTGCGTGACGCAAAAAGGAAACCCAACGCATTCGGTACCTTGGCAGCGCGGACGGCCTTGATCTTGATGAGCATGTCCAGGAAAGCCACGCGCACTTTCTCCGACTTGTCGTGAAGGCTGTACTTGAGGGTGGGCAGGAGTTTTTCCAACAGCGGATGGCTTAGATTGTTGTCCAGGACAATAGTCAGACACTGCGGGGGGGCGGGACAACAATACACAAACCACAAGTCATTAAATATCTTGTATGTCGGCGATCAAATCCGCTGCGCTAATTCCGTTTCTAAAGAACATCCCGGGTAAGATTTTATAATAGCAATTGAACTTTAACAGGCCCATGTTGATATTTTCCAGGACAATACAAAATAAGGACGGTGAGAAACAACGCTTCACACCTTAAAGACCGAGCACCGGACATCGGCGGAGCTTTTGTCAGCCGCCAGCTCCGTCACCAGCTTCTTCAGGAAGTCTGTGATGATCGTGGGAGGAAGGAGCTCCCAGCACTTGGCCAGGATCTTGCACACTCCCAGCGTAGCATTGGAGCGCACAGTGGGATGAGGATCATCCAGGAGGCCCTGCAGATGACAGATCGGTGGTTGGAATAGCGGAACCTTTTTGATCCTTTGGAAAGGTCTGTGTCAGAGTGTGCTTTGGGTTTCATTTTTTTTCTCTCAAGTTTCCTCATAAAAAAAAAAGGAGGAATGTTTCCAGCGGCTCTCACCATTGCTGTGTCCAGCTGCTTTTGAACGGTCTCATCTATAATCTGGTTGTTCTGCTCGGGGTCGTGGACCGGGAAGGCCTCAGTGAAAAGCAGAGTGGCATTTGCACGCACCTCAAAGTTTGGAACCTGAAGAAATAGAACAAAAACACATGAGACTAGAATCAAATGCAGAAAAAATAGAAATGTGTGCAGTTAAGATGTGTCTCCATACACTTAGAGCTTTCCAGAGAATGGGCTTGTAGAGATTACAGAGCATCTTGTCCACCTTGTTACAGCCTTGCCGTGAGTGGAAGTAGCTCATGATCTGCATATGACCATATGACAGTTAGGAGATCACAAAAAGGTGAGTGTACAGTGAAAAACACGACCTCAGACGCTGGTAAAAAAAAAAATGAACAAAGTAGTGAATATGTTCACCTGCCGGACTTTGGCATGCACAGGAGATGCTCTACGAAGGAAGATCGCATTCTGCATAAAATCCTGAATGCATGAGCTTTCAATCTTCTCCAGGAAGTCGCCGTTTGCCTTCTTCCATGCTCTGTAGTAGATCTCCATAATGTGAGTAGTCATGGTCCTGCACGGAACATTTCATTAGTAGACGACACGGAGATAAGATTGACTACACCCGAACCGAATGTTGCAGGCGTCTTACTTGCTATAAAACGGCAGCTGCTTTTTAATGGTGCCGTGAATAACACAGATGAAGTTGACGTTCCAGCTGAAGAGAAACACCAGGAATCGCTTTCCCTGCGACAATACACACATCATCAGGACCGGCAGCTCAAAAGGGGAAACCATTACAATAAAATACAAAACAGAGACTCAAACTCTCTACTCACGTCATCGTTTCTAATGTAATTAGGACTATGAAAGCACTGGAGCAACAAGTTGGTTATCTGCTTGTTTTCTTCTGATGTGTAGTCCAAACTCAAAAGCACATCGTGAAGACTCCAGACTCTTTGGATCTCAACAGCCTGTGAAAAGAGAGAGAAAGCGAATGAAGAGAATACAACAAAACTACCAGAATTGAAGATAGTTTGAAAAGGGCCTCATGATGGATTGATCTGATGCATCGCTGAGGAACATATACTGACTAGTTTCTTCAGGGTGAAGCTCCTCTGCAGAGAGATGAAGAAAGCCGTGCGGCCAAACTGTTCTTTCTCCTTCAGCCCCTTCTTCCACCAGGCCTCGCAGAGCATGTGGATATGCCGCTGCAGAGGAGCCTCCGAGAAGGGCAGCGACACCAGAATCGCTGAGGGAAAGACACGTTAGATATGGATTTACCTGAAGGTACATCAAATATAACAGGGAAGAAGATCAGCAAGGACACCGACTGTGAAGCCTGTGGGCAATTTCCAGAAGGGCGCCGTAGGTGTCGCCGTCTTGTAGGACCTTTATTGACGCATAAGCCACGAGCGTCACGCCGTCCACAACAGCCATGACTCGTGTCTGAAGGAGAGATTTACGGCGAATGACACCAGAAATGTCAATTAGATTTTTGGTTTTTGATTAATAGTTCGACGACAGAATATAAAAGTATGATCAGAGTGAACTCACAGGGTCGGCAGCGGACTCCACTTCCATGCCGTCTTCCCCGTCCTCCACCCAGCGCTCTGGAGGCAACTCCTGCAGGACGTCCTGAAGGAGCGAGCCCAGTTTTCCCCAGAGAGTCGATCTCTGGCCCACGGGCATCTCCTCCACCACCTCCTGCACATCGAAAGGCTCCGCTTTGTCCTTCTGCTCGGCAAACAGAGACGAGAGAGAAGCGACTCGTGACGTAGAGGACAGACACGCAAGCGGCTGTAAAAACACTTTGAATTGCAGCTTATTTACAGTAGTAGATGACTTGTGGAAAATACATTTTGTTTCCCTTTGAATTGCTCATAGTTAAGTAATTTTAAGTAATTTGTTTTACAGAATTTTATTTTATTTTCATGAGAGTTATCAATAATAATAATTCAATTTCTTAAACTAAAACTAAATTTAACAATGATAAGGAGAATGTGTTTAGAAACTGTGAGACAAAATCAAATTTCCAATTTCAAAGACAAATTTCCCAAAAGATTGTATCTGTACCAGTTTGTAGTGCAGTTAACATTATATGATTATATTTCAACATATAGTGTAGATATAATTAAAGTTGTTGATTTGTTCTATGGTCTGCTTGGAAGCTCCAGTTTGTGGTGCTCAGGAATTTGACAGATTGTGATAATCATTAGAAGTATTAACTTCCACGTTAGTTTTCTAGTTTTCACACGTCTCGTAGCTTTCTGAAGGGTTCCTGGTTTATATTTACTTTACTCACATGCAGCTCGATGAAGCGGAGGAATTCCTCCACGTTGTCCTTACAGGCGGCCGCTAAAAACGTTTCTCGCTTGGACATGTTTCTCTTTTTGTCCCTCTAAACCTGCAACGAAAGAAAACAGCAACGTAAAGGCCGATGGCGAGTTCCTGTAACAGATTCAAAACAAATATGGCAGTCCCGGTGTGTCGTTACCGTTAAAAGTGATAATTACCGAAGTTTATTTTATTTTATCCGTTGGTTCTTGCAGTATTACGTCTTATAATCACGAGACTATAAAATATCAACCATAAGCTCCGTCAGTTACCTTCTTATTGATAATTTTGTGAGGTGACAACCGTTGGCTGACAGCCTCCCATAACAACAGCAAACCCGCGCAAATTTGGATTCGGTGCGTCGTGACGTATGTGTCATGACGTCGTGCGTCGTGACGCATTCCGACACGTTTATTGTCGCTTGCATTCACAGCCACTAGATGGCGACAAGTGACTGGATATATTACAGACTACAGATCTATAGGTCTTTACAATGCCGCTATGCTGTGAATGCGCACTCGATATTATTTGCTCTGTAGGATATTTGCCCTTTTAGATTACACTCCAATCCTCAAGGGAAATTATGCTGCAGTTCTACGTTTTGCTCAAGAGGCGCTTCAGCAGCACAAAGTTACACATACACTCCAGTACGGTAGTGAGGTTTGAGGTGTTTTGAGTAATTGCATTTTAAGTTATACTCCATAATATTTTAGAAAGACATTATTTTTTCCCATAATATATATTATATATATTCACTGACTAGTTCCATATTTAAATTGTTGATATAAATAAAATAAAATATGTTATGTTCATTCTACACAGCAGTATCTAAAAAAACAATATTCCAATCCAACAATCTCTTATTGCATGCACCACACTAACATTTATTGCAGGTACCCTTTCTACTTTTAAGCAACATATAGATTGCTTTGTCTTGTAAGTTAGTATTCCTACATGTGTGTACGTGTTATTTCTATCTGAGTACTTCTTTTACCGCTGATAACATTATATTTTAATAATTGTGTTAGCGAAGAGCTCCCAGCGCCTGGCCAGAATCTTACAGACTCTCAGGTCTACTACAAATTATTATTATTTTATCTATTAAAAATGTAATGTCTCTGTTGCTCAACAGAAGGACCAAACAAGGACGAGACGATTTTCACAAGAGAAAACATTTATTCCTCAAGAACAAATGAACCAATCATATCTTTCAAAATAATACCATTAAGAAGGCAAAAATTACATAGCGATTTCTTTTTAAGGCACAGGATAGATAGCAAGAAAAGTATTTAAAATCTTCCACGGTTATGACCGCATGACAAAAAATGTACGCGCCACATTGCAGCTGTGTCATCACATTAACATCTGGCAGCCCTCCTCATAAAATGCAATAACTGTTGTCTCACTCATATTATTCATTTTGTTCGACTCACAAGTGGTTTGAACATCAGTCAAACCCGTGTTCAAGTATCCTTCCTAGTATACAGCACTTGTTCATAGCCCTAAAATGCCCCCAGGTCCTCACTACCGTCCAAATATTCCACAAAATCATCTTAAAAATTACAGTTATCATTTGTATTTTTGCATATGTGCATTCCATGTTTGTACTCGAGCATAAATAACAATAACAGGTAAAAAATCAAATAACACTACATGACAAAAGGTATATCAAAGTGGAGACTGCTACTTGAGCCTACTTAAACGAATGCAGCTGTTCCTTTGGTAAGTTTTCTCAAATGACAAAACTGAATTTGGCACATCTGAACAAAAGGAACGGACGGGAAAAACAATGACAGCCGTAAGTTTCCCCTCCACAAAGGAGATGTGTGGCCACAAAACCCCCTGCAAATTTATAAATATTAGCGACTTTATTTTTTACATAAAACACTTAAAACAAAGACGAAGCAATTAGTGTGTTGCAACAAACGATGCTCTGTAACAATATGTTACATAAAAAAAAAAACCAGACAGGAAGACAGGAAATGTGTGAAAAATGTCTGGCATGCTGAAATCAGTCCCGTAAAACGGATGAAAAATGTACACGAATACATCAAAATGATGTGTCCTTATATTAAAAAGAAAACTATGTTACAGCAGCGACGGGGCTTCACTGCGTGAGGAGGGAGTCTGGAATACTTCTGATGCTCTGAGACGACGGGCCGCCTTCACTCAGCTCGTACCTGCGACGGAAAACGATACAGATGTGTATTTAGGCACTAAAACAGAACATTTATAACTCGAAGAAGTGACTTGAAAAAGAGAAAATACAAGTTTACCATTGTGTGTATCCTCGTGATATATCGTCCCCACTTAAATCCACCAGCACCTGTGAGTTCCAACAAGAAAGAAAACGCTTTTGGAAGAATCCAAAGAATTTGCTGGAGAATCCACATCGAGACATCCACCGGTTACCTTTCCCAGAAGCCCCTTGTGTTTGGACAGGATGTTCCCTCCGTTCTTCACGGCTACGTCCAGAGTTCTCCTGTGGAGCTCCACCATCGACACGCTAAACTCAAACCTGTGGGAGCACACGCATTGGACACGTCTGCCGATCGACTACAAACAACACAATGTCTGATATTCATAAATGTATTTCTGACTCCTTTTCCTCAGGAGCTGATAAAATATCGACCCACGTTTGATCATAAACTGGGTTGAGGGTCCTCTTCATCGTGCTGGTCTTCCTCCTCCCAGTCCGTCTCTTGTCGGGCAGCAAATAGAGGCGGATGAAGGGATCCGAGCCGTCTTTGGTGAAGGCTATCAGGTTACTGAGGACACACACAGGACAAAATGCTTTGACCCGCGTGCTGCCGGTCACATGTTGCTTAGGTTAACGCCGCCTGTTTATTTTTAATGTTCACGGCCACGCGGGAATTGAGGGGCACCGGCGAAAAAAAACCCCCAATGAGTAGGAAAAAGAGGCCTTGACAATGAGAAGACCTTCAAACTAAGTCCGCCGTATATATCTTCCAAAGAAAAAAGAAAAATCTAAATCTGAATGCAGGATCCGTGGAGCTCACCGGCAGGCGTGCGCCACCACAATCAGTCGGTTCCTCTGGGAGCTGTGGCGGATGGTCAGCTGGACCTCGCCCAGCGGGAACTGGCCGGGCGCCGAGCCGCTGCAAACACACCACATGACAAAATGTCAAGACTTCTGAGACGAGCCAAAGAAGACAACGAGATTGCTTTTGAAAAAAACAAAAAACGCCGGCCGGAGGGGCCGACCGCTTTACTTCTGCAGCTGCCGAAGCCGCTGGTGGAGCTCCATGGTGGCGAAGGGCAGCGAGATGTCCGAGGCCAGGCTGGGCGTGGACTCCTTGTGGGGCAGGTGCTTCTGGGAGCCGGACATGCAGGCGCCCAGGTCGGAGACACTGCGGCGAGGGCCGGCCGAGTACGGCTCGCCGTCCCCGCGTTGGAGGGTGAGGGTGGAGGCGGCCACCGGCGGCGGGGGAGGCGTGGGCGGAGGAGGCGTGGGCGGAGGCTGCGGGGAACCCACCGAGGCCGAACCCCGCTTGGCGGGAGCCGCGGGGGCCTGCAGGGGCACGCTGGACTTCCTGACCGTGACGGAGGAGGGCTGGTCTGAGGACACCTGCTTCTCCATGGAGAGGATCTGCAGCGGGACATGGAGGGGGGGGGGCGTTACAAAGACGTTAAGAAGACATACAGAAAGGGGACTGCGGTTGAATCCTCAATAAGATGTACAATTCTACTTGCGTCCTTAAACAACGGCATGACTTCACGGCGAGATTGACCAATCTAGTAAATTGGTCTCGGTGCCGCGGCTCCAGCTGGAAGACGTCGGGTGTCCGTCCAGTAAATTTGTCTTTATGGAGCAATTAATCATTTCTGTGTTCTGGAATCCAGAACTCCCAAAGGGCCATTTCCCTCTTTGGGTATTCGTTATGAATCTTGACATAAAGCCATTTCACTACCGGCCAAATTTCCAACGGGGCTGCCTTGGTTTTCTTATTCGATCAGTTGTGATGGATCGATACGGGAGGGAACACTTTGCTTTGGGTGTCACGGGGACGCGGCGCGGGTTTACTCGTTCTCCGGCGTCCGGCTGGTTTGAGGCAGTGACCGAAATCATTACGGGTCGGTATCAGCAGGGTGGCTTAATTAGTATCATGTGATGGCGAAGCGCCTTTGGGAAATGACGGAGCATCGTCCAGTGTAGGGGGGGGAGGGTTAAACTGACTATTCAATAGAAAGAAGTTTCATTCAAACTAACCGTCGTGACCCGCAACGCATCGGCAGTTATCTGAAATCCAATCTAAATATTTAAATATATACCACCAAGGAGAAGCGAGAACATTGTCTTCTTTTAGCTTCTCGTTTGAATTATTTGTTAGTCATTTGGGTGAAGCGGCCCGACGCGGCGCGCCGAGTGCGATCAGATCTGAGCGCCACGTTTCAGACGACACAGTCAACGTTTCAGGGCCTCAAGAGCAATCGCTGCTCTCTGCCTCCGTCTGACGTTTTAACAACAACTTTGGAGTATTAAATCCGCCACACAGTTGTCACTGCAAACTGCAATATGAGCCGGGTGAAGGAACCTTGAACGCTCGGTGCGGCAACAGTTGCCACGGGCAGCGGGCCAAACGAGACCGGAGCTGAGATCACAAGCTGTCAACGGTGTTCACTAAATCCCCTTCAGTTTGTTGTTGACGCGGCAAAAACGTTTTCCGTTTCCTTTCAGTTTTTTATTAGATTAACCTCGTCAATCTCCCGTCTGTTTGAGCAGCAGATGTGGAACGCCTGTTTCCGGGTTCCCCTCGGCCCGAAAACAAAGTACCTCTCACATCACCCGTCCCAACAGTACAGCGAGCGTCTTTACCCTCAGGGCCATCTTCAGTTTGATGGTGGAGCTCGGCCCGGAGTTCTTCAGAGGAAAGCACCGAGTCAGCGTCATGCCCTCCTCGTCCAGCAGCCCGCGCAGGGACACCGCCAAACTACCCAGGGTGCATTTGTGCTTGTCGTCTTTCACCTGCGCGTTAGGGGACAGGTCAGGCTCTACGCAGCAGGGAAACGCGAAATGAGCAGTTGAGGTGGCTGCAGCTTTTACCTCCAGCTCCAGCTCCTGCCGCCGGGGGTTGTGGATGAAGAAGGAGAAACAGTCTTCCCACAGAGGCTCCTTGGTCTTGTAGCGGATCTTTGCGGGGGGAGAGAAGTGGCCTTTTGTTTGGTCGCCAATCAATAAGACACTTGAGAGCAGCTGATTAACAACAACAGTTCATCCGGGCCGAATGTTAACTGTCCCCGCAGCCATTGGACCTCTCTTCATTTCTATGGCTCTATTTAATAAAGTCGTTTTTAAACCTCTAATTAGCTACATTGATTTTGTAATTGACCAATTAGCCAGTTTCCCCACAAGCTCTGTTTCCATAGATAATTAGCGACAGGCTTGTACTTGCAAATCGGATCGTAAATGCAAAAATTACTTTTAGGTTAAAGAGTCTTTTTAGCTTTAGGGTTTCTGTATCGAGCGAAAGGTGTCGAGGCCTCCTTTCTTTTTCTTCGTAAACTATCTAAACCTAGAGTGCCAGGTGAGGAGTGCCGAGGAGCTCTGATGATGATTGACAGCGCTCGTATAGTAAATATAGTTGTGGAGCGAGTTTTCTTCCCCACTGCAACGTCACCAAGTGATTCACGTCCACTTAACGCTTATTTCTAGAAACTTTCTCAAACCCACAGTGGAGTAAAACTTACGCTTCAGCAATACCTCGGTCTGCTTACGCACAGTGTGGCTTCCTCCTATATAATGTCCCTTTATTGAACGGAACCCGGGAGAAATAGCTGGTGCATACGCTAAAAATCTATGCAGAGGCTATTAGCAGACACTATTTTCTCAACACACATTTTCAGTTCATTTCTTTTAACTCCAAAGTAAGAGCGAAACGTTCCCGAACACAAAGCCCCCGGGAGAGACGGGCTGGCTGGTGGATTTCAATAAGTATTTATCTGTAAGCCTGCAAGATGTATTCTTCAGTGTTTTGTTTTTTCCTCTCGTAGCTTACAGGAGGAAATCCGCTGATGATGAAATGATGAGACTCACTTTGCTCTCCACTGATTTGTGTCCAACGGTCAGTTGGACGTACGGACAGGGCTCGCTGCTGCTCTTCTTTGCACACTGTTAGAGAAAGGCAGAGGGGGGGGTTAACTGATTCCCATCACTGTGACAACTTAATTGCAGCCGAACTGAAACAGCAGCTTGTTGAGAGAGAGAGAGAGAGAGAGAGAGAGGGAGTCCGGGGTGCAGGCCGGAAGCGGCATTCCACACAGCGCGGCGAGCGGGGCTGCAGGCAGAGACGCTTCCACGGAGAACGCATGGCTTTCAGTACTCCTACAGAATAAATATATATATATATATAAATATATCTGCAAGAGCCGGGGAGTCTAAACCTACTCGTTAACCCGTACTCTCCCCCTGAGGATGGTGCTTTTAATGTGACAAAGCTCCACATTGTACATTTCAGGCTGATTGAGACGGCCGCACACTGCGATGCGCCTCAACTTGGGCTGCGAAGGCCCTGACGGTGTTTTCATCATCGATGTGATTCTCCTTAATGCGCCGAAAATGACGACGTCCACATCCAGAAAAGGTGAAAAGGGTTCTCTGAATCTCTGCTGTGCCGTCTAGAAAAGAATACCTAGAAGAGTCGTGGACATCATGGACATTTCCTTTAGAAACAGTCAATAGGTCCACACCAATTGATGAACAAAGGCAACGAGGAGATGCCGAGGCTCAGTGAGTCGCCTCATTAACGGCCAGGTAGCGGCAGCGCTGCAGGCGGGATGACAAAATGACTACTGGAAGCAAAAAGAATCTTGCCACTGTCATGTTGCACTGAGGGAGCGGCTCCGCGTGTGCGACAACGGGGAGCCGCACAACATTATCTCCTCTTTGATTAGCCGACACCGGCTGGGTCGCTCTACAGGTTTGCTGCAATTCCCAGAAAAAAGGAGCACGCGTTGGACGGGCAGCAGCATGACATTTTCCCTCCTGGTATGAATGCGGCGTAAAGCCGCCTCGGCCTCATATCGATTGGACACACGATGCGAATAGAACAGATTGAGGGCGTTATTGGGCTTTTTCATGCAGGACCACGAGTTATTGTTACGAATAAAAAGAGAAAACTGCATGAAACAACAAAGACACAGAAAAGCCGACCTCAACATGCATATTTATTTAGGTAAGACAATTCACTCGTTCGACAATCATCACAGTCACATGACGTCGTACGGTGCGCTTGAAGACACAGGTGTGATTTTTGCATGCAAACCATCTTTCCCACATTACCTTCAGGGCCTTAAAGACTGAGACTTGCTTCAACCCGTCATAGGTGAAATCTGACAGGTTGCTCTTTAAGTCACAGGTGGGTTCGGGGGGGTGGGGGCAGAAAATCACACCCCCAGTTAGTAGGACAGGAGTTTGGTACGGTTAAGAGGCATGAAGAGAGACACGTAAAAACACGTTGAAATACGAGCCAGACGCGAATGATGTGGGAAATAGATAAAAAAAAGTAGCGTGAGGCGACACTGCAGGGAGCCAGTAACGAAAACACAGGCCAGAATAACCAAGGTGTTTCCTTCTTGTCTCTTCTTTGAGACACTGTGCAGCTTTTTCAAACAAGCTTCAGGCGTCCTGCAGCTGCACATTAATTGGCTCACCAATGCCGACAAAGATCACTAGCAGCTCTGCTGCAGAAATCCCAAATTATGGCCTTGAACTAAGCCCCTGAATTAGAAAGATATTCATCTGACTGACAAGCGGGTACAGCTGACTCCTCTGTTTGGAAGTGTCTGCTTTATATTAAGGGTTATTGGCCACTCATCTCAATCAGACACTCGAGTAGAAAACCGTGCAGCTACCACATGCTTTACGATGCAGCTTTTTCAAGACTGCCGCTATTGTTATTGACCCACGTCATTGCACACCGCTAACGCTATCAGGATGCAAAGAGGGTGCCGAGGGACTCACAAAGAGAGTTCTATACTCTGAAGTATTGCTCTCACAAAACACTAGACCCGATGCTCTCCTCTGACCTAAGTTCCCGCAGCCTAAGCTGCCTGTGAAGACGCTCTTGGGTGAGGAGGAAAAAGAGTAGAAAGAGAAGAAAGTGACGTTATGAGGGTTGAGATGAGAATCGATGGTTAGCATCCCCGATGGTACAAGATTTCTAATTGTGTTAGATACACAATGAATGTACACAGGATTCTGAAAGCAGAGCTTTTTCAGGTTCACGGTGAGGAGCTGGAGAAATAATCAGCTGTAGTGACTAATTCATGGATGTGGTTAAAGACATATTGACCCGCTGGGAGCTAAAGGCTGCATCCATAACCGTTCATCATGGCTTTAATGGATGGGTTTGCGGTCGCTAAGTTAATGAGGAAAAAGTAAACAGGCTTTCCCTGGCTGCTAGTTTCACCCGGAGGTCAGAGGTCATTGGAAAGCGATGAGTATTCTATGAATTCTAGGAATTGTGATAACAGGGAAATGGAGCTTTGCTGAACATTTACCCGTGATCCTTATTCAAACAAGCGTGCACACTGGTATTTCTCACTAAACAGGTTCTGACAATGGCCGCGTGTGTTTTCGGCGGTGGAGAAAAAACAAGGCCGACGCGCGAGTCTCGTGCCGTATCGCTTACCAAGGACCTACGGGGCACCACAACGAAAGCACAGACAGCGTGAAAACAGAGGGAAACATTTGCGGCGTCTTACTGGCAGGTTCTTTGCCGAGTCCAGATGGACCACGAGCAGCGCTGACGACAGCCCGTCGTTGGCCAGACTGTCTGCTCGCACGCTCTGCAGCACCTGATCAGACAGAAAGGTCGGTCACCACGGAGACGGACGGCTCTGTGGAGGCGGGAATGTTTCTTTTATTTTACCTGGTTCAACTTCTCAGGGGTGGAGAGCAGAGAGAGCCACTCCAGTTTTAAGTGGAGTTTTCCGGTGGGGGTTTCCTCCAGGTCGAACCACTGCGACAGGGTCACATAACGGCGATGTCAAATCAACAACTTATTGTTTAGTTGTTATACTAAGGTGGGTCATGTATGTTAGTAGAAACCTTATTAGACAAAATGCTTTGTCGCATTCGATTTCATTTGATGTGACTCTACTAAGTCCGTCCAATCGTTTATTATTAGCTCTAAACAATTTGAAATGAAATGGGGGAAATCATTTTACCTCATCAACCTTCTGCTCTTTGTACAGCTCACTCATGTCGATCATCAGGCTGTGAATAACGTAAAATAATAATTACTCAACAGTTAGCAGAGGAATCAAAGCAACCAATCAGAGGAGAGGGGCTCCAGTTATTGATCGTCTGCTTTGTGTTGTCAGCACTTGGTGTGGAGTTACAGGCGAGTGTGGCACTCAATTGAATTCGCCCTCGGGAAGTGTGGGAAAACACCTGCTCTTTACGTCGACTGATGTCTACCAGCACAGCACACCTTGTTTAGAACACAATACATCAAACCACAGCAGATCCTCTGTATGTCCATGCCTGTGTATCAATGACAACAAGGTCTGTTCTTAAATACCAGACAAAAAGATTCGTTCATTTCTCAAGAAGCACCAAATTCACCTTCCCAGGAAATCATCTTTGTCGGGATCTTCGTCAAAGAGCTCGATCTCAAGGTGCTGACCCGAGTGCTCGTACACCAGAGCCTAAAGGAGACAAGGAGACACTGATGCTCTCCAGTTGACCATTGTTGTTAGTTTTACTCAAAGTGCACAGCGACCAGCGGTCCATACTCCAAAGGGGGAACCCCAAACTCGTCACCTCATAAACCTCGTTCCACTTGGGATTGAGGCTCTCCTTCACCACCTTGCTGTGGAAGACCTGGTTGCCGATCTGCAGGACGCCGTACGGGTCGGACTTGCCCTTGATCAGCCCGCCCAGAAACGTGTCCTTCCCTTCCAGATCCTGGGCCTCCAAGAAGTGGATCCTCAGGACTCCCTGTGGAGACGCAGACACAGCACGGCGCTCAGGGGGGGGCGACGGCGACGCTGAAGTGGCAGCTTTAGACACTTCAGCACGGGAGTCGGTTGATGGGACGTGATAGTATCCAGCGGGTATCATGAGGCAATGCAAGAGAAAGCTGTGGCTTATTATTAAGCGTATAGAGGCAGAGGAAATAGATTCACAATTATATCATTTATTATTCACGTTTTTACTCCACTGTGTGAATGTTAGATGCTGCTTACAGTGAAATACCCTCCTGGGTCTCGAGCTTATGGTCTGTTATCACACAAGTGAAACAAATCGGATTTTGTTATTGTGTTGCCATGGATACAGGTCCGCGCAACAAAGCCTCAAAATGCCTTTGTGCTGCTGAGAGTTAAATGAACACTGGTGAAGACTTCTATTAGAATAGCAACCGTGAAACATTACACAGCTCATATGAGAAGAACCATCAGCTACCAACCGTTACCTCCTTCATTACTGCAGTGAGCTTACAATCCAACCCACATAGCGAGAGCAGGATGTGCATTTTCACGCTGTACGAGTACCTTGGGCATGGGGAAGCGCAGCAGGGCCAGTTCCACATCCCCGACCAGTGGGATGGTGATGCGATTGGGTAAAACCAGATAGTTGTAGATAATGTCTTGAATCAGATTGTCGGAGAGGCCGCTGTAAGGAAAGGAGGAGAGAAGGAAGTTAAAGCGAATGATGCAATGCATTATTTGTCAGACAATAAGGGTGACCTTGGGTTATAAATGTTCTCCTTCAATCTCAGTTTAGAGTGCACTTCTGATTTAGATGTGAGAAGATAATAGGAAAATTGGAGTCACGTCAAGCATGTTGGTGCCGCCGGCCAACAACCCTCTGAATGGCTATCCGATCCTGAATCAACACTTTGTGACAACAACAGACACAGCGAGAATGCGTTACCGCCACGCGTCTCTTTACTAATTTAGATGCTGCCGCACGGATGGAAGTTTTGCCATCGGGCTGTCCCTCGGGGAGACAAACAGATGCGATTACGCCACAGCCGTCCGTATCTCACAAGGTGGATTTCCTCGTCCATTTTGTGAAGTTGAAGCTGCAATTGTCTCTGGAGGGATCTCAGGACACATTTTTTTAAAACAGAGGGTATGCAGCCTCTCTGCAGGAAAGTGATCAGACAGTCTGAGAGGCCTTATCACGAGTCGGGTCCTACCTGGAAGGAATGTGTCCGAGGATCTCAGGGTGCTGCAGGCGCCGCAGGGCAATAAGGGCTCGGATAGATAACAGGGTGAGCGCGGCCGCTCAGGGCTCCGCACCTACTCCATTATATCTAGACATCCGTTCTAAAGGCAGCATGTAGGAGTAGTGAAAGGAGTTACACTCAGCTAATCGTTAGCAGATTCTGTGAGGAAACAAATGGTCCAACCCTTTAAATGTTTCTGTGAACCTTATAACGTGTTTTCTTAGCTTTCATACAGAATGTAACAGAGAACCCAAATATTGTCCTGTCATGGAGACAACAAATCCAGACCCCTATGTTTGGATCATGTGGACAGATCCTACACAATTGCAGCTTTAAAGGACAGACACTAAAGCAGCAACGTAGCACAGACCCCAGCTGCTCTGACAAAACCTGCTAGTGTTTGTGTCTGGAGTTGGGAGAAACATTTATTTGGTCTTCAGCTTATCTTTCAACCCGAGCTCCTCTCTGTGAGACGATTACAGACATTATGGTCCTCTGGCGGGAGACTGATTGGAGACCGAGCTCTTCTCCAGCTGAGAGCAGAGAGTGTGAAAGGATTCCTGGCGCATCAGAGCTTATTGCTGCCTCTGGATTGCTCCCCTGGCGTAAACAACGGAACACCGGATCGCGTGTGAGCCGATCGCTATTGAGTTTAGGAGTGTGCAGAATGCAGACATATACTCCGACATACGGTGCGTTACTGTGGTTTGCTCTGATAGCACATGCTATCAGCGTAGCAGAGCTGGTAGCATGGCTGTCGACTCCTCGTCTGCTTCCGATTCAGATTCTACAACCAACTCAACAGCAATGACGCATCACGACACGACAACAGGCAAGACTTGGATAAGGGGGTTCGGGCGAGACCCACTGGGGGAGGCTTCACGGTGGCAGCTGATGCTGCATTCAAAGATCTCCGTCTCTGCAGCTACAATTTCACCATCCGGGCCTCAGCCACAGCAGCTCAGCACTCTTTATCTGCACGTGTCCCCTCCACACACCCACACACTCAGGCACATGTGCACACACACACACACACACACACACACTGCATTGCACTCTGCCGAAGGAGCTAACATAGACCGCCTACTGAGCTCCAACGTGTCTGTCCACCTCAGCAGGGAACATGAAGACCAGTAAGACAACCTCATGCAGCATTCACACACGTGTCACTTTATTCGTGAAAATGTACGTGTGTAAATAAAGTACGAAGCACTCAGGACGGCTGTGAGTAATTTTCCCGGGCATTTAGCATCTCTTAATCGACTTTCGAATTACTCTCTGCTCAGCCCACACGACAAGGCTCTTAATATAAGCAAGGCTGAGGAAACAGGCTGCATGCAGCTCCTTTCCTTCCCTGACCAGTTTAAGCCCAGTTAACTCATTCTGGTGAAGCGCTGCATGAAAACAAGGACAAGGAGACCATTGGACACACAAGGACCTTTCTGGGTACAGCTGACTTACTTGAGCCCAGGAATGTCGAGTATATTTGTGAGGCCAGTCCAGTTTATGTCCAGAAGCTAAGAGAAGAGAAGAGGGAATGGGGAACATATGCCATATTAACACTTACTCTGGCTGCACACCAGTTTGACAAAGGAATTATCTGCAGTTTATGAGTCACAACAAGAGGCCAAAACACAGATCATTTAATGTAAATCAACACAAATACCTGCTCACTGAAATATTGATAAAAGCAGCAGCGAGACGTTAGGGTCTCATTAGTTTTCAAAGTATCCTGAGATCACAGATATGCGCTTCAACATGGCTGAAGGTACCACTTCTGAAGTATTCTACAGTCAGAAACCAACCAATTTACAGCAGCAGGCTGAGTGAGTCAGTCAAATGGCGAAGAGACAGTGGAAAGAAAGGCAAATGAAAGCAAGCGATCTGAGCGGCTGCGTCTCAGCGAGCTTAGATCAGCGTCTGCCTCCAAGGAAGCAGCTTCCTTAACAAGTCTTTCCCACCCTACTTGTACAGTGCTGCAGCCGATGCGCTGATGCCGCAGGGGAGAGGCGAGCACTGCATGGCTGTGATCCCGTCTAGTGGGGAGGGAAACACCCCCAGCCTGCAAAGCGCTTCTACGCAGCCGTTAAAGAGGCGTTTTATTTTTTTTTTTTACATTAATGTTATAAAATCAAGGATGGGACAATAAGAGCAAAGTCATCATTATCACTGTTTAAAACATGTTTGTAAAATAACCAGCAGCCACAGATATCATCTGTCCTTTATTTAAAGGCCCTCAGTGTGTTGCATCCTTTCGTTCTGACTCGCGTTATTGCAATTTCACAGCCAAGAGCGAGACCTCTTATGGTCTGGAAATGTTGCTATTTCACTTGGCGCTGGCGGTCGGGCCTTCTGCGGCGCGCTGGGAGGAAGGCAGACGAGATGTTTGGATTCCACTGCGCACGTTGTCGAGATCCTTTGGCCTACGGGGCAATTTATTTTACCACTTAATTTCTCTGTCCTCCAGTATGCGCGGTAATGTCCCTCGTGTGGAAACAGGAAGAATACTGAGGTGCGTGTGCGTGCACGTGGGAATGCTGCTGCCTTCTCGCTTCCGCTTCGTTGGGTTCATTTCTCCACCCTGAGCTTGAGCTGAGTGCGTCGGTTAGAGAAATCTACCAAAGTAGGACTAGCTGGTTCTGCTGCTATTTAAAGCTCCGCTATCGTTCCGCTGGGTCCTCCCATCCGCTACCAATCGGCCCAACATCTTAAAGCTGTGCAGCAGCGGCTGTGTGCGGGGGAGATCGCTTGAATGCACGTGAAAATATTGGCAACGTGCAATGCAAATGGTGAGTAATGAAGAGGGATGAAGACTCAAGGCCGGTGCGAATGCCGAGAAGAATGGAAGGATCGCTTTGTACTGTGATTCAGCTCTGATTTGAGGCCCAAGCCCGCCGCTTCAACCAGTTCAACCAGTACCACTTGTGAGGGGTACTGGTTTAATCTCCCCATGTGAAATGGGTGGGCGGTCGATAGCTTTTCATGAACAGAAGCAAAAAGTTTGCCAGGGCGTCCTGGTATATTAACAGTAAGTGTCGGGGGGGGGATGGGATCGGGCCTTCAATCCCATTAACATGCTTTATTTCTGCCTGAAAGAGGCTAACAAATGACAAAGGAGAAAGCCAAGGCGGGATCTGCTTTATCACGTGCAATTAGTTTAAATCTAGTGAGAGTATAAAACGCACAAAGGGCCAAAGTGGCGCATTAAAGATATTTGAGATATTTGGTGATATACAAAGAAAAGAGGCCGAACTTGGCAGAAAAGACAGCCGAGATAAAGCTGCCAGTGCGCACGAGTGAAATAAAGAAATGAAAGTAGACCAAACGGGTAATGCAGCCATTGAGGAGATGGGTGTCGCCAGTCCCAGTTTAATAGCATCCACTCCTCATTTTAACCTCGGCTGCCTTTTCTGTTTAACAGCTTTCATCGATTAAACCGCACTCATAACATCAGCGTCTGAACTCACCGGCTTCTTGAGGAAGAACACAGACAGAGCTCCGATAAGAGGCATGTCGCCCAGCAACGGCTCCATCACCACCCTCAGCACGCCGTGGATCTATGGGAGCACCAGAGGAGCACGTTGACACAAAGGGAACACCGCACACCCGGCTGGCCCTCGGCATTCCTCGGCGGTCGGCCGGAGTGTGTGACGGGTTTGAAACCCGACCGCGGCCCGGCTTCACACTCCGTCCACCTTCGTCATAACATATAATGACAATTGCCAGGGTCGGGGTAGTGGGAGGGGTCCACGGAGCGGACGACGTTGGAGAGTTCGTTGGTGTTGAAGCGGATACCGATTAGGCTCTTAAAGACGGCGAGCTGTTCAAGACTTCCCCAATATTTCCGTCACCAAGGAAAGTTCAAATTGAAAAGTTTCCTAAAACTAAAAAACTGGGGAACTGATACTTCTCTTTGTCCTCGCTGAGATTGAAGGAGCTCCTTTGAGTAGGCTGGCAAACCAAAACTAAATTTAGATTATTTCTCTGTCAATTTCTAGAAATCTCCTTTTCCTTTTCTATGAAGCAGTGCCTTTTACACCCTGGTGTTATTACACAGTCATTACCGTTTCTTTAGAAACAAATGTTTTTCCAATCAAGAAAAATGGCTGGAGTTTTTGTAACGTAGACCAGCTCACGGGTGTTGGCGGCTGACGATGGAGAGATGTAGGTCTCCCTGAGTTAGATAAAGGGACCAGCGAGTAACAAATGTCTCCCGCGGGGCCGGGCGAACAGCTTCCGTCTCCACGGAGGCACCCGGATTGTTTTTCTTTCTCTTTGCCTGCTTGGTTCCACGGAAACCACGAAAAGGTGCCAAGAACACGCGGCAACAAGAACAAAAACGCACACAAACACACTTTGTCGGGCAGTGAAGGGAGCAGGGGAGTCTTCTCAGGAAGTAAGATGTAAATCTTTTAGTGGCGTGAGGAAATATTTGTCTCACTGTGAGCGTGTGAGTCGCCCAGCACTCACTTTTACAGCCATTGAGGCAAGATCAAGATCAAGATCACAAAAACTGTAGTGATAATATGTTAATACGACGGGTGTAAGAGACCTTTTCACCAAAGATCAGGCCGACGCTCGTGCCAGCGGAAAGAACCTAAATACATTTCTCACCTGGATGCTCTTGATGCCGGCTTTGCAGTAGTAGCGTTTGATGTCTATGTCGATCTCGGTGTTGCCTACAAAGCTGAGGGACAAAAACAAATGATGTACAATAAAAGTCCTGTGCAAGGGTTCGGGATTCTCATGTTTGGATAAGACATTGGCTAAATATGTTTTATTCATTACCTTTACGGTTTAAAATATTTAAGATATAAACACAAACACGAGTCACGGAGGGATGTGACATGATTGCAGCCACATATTATTTATGGTTTACATTTTTACAGCAAGAGCTACTCATTCTAACAACATTAGGACTCATATTGCCCTCAATGCTGTATCCTCAATCTGGAATTATTGTTTTTAAAAGGGGCTGATAAGTTGATAAAAGTGTTAAACACGTTTATTTGACGCTTGCTATTGGAAAAGGATATCAAGAGGTTCAGGATTGTGTTGTAATATGCAACGTGCTTATTTAGTGTTTTCTATTTATCTCCCCGGCTGCATAGACGATGATTAAAAAAGAGCATCCGGTGGGCTCACCTGATCTGTAGGTCCATGATGATCTGTCGCTTATCCACATTTTCTGTGTAAACCTTGACCCCGTTGACCCTCAGGGGCTTCACCGCAAGAGAGAGAGAGAGAGTGAGAGAGTAAGAACCATCATGCACAACTCACAACGTCTCCCCCCAAAAAAAGAAACCCACGCGGCGAGCACAAGGCCGCCCCGTCTCCTGGAAACTATTCGTGCAGTGAAGGTCACGAGCGTTCCCGCTAGAGCCCCTGTTGCGCCCCCCCCCTCCGTCCTCCTTGCTTGGCAGCTGCAGCCGGCCGGCGCCCCCCCCGGGAAGCGCGCGGCGACACTCACTTTGTCGCCCATGTCGATCTTGCTGAAGCAGAAGGTGCTGAGGTGGGCGTTGGACTGCTTCACCGCCGGCTCGATGGTGTCGTGGAACAGCTTCTCCGCAAACTGGCAGATGTACGGCCACATCTGTTTCACCGTCTGAGGGGACGCAGGCAGAAGGAGGCCGCACGTTATGAGAGAAACGATCAGCCTACACGTCGATGATCATTGTAACGGGAAAGCACACGTGTTGAGAGACCTCGAGGGATGTGATTCTTCATGCAGGAACATCGCTGACACCACGAATGATAAAGTTACTTTTAAATATTTCAAATATTTAAGTGGAACCTTGTCAAACGCGAACCCGTCAAGCGGGCACAACAGCCACATTTTGATCTCAGCATCCCGATAGTGTAAATTGGAACTCGGTGAGTGGTTTATAGATTACATCCAGGTCGTTGCCATGGGGATCCACGGGACTTAATGCGTTCCACAGTGCAGCAGAAAGAGTCCAGTGTGCTGCAGCGTGAAGTGTGGCGACACACACGGGCCCCAGGGAGGGGAAGGGGAGATAGCAGAGGAGCGTCAGACGTCCCAGTTATTTCCCTTCACACATAGAAAGGGGGGCAGCGCGCGAGCAAACATAGTTAAGTGACAAACGCAGAGATTTTTTACCTTGTTCAGCCACTCCACTCGCTCGATATCTGGGAAGTGGACCTAAGGCGGAGGAAAGAGAGAAGATGGTTGATGGTTTGCTCCTCTGACATTCTGACTTGAAATGATGTTCAGAAATTGTCAGTTTAAAAAGCTAAAGTAAATCCCTGAATGTGATCCCAATTATTATTATTATAATTTAACCATCCGTGTAGGAAGAAAAAGAAGTTTCAAAACGCTCTTCAAGCACAGGTCATTTAGTTTCAGCTCTCCCTTGAGAATACTTTGCTTTTAAGACTTTCCATTCATCGCCCTCTTTTCACGTTTGGAGTAAAAAAAAAAAGCTTTTCCAGTTTGTAGAAATTTCAGAAATGACTGCAATACCAACCACTCTCACACCTTCAGGGTCTCCACAGACCTCCACTTCACAAGTGTGAGCTGCAGCTGGACCAATCTCACTCCAGGACCAAAGTAAATTGGCCATTGATTTAACATGAGCTGAAAGAAATGTCTAAGATAAAGTCGGTACCGTGCACAAAGGCGTGCAGCAATGCACGCGCCACCTTGATAAATGACGGCCCTCGCGCCACACTGAACTAAAGACGGTCATGTTCCCTCATCTCAACAGCAAGATAGAGCAGAGTGCTGGTGAGATGTGACACGCAGGCCGACAGCCACGAGGGACGGCACGACCCCCCCCCGTGGAGGCAGCGGCGGAAGTGCTTATCCAGCTCTTATGTCAAGCAGCGACAGGAGCAGGAAGACGCAGGGCAGAAAGTTTGAGTCAATGCAACGGATTCAGGCCTGTGGTTTATTATTAGAGAGACGCTGGCATGCTTCATTAAAACATCTGACACAGTGACCTTAATAGAGGAAGTGATGGATGTTTCGCTCGTTTGGACGAGTTTTAAAGTGCTGGCTGATTAAAAGCGAGCTGAGCAGCAGCGAGCAGAAGCAAAGCAGCTTGGTTGTTGGAAAGCTTCACATTCATCAGGTGAAATGTCTTGAAAGTGTGATTAACAGTGTCCTTGAAACTAGAAGAGAGGTTCGAACTGCTTAACGAGAGTCGGGAAAGGAATCGGCCGTCTGGAAACAAACCCCAAAATAGCAACTTGCTGTCAACTTCCCGTCGTGGTATAGTTAATAATGCATCGTTATTTTGTCATTTAGCAACTGTTTTCTAAACGTTATATAACATATATACATCTTTTATAGAGGTGGAATTGACCTAGTTCACCCAAAAACTGTCATCCGGTTGGATATTTTAGTCAGCATCTTTGTTTGCGTCTGAGTGTGCACGAGGCAACACATATTGTATCCATATTGTTTGCATATTGCCGTGTGAAACCAGATATTGATCACATTTTGGACATTGTTACATCGTAATATTGCAAATAGTTACGCATAATTATAATAATAATGATTATATGCACAATACCCCTGTTAGAGATGCTGAATTCATTCCCACTGAGATGTGAAAATCTTTACTTTCAGAGTAAGTAGCTGCTACACCAGCCAGCCTGAGTGAGTCACCCAGATGAACACAGCGGCCGGCGATATCTGGAACAAGAAGTGCTCTTTAGCAGCAGAAGCTTTGGCACCACACAGCAAAAGCATTTGTGAGAGCTGTGCCATGTCTGTAGAGTAACATATAAAGCAAAGAGAAAAGAGACCACCCCCTGAACACAGCTGGGGCCAGCTGATCAATCGCCGTAAAGCCGTGTTTTCCCGTGATGCACGGCCCCCGACAGGTACGACCACAGTCACTTGACTTGCAGTTTCTTTCACAAACCACCGACTTTAAGGACATTCATCAATGCCCCTTTCCTCTAGGTGGGATGCTGTTGCTCCACCCCATCCAGTTCCTCCGCCCCCGTTTAACGGCCTCGACGCCTCCTCCTGTGTCAGCAGAATGCGCGTTTTTACAGTAGAGCCTGAGGCGGTAGTGAGCATCACTAACTAAGTGGAGCTGTGGCTGTGAGAGGAGTCTGATATGGAAAGAGTAGGTTTGCAGTTTCTGAAGCAATACATGTGAGCACCCTTTTGGGCTTAAATGCAATCTAAACTTCATTAGAAATATGTGAGGTTTATCTAGATTAAAAGGGCCTTTGTGAATACCAAGTGGCCTCTACTGCCAGTTTATCTTCTGGACTTTCAGTGGAGTGGACTTGTGGATTTGTAGTCAGGAGGGAGTTTGAGGTTCAATCAATGAAAATGGAATTGAAATGACTGGCGCGTAAACGTTGTATATCCTTCATTAGGGAAAAGCCATTTACTTTGAGATGAACCCCCCTCGATGCCGTAATCCAGCTCCCCGCAGGACAGCAGTTAACAGCGTGGATTACACGATGTGTCACAAACCTCCATTAAAGGAACACGAGCCTCGGAGCGTAGAGATGTTGGGTTTACATCGAACATGCGTTTTGTGGGGAAGCAGCCTGCGTTAAATCCCAAACCTTGTTTGAGAGCGTACACGTTTGAAAATAAAGTGTTGAGGTAATGGAGCGAGTTAGTGAGCAGCGTGTGTCCCAAAATAACAGGGACCCCGTGGGCATGTTTCCCTTCCAGCGTGGTGTCTGGTTCACCATTGTACCCTGCTGTATTTAGACTCAGTCTAATGTCACTGCTGCTGCTGCTGGGGGGGTTGGAGGGGGGGGGGCAGCTGCTTCATCACAGCTTTACACCTCACCTCTGCTCTCTGTCAGCTGATGCATCTTCCTGGAAACTCAAAAATATTCTGCACAACAACAACAACAACAACAAAAACACCAGCACATGCGTTTACAGTGGGATCGACCGAGGCGCCTTACCCACGGTGGCAGGTCAGAGGTCGCGAGGCTCTGCTCGACGCCTCTCTCCTCTTGCTCCAAGAAAGCGAAAGCTCGGCCGAGTCGGCCGTGCTTCCCCGCCGCGTTCCTCCGCCACCAGAAGAAGATCACAAGTCCGATCAACAGCCAGCTGAAGCTGAACTCGAAGTAGCCCAACGCGTAAATGGGGAAGATGAGAACAAACGTCTTGGCCACGTCCAACCAGGTGCGGGTCAGCGCGGCGGCGGAGGACACCGGGGCGTCGTCGGCGGTGTCCCCCGGTGAGGCGCGGGGAAAGTTGGGACTCGGCGCGACGTGTCCGTTCTCTTTGGGCAAACGGGCTCCGCGTGGATCCGTCATGCTGTCCGCGGACACGTCTGTGGCGCGTGCTCAAGGCGCGTTAAAATGCGGGTACGGTCGGTGGACACGGTTCCCGTGCGCGAAGCCCCGTGTTCTCACGTTGGCTCACCCGCACGCCGGCCCATCGCCTCGTTGGGATTGACCACTTCGGGGTTGGGGGCGGTGGGGGCGAGGGTGGAGGTTTTCCGTCAACGACTAAAAGCGCGGGGACGTTTTTGACATGGTGAGAATCCGGTCCGTTCCGGTCCGCGGCTCCGCTTGCTGTGACTCCAGACAGGTTAAAGGCTCGATTCCCAGAACGCACGGGGATCACGCTCCGCGCGTAACCCAGCGGTGCCCGTTGCCTGGCGGGAAATGAAGAAACGCCGCCTCCTGGTGCTCAGTAGCGGCCAACGCAGCGTGTCATCTTCAACCGCGTGTTCGGTAACGCAACGTTAGGCCTACTAGTCACAAAGTTCTGTTGGTCATCTTTCAAACAATGACTTGTCTCACTGACTAGCAGAATTGTTTTGAAATACATTAAGATGTTATAGACGGTGGTATACTGACGAACACAGAGCAATCGATCGATAGACAGAGTTTTACAATCGCACGCAGCGAAATGAAGCAAAACACCAACAGAAGTGCCACATCTATTAGTAAACATAAGCATATCAATAAGACGCACAACGTTTCGATACGGCTCGTCAATAAAGACATTCAAGTCATTGACCGCTGCCATGGCAACTGCTGTTTGTTCCGTTGGCTTCTCGGCCGCCGATTAAAAGGTCTGTTGTCAGGCTGATGTGACGCGATCTCCTTGGTTTCGGCTTACTGCGCGTGCGCACAAGTGATTTGCCATCATGGCGGCGTCGTTACTAAAATATGAGTTTATTTTGGACGTTTGAAAGACTCCAGAAAATAGAAACCCCAATAAGAACATGCATAGCGAAAAGGTAAAGTGTTTTATCTTATAAATGATCGTGTGCTGTCTAAAGCAAGTTCACGTGAATAGTAGAATATCCGCTGTTGTTGTGAACAAACGTTGTCGTAGAAAATAAACTGGGCATGGGTTGGTTTGATATCGTGACAATACGTTTGCTGTCGTTTTTGAATGAACCTTGATACTGTCATCTAGTGAACATCAAAATGTTTATTTAGAAATTAACGAAGGAAGACACATGGAGACCAGCTGACCTGACAAGACACATAAGGGTAAGTTTGACACATAAGGGTAAGTTTTTGCGAGTTTAGGACAAAGTTCCAGCTGGAGTTAAATCTGTAGACGTAATGAAACCTAAATAACATGGTTTTATTTTCTCTTTTTTCAGGAGGAGGGTGATGACAATGAGAGAAGGCGTCGCGGTGGGGAATCCGTGGAGAGACGCCGCAGGGACCCAGAGAAGGCGTCCAGACAAGAGAGGGACAAGCCCAGGGAGATATCGAGGGAGAAAAGACATGAAGACCAAAAGTACAGATATTCCGATCGGCGCAAGGAGGGCTCGCGGGATAGGAGAGGTGATAAGGACCAGGAAAGAAAGGATGACAGGGAGACGAAAAGGGAAAGAGACAAGTTGGTAGCTGGGCAGAGGTACGACGATGATTACAAGAGGCGTGATAGAGAGGACAAGCAGGACAAAGAGAAGGACAAGGAAAGACGCAGAGAGAAGGAGAAAGACAGGGAAAGGGATAAAGAGAGACACAATGAGGGGCAAAGGGACAAGAGAGGGGGAGAGAGAGAAAAGGAGAGACGGACTGAAGAGCGGGACAAGGAGCACAGGAGAGGAGAAAGGGATCGGATGGAAAAGCCCGAAAGAGAAAAGACAGATCGGCATCTAGGGAGTGAACGACACAAAGACGAATACAGAGACCACAGGAAAGACAAAGAAAGACGAGAGAGACATGGAGACAAAAAGGATTTGGAAGCGAAGGACGAAAGTGGTGAGGCCGCAGCCGTGTGCACACTTAGCTTTCCGTATTCACCGGATCGTCATTTCCACACAAGATAAGCCTTCTTATGTTTCTGATTTCAGAGCGCACAGAAGAAAAGAGGAGACACAAAGAGGAGCGAGAAAGAAGACACAGAGAAAGAGAATACCAGGTAGGCTGGTAAGCTTGTTACTTAAAGTGGCTCCCCGGGTCGAAACGTTTTCCTCCGTGTGGATTTTTGCTCTTTCGCCAGGATGAAAAGCGAAAGCGTGACAGCGAATCCAGGGAGAAGCGAGACTCGAAGGGTTCAGGTGAAGAGGTCAGGCGTCACCGCGGCGACAGAGAGCGAGCGGAGCGGGACAAACGCAAGCAGGGAAGGCAGAGAGAGGAAGACAAGGAGGGAGAGGAGGAACCGCAGGGCAATCCTCACAGAGACGGGGTCAGCTCCAAGAAACCAGCATCTGACAAGAGTCATAAGCAGGACCCCAAAACGGAGGTGTGTGCGCGCCCATAAGCTGCCTTTGCGCTGTAACCCAGCTGGCTGTCAGTGTGCATTCAATGCACTCCTCCTCCACAGTTCGTACAGCTCCAGTTTCACTGTAGTCCTTCGTCATCCCAAAGAGTTTCTGCCTATTTGAGACATTTTTTACTGGTTTTTTTTATGTCACATCCTGTAGGCTGCCGAGGATGAAGTTTCGGCTGACCAGGAATATGAAGATGACTTTGAGGTAATAATACGGCTTTTCTAATTGGGCAAAAGGCCACATTACGCAGAACCGTGTATGGTTGTTTTTTCATTATTTATCATGTTAACGTAAACATTAATCTGCTCATTTTTGGTTATTTCTGCATGCTTTAATCCTTTCAAAGAAAGCGGTGAGTATTGGGAGCTTTTTCGAATGCATCCATTTTTCATTCCTATAAGATGCGAATTGCCTCTTTTTTTAATACTGTTTCTGTCTTCCACATATTCCAAATGTTCTAATATTCTAAATGATGTGATTTCTCCACTGACAGGAATATGAGGAGGACTTTGAGGAGATGGATGAAAGCCCAGGCGAAGGTGCGGACGAGGGGGAGCAACGGCATCCAGCGGCGGGGGAAGAGAGGGAGGAACTTTCAGCACAAAGGAGAAAGGAAATTGAAGCGATTCAGCGAGCCATGGACGAAGAGAACCAGAGAGTTGGAGCAGCTCAGTCCAGACAAACTGTGAGCACAGAGGAGGAAGAGACGCCCAGAGGTACGCTCCTTTCTTCTGCTTTATTTAGTTAGCACTTGTGTGTCATGGTATGTTCCAGTGTGTGTATTATACAGCGTTACATATGGCCTCTCTGCTGCTCTTTTAATAGGATCAGAAATGGGCCCGAAGAGGGAGGGAGCGTCCCAACGTGGAAAGTTTATCGACTTTGTAGCCGCGAAGCAGCGTGAAGTCAGCAAGAAAGTTTCCACCAAACAGAAGTAAGTCACATGCAGGTTGAGCCGTTTTGGATGTGATTCGATGCTGGTAGTGAATCCTGTTTTATGATTTAGGACAGGTTTTTCTTTTTTATTCTAACATCAACGTCTAATTTCTTCAGGAAACGCAGTACAGAGCTCCTCCGCTTGATTGATCTGGACTTCTCGATGACGGCCTCTCTTTTGGATCTGCCCCCGGTGAATGAATACGACATGTACATCAGGACCTTTGGAGCGGCAAACACCAGGCAGGTTAGTGTTTCTTTCACACGTGACACGGATACCTGTAACCACATTTTGGGTAAAAAAAAGCAAAGGAGCTCATGTCAGCGATGTGACGGTGTGTGTTTAAATAACCTCGTCCATGTCAGGCTTACGTTCAGTGTAACGAGGACAACGCTGACAGAGACGTCCAGACGGAGGAGATAGAGGTGTGTGAGAAGTGGACGCAGCATCCTCCGGAGCACAAGGGAGCCTGTGGAGGTAAGGAAAAGCCAAATACTATGAGCTTTATGTTTGAATATAGAGTTCAGTACCTGTGTTTTTTGTTTTTGACAGATCCAAACCTCTCCCATGAAGCACGAAACAAAGGTGAAATGAGCTTCGATTCGCAGCGTCTGACAGCGTTTCTGCGCTCAGCCTCCCAGGTTGTCTTTTCACACTTAAAAATAAAAATACTTGTTGGACTTCCTACGTCACTTTTTGTTTGTTGTCTCCACAATTAAAGACATGTGTGTGTTTTTTGTGGCTGAATCAAGGTCATGGTCATCCTGTTGGAGGAGGATCGAGCGGAGAGAAAATCCCTCAGGAAGCTGAGCTCTCAAACCGACACGCCGTCTTTCAGCGATGGAAGTTTACAGCTCAACACCAATTTGTCCTTTCTTTACGGTACGAACACCAACCCGGAGAAATTAATTTATGATAATCATACCCTCAAACCACTGTATTCTCATTTGTGTTGTTTGGATTATGCTGCTGTTTAAACACCTCGGCTCTTTATCACGGATTGCATCTCATTTTTGATCCGATTGTCCGTCACAGGTCGGCGCATTAGCCTGGTGCACTTCTCTCAGGCCCAGAGGCACACCATGATGTCCGTCCACAGCCCGACCACCGAGCCCAGCGCGGTGCGTCTCGACGGCTGCACCGTCATCTGCATCTGGAACATCTGGGAGCCGTCCAGACCCCAAAAAGTCCTCGTCTACGAATCCGAGGCGAGATTTTCTGTTAATTCTTTTTATTCATCTGTCCTAATATGCAACACGCACCAAAACAAATATAGTGTCCTGAAATCAAACCTGCCAACCCCTTTTTAATCTCCACTGCTACAGGTGCAGTGTTGCTGCTTCAGCCCCGGAAAGGCCATCTTGGTGTTTGCAGGCACATCCGTGGGCTCCGTGGTGCTGTGGGACCTCAGGGAGCACGCCGGTGCCCATTACCGCCTGACGATTGGGGAAGAGGAATGGGCTTTCCGGCAGCCCACCTTCTCCACTGGTGCGTTTTCAGAAAAGAAAGGACATGGCTGGTTGAGATAACAAGACCCCAGTGCAATCATATTTTTTGTACAAATGCTGGATCAGCTTTATATGAAGTGAGAAATCTGGAATCTTTTAAGCACTTTTGGCTAAAACCACATTGAAAAAGAAGAAAAATTTGAAATCAACGTCTTTAAAGCCGCAACCCTACACCAAGCATGTGTTTCCTGAGCTTTTTTTGTCTGCCTTTATTTTAAGAATATTAAGCCCCTTGATCTTTCAGTCAGCCATCTTTGTTGGCGTGTATTTATGTCTTTTGAGAGGAGATAACTGTCAGCAGGTAAGTGGCAAACATTCTTAATTTGCTTCATCCGGTGATCCAGTACTGCCTTTGCCCTTTTTGTCACTTTCAGAGTTCAGAGACTCTTTTTATGACGTAACACTTGTCAACGCAGACGCAGTGATGGCCGGCTCGAGCCATTTCTCATCGGTGACATCTGTAGAAGTCGTCCCCTCCACTGCACCGGGGGGGCTGAGGCCAGAGGTCCCCCTTTTGGCATCCGTAGAAGGTACGGAATGGTATAGGGGGGGTTAACACATCGATTGAAGGTCTTGTGTAACATTGTGTAAATGCACCATGTGTTTTTTCCATTCACAGTTGGCTTGCAGTTTGATTGTTATTCTGTTTCCTAATGCAGAGTCGTCAAGGTTGTCCTTCCAGCTGGCCTCTCTGGATGAAATGGGCGTTCTGAATTTCTGGGTAAGTCGGGGGCGACAAAGCGGATCCTTTTGTGTTTTTCTTTCTTTGCCCACATTCCCACACATTCGCAGCTGGCCGGAAGCAATTAAGGAAACCTTTCATTCGTTCCTGAATCCCGGTTGTGCCACGATGGCCTTTGGTGATTTCCTCTCTCTCCTTTAGGTGGTAGTGGAACTCCCAAAAGCCAACGAGGCAGGCTCCCCAACTGATCTAGGTAAGTAAGGCAGGCCCATTTTAGAGCACCCCCCCATTTTTTCCGTGAACACACTTTCTCGCAAATGCTGGTACAAGCTTCAGTGTCTCTCTCTCTCTCTCTCGCTTGTTTTCCTGTGCAGGGCTCAGGCCTGGCGGGAAAGTAAAGCTACTTCACAGCTCCCGCCTCCTCACCGCTGACAGGTGAGATTGATGAATAGCTTGTGATGGTCATCCGTCACTGCGGCCCACCAGGCTCAAAATACCCCACCATGTCTTTCTGCAGGGGAGCACAGCTGCTCTGTCGTGGTCATACGATCTTGTCAACATTTCACTGGAACATATTCGATATGTGCGGCGTGGATGTGATGAAGTGTTGTGTTCCGCTGTTGCACCGGTTGCTTTTGGCTGGGAATGTGACACCTGGTTTGGATTTGTTTTTTTGGTCCGTCTGGTTCTCAGGGTATCGCCACGAGATGCCGCAAAAGCAGGTCCGCTGCAGACGCTTCTCTTAAGATTCCTCCCAACGGACTCCAATCATTTCTTTATCGGCACCAACATGGTGAGCATCCTCTCGTCTGCTACAGTATAACGTCATTACTGTGTCATTATGTGATAATGCATTGATATCCTTTTTTTTTTTTAGGGTCTGGTCAATCATGAAACTAGTCACGGTTTAAAAGCCCCACCAAAGTTTTACAGGTTCCAGGAGGCTGGAGTCCGACCTATTGATGTCACCTCCATCCACTTTTCTCCATTCAGGCAACAGTTGTTCTTGGTGAGAGAATGCATCTTTTAAAGACTACTTAAAACATATTCTTCAAATATATTCTATTCCAGTGATCCTCATTGCCATGCAGGGAGTCCTTTACTCAAAGTACCATTGCATTAAATAGCTCCCCCCGTCCTTATTGCAGGTGGGATGCGGAGACGGCAGCATCAGGCTGCATCAGGTCAGCCGTGAGCATCCCGTAGCAGAGTGGAAGAACGGTACAGCTGGTGAAGCGGTGGTCTCGCTACACTGGACGTGGACCAGACCTGCGGTCTTCTGTGTGCTGGACGCAGCCTCGACCCTCCACATATGGGACCTGGTGAAAAACGACGCAGAGCCCGTGGTCACCGAAAGGATGGACTCGGACAGGTGACGGCAGACACAAATGAGGGGTGATTTTACTTGTGGATATTCGATTTGGTACGTTGACGTGTGGTGCTCATTTATCTGCTCTCCTCTCAGGGTAACGGCCGTGACTGTGTTTGGAGACTCGGGACAACAGAGCATATATTCAGGAATTGCACTTGCACACGAGTCAGGAAAGATAGAAATGCAGTATTTCTCAAGACATTTTACTGTACACATTGAAGGAGAAGAGGAGAAGTTGGAGAGTATGATGGCTGAAGGCTTCTGAAACACTGAAGTGTTTGTGCTAATTAAAAATATATTAAAACTCTGGAAAAACAAAAAGGGTCAATTTATGAATCGATTTTTTGTTAGTCAGTTTGTATACTCTTTCATTAGTTTTTTCCATGTTGCTAAAAAATGTACAGGAACATGAAAATAGTGTGACTGGAAACCAAAGATCCTCTAAAGGGGATAAATATCCTCCATAAATCATAAGAACTATTATATCAATATTTGATAATGGAATTATTTCTACTGTTAGATGCAAAATATTTGTTTGTTATTATCAACTTTCGATTTTTATATAATAAACTGCCTATATCTGTGGTTGTGTTACATTTTCTCTATGTACATTTTCAGTTTTCTGTGTGTGTTTTTTTTTTTTTTCAAAGCAGTTGACTAGTGTTTATACAATATGTTAGACCAGGGCAATGGATTTTAGTTACTACCTCTAAAACGAAATTCAGAATTTTAACCTTTGCTTTATTCAGTGAACACTTGTTGTGTTGTCTTAAATTTAAACACAGCCGCTAAGAAAATCGGCCCTCTTTACGGTGCCAAGATTAAATCTTAAACAATTAATAATCAAAAAGGATGTAATGAGTTGAATCTTCTTTCCAGAAATTCACGTAAAAGGTGCTTATTGAAGACATGACCTCGGTATCCTCAATGGTAAATCCATCCATCCAAAAGAGATTTTATTTATCTCATTTAGAAAAGATCAGGTTTTGTGACCTGCTGCCATGGATGTATCCGAGCGACTCGTTGCCTGGCAACAACGCTGGGAGAACAAGCTATTAGCACAGTTATGATTTCTTTCAATGGTTTAGGCTCAATTAACTTCCCGCTGCTGCTTCCAGACTCCATAGTTACTGGTTGGTGGAAGGTAAAGACAAAGTTTAACATTGTTTACCAACCTTTAATGATAGTAAATTTTCAATTTAAGACCTTAAAACAGTGATTTCAGCTAGTCGTTAGCTTACAGATTAGCTAACGTTACTAAAAGTTCGTTAACAGGTGAACTGTGGTAATGATCGTTAAACATGAACAATTTTGCTTCATTATATTACATTTTTGTGTTAAAGGCTGTACAGGCACGCAATACTATTATGTGTATTGTTAGCATGTTATCAATATTTAATTTTTACACCACAGAATCGGCAACACTCCTCCTTCTGTTCGGCTTTTTCTACATAGCTTCGCACAAGTAAGTTTCCCCGGCAGAAAACTTCAGTGGATGCTGCAGGAGCCCGAGTAGAAAGTTGTTGAAATGGTGGCCCCGGGAGAGGAGACGAGAGCCACGGCGGTACTCCTTCCTTCCGGTCCTACCCGGAGTCTGTTGTCTCAAGAGAACGGGACGTCAGACGGAGAGACGCTGGGCCAGCAGAATTTGTTCAAGCAGGATGGGAATCCAGCTACGGACCAGGTAGAAAGACCGATGCACACTGGCTCTGTGCAACCCCAGACATCCCGAACACCTTATGCTACTTCTCTTTTCCTGACTCTGTAGGAAAGCAAGCAGCGCGCGTTCACTCATGGCCTCCGTCGCCTGTGGCATTTCTCCTGCGACAGCCCCGTGCGTTTCGTGACGTATTCCGACGCCGACGGAGCTTTCATTAGCCTCCATTCAGACAACACGGCTTGCTTTTACAGAGCTGACGGCCACAAGCGAACTTCCCTCGCGCGCCTCCCTTTCACGGGCCTGACCGCCACAAAGGTCGACGGCTGCCTGGTGGGTTGGGGCCCGGGGCCCGTCTTCACACTTCTGGACCGCGACTTACGACCGCTGGACGCTGCTCCCGATGCCCTGGACATCCGCTTGTGTCAGGCTGCAGAGCACTGCACGGAGTTGGTGACTGCGGGCGCCGGGAACGTGTGCGTGTGGTCCGTGGTGCTCATGAAGTGCAAGGTGAAGATACGGGGGAAGCTGCGGCGCAGCACCTTCACTCAGTTGGCACTGGCAGCCCCCCGATCAGGCAGGCCTCACAGGGCCTTTGTGGCGTGCGGGGCGGACGTGACGGTGGTCGACCTCAATGCCGGGAAGGTTTCGGAGCACAGGAGGGATCTCTGTTCGTGGTGTGTATTGGTGCATGTCAGACTGTGAGTGGTGGGATATCAATGCTATTGGGCATAAAGGTGAACAAGTTATGTTTTACAGCAATATCACTGCCATGGTGTACTGCTCTCAACTGGACTGCTTGATCACTGCAACTCAGGAGCTCTCCATTAAAGTATGGGGTCCAGGTTGGGAACTTCGCGTTGCTTTTGTTGGACATAATGGTAAAGTCATAACGTCTCACCATTTTCTTTTTCTCCATCTTTATTGTGAGACAAAATGTGGGCATTCTCTGTTTCATTTGTGTCCAGGTGTGGTGAGCTCTCTGTTCTACTGCTCTGCATGGAGCATGCTGTTCTCCGCCTCTGAGGATTCCACGATACGCAGCTGGGACGTGGCCGAGGGCCGCGGGGTCGAGTGTGTCCACACGGAGCAGAAGACCCCCGCGTTGTTCATAGGTGGCACTAAAAAGGGAGATGCGTTCTCCTCGTTCTCTCACAAGGCGGTGGAGCTCTGGACCATCAGGGCCTTGTACACCCTCCACTGTGTTATCAAACGGGATGAACGATCCCCACTGAGACAAATCCTAGCTTCCCCTCTTCCTGCTCCTTTCCCCTCACGCGTCCTCTGTGTGAGCGGGGACGGTGACATCACGCTGGTGGCCGCGGGAACGGGAGCGGTGTTGACTTCTTTCGAGGCGACGCAGAGGATCACGTGCGCCGACTACTGCCTGCAAAGAGAGCTTCTTCTGGCTTTGACTGACACAGGTACGGTGCTCCTGGCCAACACACTCACCAATCCAATCGCTCTGATGCACCAGTGGAAGGAGAGCGGCCAGGGGCCCTGGCAGCCGACGGACCACGTGAAAAAAGCCCAGAATCCGCCTATCCCTGGCCCGGCTTGCTGCCTCGTGCTCTACGGTTGTGTGGCTGAAACACAGAAAGCTTTTAAGGAGTGGAGGAGTCTGCGGGATGGAAGGGGATGCGGCCACACGAACAAAGCAGCGCTTGATGATGCCAAGAATAAGTGAGCATTTTGTCTGCTTTTAGCTATTACCTCTGTGAAGGTGCTTTTGTTCCAGGCAAGTTTGATTGTACTTTACAGGTTTGTGATCATTCTGGGCCAAAGCGGAGGCTGCGTGAGTGTTCTGGACATCGATAACGGGGAAGTCTTGTGGAGGACGCAGGCACACAACGGTCAGAAAGTCACCAAAGTGCAGGTGTATCCCGAGAACAACTGCCTCCTCTCCGCAGGTATTTCCTAATGTAACTTTGTTGCTTTGGTATCCTTGTTAGAGACGACTCCTTTTGCCTTTTCCCCAAACCATAGGCGAGGACATGACAGTGGCGGTGTGGCAAGTAAACCTCCAAATCCAGGACTGTCTCAGCCAACAGCTGAGCGTGCACTGTGGCCGTCCTCCCGTCTACCTGGCAGCGCTGGGGCGCCACTTGGCCTTGACCTCTCAAGAGCCCAACAGCGGCACCTACAACCTGATGCACTTCAACTTACCCAAGCAGAGCCAGACCGGTGGCCGGCCCGGTGAAGGACACTCAGACCACTTCACAGGTCACATAGACTCTTCTGTTTGTGTGCCTACTGGATGGATTGTCTACGGTGCCTGGTGTTGTGTTTCTTGCGTGTCTGAATGTTCCTGCTCTTGCAGGATTGTGTGCGTGTACTGATCTGGACGTGTTCGTCTCCAGCAGTCTGGATGGAACACTGTGTATCTGGAACGAGAGGAATCACCTCATCAGGTTGGAGATCATTGTCTGCCCTCTGAATTCTTGAACAGCAGGTGTGAAAAGCATGCAGTGATAATTGGTGATGTGCATTTGTGTATTTGTGTGACACCTCCAGGACGCTGCAGCTGAATGCGGTGCCCGAGTGTCTGGCCTACTCTGGGTTTCGAGGGGAACTGTACCTTGGCATTAAAGGGGATCTGTACCGGATGGATTGTGCAGAGTTCCTGCCACACTACTATCAGCAATTGGTGACTCATCGATTTACAGTGTGGCTTGTTTTTTTTTTTACCAAAGCTACAAAATATAAACCCAATTTATCCCACTTTTTTTCCACAGCTACTTTACACTTATTACGTCAAGCCTCCTCCTGACATGCCTGTCATGGAGACTAAAGACGAGTCCAGCAAAGGAAGGTGAGAATTTATAATTTTGTAAATTGAAAATACCACAAAGTATGAGTATGAGCAATATTTGTGCAAACAGGACTGCAAGCACAGACAAAGATGAGGAAGAGCAATTGCCGGCACTCGGCAGCAACGTGTTACTGACTCATGATGTGACAAGACAGAAGGTGTGTGGGAGTTGATTTTGAGAAAACCTTTTCTGGTGGCATACTGACCACCACATACTGGATGTGTTTAAATACCCAGAATATATTTTCCAACTGTCTTGTTCCAGGAGTATGTAAGCTCAGTGGCCCCGGCGATGGACCTTGCTGCACTCCTACAAAGCTCAGTAAAATGCCAAAAAGGGAAGCCCCCCAGCACAAAGGAAACCAAGAAAGAGGCTTTTGATTGCTATATGAAGATACTTTATGGGTTACCCCACAATTTTAAGGTTCTTTCCCCCCATTTTTTTCTTTCTAAATTACACAGATTTTAGCTACGTTCTCTTTATAATCAGCTTCCCTTTCAGTTTTCCTTTAATACCCAGAGGCAGTGTGACACTAGCGCAAGTTAAACACATGTTTCATTTCAAGGCTTCTTTCCCTATGAATCACCATATTTCTTCATGGCGGCAATGTGGTTGTCTCAACTTTCAGTAATCCGCCATTTAAATGTTTTTGCATGAATTATGCATTTTGGTCACGCTGTGTCAACAGATTGATTTGGAGGACAAGTCTGACCCAGATGAATTTGAGATAGACTCATTTCATCCTGAACCATATAACGTTGAGCGTAACCTTCCCAACTTGGATGTCCGCCCAAAACTAGAGATTGTGAAGAAAAAGAAGGTAAAACACACCGTTAGCTCGATACAAAAACCTTGTTCTCAAGTCATTCTTGACGTTGCTTTGCAGAAATGTACAGAATTCACGGCTTTATTTCAGTTTGCGTTGATATCAGTCAGTTGTATTAATCTGTTTCTCTATCTGCAGGAGAAAAAGGCTCCAGTAGCAATCTCCAAACTGAAGACCCAGATTAAAGTAAAGCCGCTGCCGGTTTCGGCCAGGAAACCCGTCATAGCCAGGAAACCCGTCATTGTGGAGTGTGACGAGGTGAGAGCATTGCTTCACACATAAAGAAACACAAAAGAAACACACTAAACAGCAGCGCCTGCACGTGTCAACGCGCAGCCTCCGGTGAGAACCTCTTCAACTAAACAACCCAAACCCGAAACACCTCCTCCTCCTCGTCGCGAGACCCCTGCAGCACCGCGGGAGCCCGGTCCCGACATGCCGACGTTCCTCAAGCAGTTTGCAGACAAAGGCTGGTTTAAAGAACTGTATCCTGATAAAAAGGTAATCAGCGGCAAGCAGTTACCATGAGATCACCCACCATGGTAAAAGCTCTTAACACCTGTGCGTTTGTGTGCAGTCTGTCCCGAGCAGCCTTTCTCCAGACGACTTCTCCTTGCAGCTGCTGGGTTGTCTGGACACCCGCAGGACTCCGATGGAGATCCTCAGCGCACTGCAGGCTCTGCACAGCCAGGGACTCTTACACAACACAGACACAATCTACAAACTCCTGATGGACATGGTGCCCAAATTTGTGGGGCCACACATGGTATTGTATATCCAGGATCTACAGCAGCCACGGTGCATTTTAAAAAGTGTGACTCATTGTCGTTTTTTTGGTTTGTTTCAGTCTGCTGTGGAACGGGCCGCGCTGGTTGAAATCTTGAAGCTACTCGTGTGTCTCAAGTCCGTCAGCTACGAGTTCGTGAAGATGCTTCTCACACTATTAGCGTTTAAAAACCTCGGCCTTCGGTGAGAGAAGAACGACCAGTGGCAATACAGGCACATCTCGACGGCTACATTTGAAACAGCTGTAACCACTGAGATGAAATGAACTTGTCAATAGAGAAACCGTGGTGAGAATGCTGCCTGGCTTAGCCGTCCACGAGGCGGAGCGGTGGCTGTGGCCTGAGCTGGAGAGCTGGGACTCGGGGCTGCAGGACCAGTCTGACCTCTGGACAAGCCTCAACGACAGAGTGGGCACTTGGCTGGAGTTCTGGATTTCCAAACACAACGTAAAGCACTCTGAACGGGCTCTCTGCTGCTTCTTGGCTCCTTGGCGGTGACCTTAACTGGGCCATTGGCGAAGCGGCTGATTCTTGCCTTGCTGCATGAGTGATTAACTCTCCCTCACCAGGAACATAGAAGGGATCTCCACATCAGGAGCCCGGAGAAGTGCGAGGGGTCAACCTTCCGCATGGTGGAAGTGCTGAATCATTGCTGCTACGCCCAAAAGGAAGAGCACAGACGGGCTCAACACGACGCGCCCGCCGCTCGCAAAAACACTGTTCTTTTGCCCCAATCCGACTGGTACGTGAAAGCCACGCGGTAGATTTCCTACGCAAAAAGTACTCCACTACAAGTTTGCTTTGTCCGTGCAGTAGTTCTCTACCGATCATTCGTCTTGGGGAGACTTACAGCATGGCCCGGGCGGGGAGGCCCCCGGGTAAGATTCCACTCTACACCAGCAAAGACGTCCGACTCTGAGAACGAACTTTGGTTTGTAACATTTGATGTACTCTCGTCACGCAGGTGAGACTCTGCCTCCGCTGAGAAACCGTCCCTTCCTCATGCACTTTCCTCATTTTATCTCCTTGCCGTTAACTCGGATCACTCTTCTTCCCTTTCACATCTGCTCAGAGGAGCGGGCGAAGGCCTTGCTTCGCCGCTACTTCATCCAACAGCAGTCGCACGTAGAGTATTACAGATGATTCCTCTCGGTCTGCATATGACATATATATGGTTTTAGTATTTTACATATATTTTGAAATGAAAAAACTCTGCTTTATGAATGATTTATTCGGTGACTGACACTATGTAAATACATCCATGTGTTAAAAAGGTGATTAGACATTTGTGTTTCCTTATAATTGAAGATTTATAACGTCTGGAACGAGGGGAAAAAAACATAATTCTGGATATTTTACAACAATTACAGCATGACAAATATGTAAATTAGAAAAGCACAGAGAAATATTTAGTCATATTTTACTTCAAATAAGTAAAATATGACTAAATATCTTGCATTTTTGTTATATTCATTTCCTTGATTGAGAAACTGAGCACACAAACGGAAGCCAGTGTTACAACTTGTTACATGTATTATCTACATATATACTAAATATGAATTAAGTGACAGCTGTAATACCATCTATTCCGTTGAAGTGATCATAAAGCAATTTTGAGTACAAAATCATTTATATGTGAGCTTTAATAAAGTAGTTTCAAAGCATATGGCTTATTACTGTATAATTACAATATAATAACAAATATTACAAATGGCCCATTCTTGAAATCCCAAGAGAAGGACTCAATATTTTTCCTTTAAACCAGATAATTGAACCATACTTGACCATTAATAACCACTGGTAACGTGATCGTCAGGTGTATGTACATTGCTCCGGTGTGTGATACCCGTGTCCATCCTTTCACCTCTGCTCTAGTCCACCAAGTCTTTATCGTAGTTCAGCAGGTCGCACGTCAGAAAGAGGTCCGACCGCCCGCTCTCCAGCAGCACCCTGTTGAGCTGGCTGCTGGTAACGTTGATGTCTGTGACTGCGTCCAGCGGCCAGTCTAGGAGCTGAGCGCTAGAGGGCAGGTCGGGGAGGCCCGGCTGGTAGTCCTCCAGCGGGTTGGGGTACAGTAACTGACGGAGGGAGGGCATTCGCACGGCCATCCTCACCAGGTCCACGAGGCCGGCGACGGAGAGGGGGTTCAGGGCCAGAGCCAAGCTCTTGAGGGCCCGGCAGCCTCCCAACGAGGGCAGCAAGAGACCCAGCAGGCCATCAGTGAGGCCACAGCCGCTCAAAGAGAGGTGCTGCAGGCCACCGGCAGCCTGGGAGAGGAGGCGGCGGATCGACGCCAGGGTGTTTTCATCCAGGCGGTTCTCGCTCAGGTCCAACTGCTGCAGCGTGGACGCATGGTGGCTGCAGGACAGATAGGCGAGGTCGGCTGGGCTCAGGCTCAAATACGGCAGCTCCAGTATCTCCAGAGGCTGAGGGAGTGAGCTGTAACAAAAGAACATTATATTAATTCCAATATTGAGGTAGAGGACTGTTTCAAATCTCACCATTCAAACTAGCGGACCTAGTTTGAATGGTAAAGATTTGGGGAAGATTTTTTTAAATTAAAAGATAATAATAATAATAATAATAATAGGTCTCTATTTTTTTAAAGGGCCAATCTAGATTAAATTTGGCATCGGACTTATTATTTATACTATATTATTTATACTTTTTATACTCATTAATACTGGCTATAAACTGGAAGAAAATGGTAAACATTTCCATCCGTTTTCCTAAAAACACAATCAGGCCCTACCTAAGCAGCACACGAAGTTGTCCAGGCAGGCGCAGGGCAGTGAGGCTGAGGCGCCGCAGCTCTTGCAGCTGCGTCAGGCCCTGAGACAAGTCCCTGAGGGCCTCATCCTGGCCAACGTGGTCCCTGCGAAAGTCCAAGTTACAGTAGTGTAGGCGCAGGGAGCTCAGCGCAGGGAAGGTGGCGAGCAGAGGCAGCAGCTCGGCCAGGCCGGCCACCCCGAGGCTGCTGTAGCGAACATCGATGCCCAGAAGACCCTGGCGGGGCAGGAGGCCCAGCAGGGTCTTGATACTGGTCACCGAAACCTCTTCCACGCGGAGGTATCTGCACTGCAGCCTGAGGGGGCCCAGCGCGCTCAAAGCCCCGCGAACGCGCTCCCAAGAGCGTGCGTTTACAAAAAGATCGGCCCTCACGTGCACCGACACGTCGGCGTTTACCTCCTTGTCCTCAGCGTCCCTTCCGCTGCCCGCCGACCCTGGAGCTAAAGTATCTCGTTTCCTCTCCACCTCCATCCTCCTCCTGACACCTGGGATCAGCTCCTCTTCCTCCACGGCCCCACACGGGTCCAATTTCTCCGTGTCGTGTCCCCCCAGCTCGTCGGCGTGGCTTTTCTCTCCCCTTTCTCTTTTCACGCCTTTCTCCCTCTGCAGCCCTGAGAGCCTTTTCCTCTCACGCTGGGCCCTCTGTGCTCTGGTTCTGGCCTGAACCACCATGGTGCAGAGCGCTACAGTCAGAGACCAGCCTCCCATGGGATCTCCCATCCCTCCTTCGTCTCCTTGCAGCCCGCAGAGGTCCAGCATCTGCAGGGCACACCTGGGTAAGAGGGAGGAGTCTTAAAAATGGTCTCTCAAAGAGCTCAAAACCAACGCAGCTGGAATTAACGAACAACTTATCTTTTACCTTTTGTCCGACATCCCTCTGACGACTGCGAGCAACAGGGCCTGGACGCAGAGTCGGTTCGGTCCGGTTTGACCCGGTTTCCGGCGCCTGCCGACACGCAGCGTGCGTTCGGGCCACCGCTGCACCAGTTCTCCCACAGCCAGCGGTCTGCAGCCGGCGAAGGAGGCATCCAACAGCGGTCTGTACAGCTCCCTGGGCACCCACCTGAGCCAGCAGGGCGACGAGCTGTGGTCCCTCACCACTTCCCTGGCGCAAAGGCTCACCAAGGAAAGCACCATTTCATCCCAGAGAAGGGTGAGCTTTTAAGCACACGACGACGACAACAACAACAACAACGGAAACAACAAACACGCCGCGTCGCGAAAGGAAGCCGACTTCATAAAGTCTCGAGGGCTAACGTTAGCTAGCTCGGGCTAGCAAAGAGCAACTTTATGGCAGTAAGTTGAGGCGGTCTTGTAAGAGACCTTCCAACCCCCCCCAAAAAAGATAATTTACAACATCATCTGATATCCACGCGTGTTATTAATAGCGATAAACGTGGAAACATTTCGCTGGTGAAATGTTAAACGCTCGAGCGCACCGTTCGCTCACTCGACAAGCGAGCGCTCAGAAAGCTGCTGCTGTGACGCAGTGACGCAGCACGTAAAGGTGACGTCACCCTGGCGTCACCAACACCAAGATATTTCATATAATATCTATGTTATTTCTTTAATTGGCAGCGATATTTTCCCATTTATTATATAGTTTTACTGTTCCTTCTTACTGTTTAGTTAATTTTCGATATTTGTATTTATATAAACAGCAGACCTGTGCTAATCCCTCCACAAGAGACCTCAAACAACAGATGTATCCTGTATCCAGGTGTTTTTGTATCCTGCCACATAAATAATCAGAATCTTTGCTGAAGGAAAAAACAAAACAATATTACAGTTTAACTTAACAAATTAAAGTCAACCATTTGAAATCTTTACCGTACATGTTCTTATCAGCTAACACATGCAGTGCAGATACACGACAGGTCTATTATCATTGATCAATAGACTGGACCATTTGCTTTGATTGTATCATTGTGTTATGTATGCATCCCTCCCTGCAAAGTATCAATACTAAGTGTTCATCCTGATGTAATAAGGCGTCAAATCTGCAGAAGAGCTGTGAGAAACTGCAGAAGAATGTTATTTCACAAAAGAAAAAAACATTTGCTTTTTGTTGACTGTGATCTGAAGGAAGCCCGCATGGATCAATCACTAGGTGGCGCTAGAGGTCCGTGCACAGTGTGCTCAAACATTCTACACCCCCCAAATGAAGTTTTGGAGGTTTATTTATATGTGTTGGAAAATATTAACATGCCACATGGGAATCATAAGTTAACCATCCCTCTATATATTGTTAGCTATTATTATAATACTTATCAATCATATATTCCGAGCAGCTTGTGGTTCAGCTGTTTGTTTTTTATTTAGAGAGGCTCAAGGACTAATTTCACAGAGTGCGGGCTGCAGTTAAACACTGCTATTGATGGGCGACACACAACAGCAGACACACACAAACACAAGACAAAGAAACTGAAAGAAGACTGAATGAAATGTGTTATCACCTTGGTTTTACTTATCGATTGTTGTTGTGCATGCTTACTTCTTGGCTGACCTACAAAACCAACCCTACTTTGCAGTATATCCTGCAAACATACTGTTAATGCAAACTAAACACACTTCCAGTAAAGGTGGGTCACTGAGGTCACTGAAACGTTACCTCCCCGGCCCCAAAATATCCATCGCACATGCACCCAGTCTGCTGGTTCAGCATGCTTGTATCAGATACTGAGTCATACATGTTGAAGTACCTCAAATCTTACAGCATGGCATCGTTCACACGAAGCATTCAGATTCAATGATACCAAATGTCTGCTATACAAACGGATGTTCAGAGACTGCAGCACACCAACTCTCAATTTCCTTTAAATTACGTTGTGCCTTTCATTTTTCAGGTGTTATCTTTGTGCAATATTTCACCTGCAGCCTTTGGAAAAATTCCGCTTTCAGTCTGTCCACAGAAAACACAATGCTAATGCATTTGGGGAGCAAGTGATTAACCTTTCTTTTACCAAACGTGTCTCACTCACTGATTGACTGGTTGTTGCATTTTTACATTACGTCTGAACACCTTTTGAAAAGGCTGAGAGCAACGAAATGAAAGCGACAAAACGAAAAGGAAAATTGCATTGGTGCATTGGTGTTATTCTCCCAAGAGTTGGACTGCCAACCAGGAAATGAGTTTGTGTTTTAGCTCTTTGTGTTCTCTCCCTTTGTGTTCCCTCTTCTCAAAATTGATTTTTGGTTGAATGCCTAAAATAACAGCAATGGCTAACACAAGCTTAAAAGATTTAACCTTTTGATCCATGCTATGAAATACATCTCTTAATACCCTTCTCACGAATTCCAAAGCGTTTATGTTTCTTAAAAAATGTGGTTGCCAAAACGTGGCTCAATTCAAGTACCAAATGTCAAAATGTTGAACACTATCCCACCTGAAGTTTATTCTGGTGACGTTGAATCGACCGTGGTTTAATTTGTTAATAGCTTAACGTTACCTTTTTACTTCACATTTATGACAAAAAAATAAATAAAGTTTTTTTCTCATCTAAGAACAACTGTTGTCATTAAGCTTTGCTCTCTGCAATTATTCCAAATCCGATCACCGAATCCTGTTGGTCTTTTGTCGATGGAACCAAGGTGATGTTCACTTCCTGTTTGGTCAACAAGAACATACAAATCCCACAAAGAAATCCATTACAGGAAAACCTGTGTCATTCTCACCCAAAAAAACACCCACTAATGGGCTTCTGGCTTCAAGGTTGTATTGATTTTTCTCACGATGCCAAAGAGAAGAGTGTAAAGGGGAAACAAGCAGAGCAGTTCTATACTTTACTTTATATTTCATGTAAAAGGGGCCATTGTTCAGCCTCACGTCGGTGCCGTCCCATGACTTTCATCTCGGTAAACGGTGCACTCGAAATGGACCCGTGACAGAAGTGATACAAACTGACTTTGACAAGTTAAAAGCGACTCCTCCTGTCCGCACCCACCCGAGGTGCTGAGGGGAGGAAGCACCGTCGCCTCGATAACCTGTCAGAAAGTCCTTGAACCTGCACTCGTGAACTTCACACACAAAGAGAACCTCCTGAACTCTCTGGCTGAGACGAGTCCACTGCCCGAATCATCCAGACCAGCGGAGCAAAGACACGTAGTGGTAATGGGACGTTCTGTCGAAACTGTATCGCGACACCTTTTCTGTTCTAACGGCTACACAAACAGAGGTAGTTTCATACCCAGTTATAGAAAGAAAAATATTGTAAATCATTCATTTGTAACACATTGAATCCAACAAAACCGACGTATAGAATATGTAAACAATCGCTAGAGATTGATAGAGAATATGTAGGTATGAGGCCCTGGTGGCATCTCCAGTCTCTACATACTAAACCTGGATTACACTGTGGTTAAGCTTTCCTGTGGAAAGCGTTTTCAATGTCACATTAAATGAAATATTCAATGGAGAAGACGGCATATTGACCCGGAAGTGTAAAGTAAATGCCTCAATTAAAGCAAATGCTGTCTCTCTTTCTCTGTTTCACACACACACAATTTATAGGTTGCACTATGTCAAATGCGTCAGTTGTCCTTTCTAATTCTCATCTAAATGCATATGTGTCATAATAATGTTTTTTTGAAAAAGGTTTAAAAGGTAATATATACAGGATATTCAGGTCAGATTTTTATCTTTTGGGATCATTGCCACTATGAAATCTGTCCTCTCCGACTGTTTATCGTCCTCTCTCTCTCTCTCTTCAGCATCATCAATCAAGCTGTGATTATTACGATGATTTGCTTTCAGCTGATGGCCAGAGGGAGGGAAGGACCGTGCCTGTTGCTTTTAGGACACCCTATTATAATCCGATGCATTATTTACAGATCTGTCATACTGATCATTAGTGAGTCAGCAATTAGGTTTGAGTCTGTGAAACATTCCAGCTACCGACATTTACATTGCAGCAATAATAACTGACTACTTTCTGTTATGAAGTACTTTTACTTTAGATACCTTGAGGACTTTTTTCAACGCAGGGGTATTTTTCACGCATTATTCCTCCACATCTGCTTCGTTGAAGTTGTGAAGTTCTTTTCAGTTAAACTTTGTAGCCTTGCAGAGGCCTCAGATGAATAGCAAAAGCGATGACATAATCACCGCCTCCCTGGAAGTTACCGGGATGGCCTTTTGTACCCTGGCGCACAAGGATCCTGATGGGAGTTGGCTATTTAAACGTCGCCTTGGTTTCTGCCTCGCTCCTCTTAAATGGCTCATTTGTCGGCCGCTTTGTGCACAATGTCACGTCACAAGACTCGGCGGGATGTTCTGCGTTGATTGGAGGGGCTGAGTGAAGTGCCTCCTGCAGTTACGCCTTGAAGATCCATCCCCAGCTGCTGGGACGACTTCACTCAGCAGGGGATTCACTGGATTTGGGCAGGAGGAGAATTGGCAGGTGGCAGCTGCTCGCAGCTAAAATGACTCGTGACACCGATCGGTTGCATTCAAACCGGGGACGCACGTGTTCTGTGTCGATGTGTTCTAAATGAATTGTTGAATGAGGCTGGAATCAGACGAATGATGTGGCAACCAAACTGGTATTTCTGCTGCTGAAAGGAAATGTGACGTCGTGGTGTGAAGTTGTGTCTTGATGGAAAGTCTCAGAGATTCTGCCTTTGATTGCTTTTGTTTGTCTGTTCTACAGCTGGGTGTTAAAACCTGCAGGCAGGATTCCTTGGTACTTTCTCACAATCTGTGTCTTTTTTCTTTTCTTTTTCGTGAGATAATGAGTTTTTTGACTCCCATTACTCAGAACCAACAGAAGGGAAAACATTTGCGGTTAACTTTGGTTACAAATGGGTACAGGAGTTAATCACATAATCTTTGTTTTATTGTGTATACACCTGTGTGTATTAGATAAGTTTACAGCTTGACAAAACTTTAGTCACTTAACAGGCTTCTTTGCTTTGACTTCGTCTCTTCTTCTTTGATTTCACCCACAAAGGTTGAATATCAAGTGTTTTTAAGGATTCATGTACTGTGGATGAAGGAAATAAACCAATCAGTCAAATCAACAAGGTGAGCCCTGGAGGGAGGACCCGTTGAACACATGGAGCGTTGGATTTATTGCTATCACATTAGCAGCGGTGCGTTAGCATTGTCATTCAAATGAAAATTCATCCGCCATCTTTATAAGACAAACAGCTGCGTGTCGTGATGAGTCATGCGCTTTTTGCACTCTCGCACCTTCGTGTTCCTGCGACGCGTTGTGTTTCAGCGCGGTACTCTCTGCTCCCAGTACCGCTGCCAACAGAGGTCAACGCAGACATGACCTTTTCCGTGTTCCATTAGTCCGTTGTCCCCGATGGAGCTCGCCGTGTTCCTCCCAAGGTTACTTCTACTTCAAGCGCGCCGGCTTCTTGCGCCGGCTTTGCTGCTCGACTGTTTCAAGCTCCCCGTCTCTGTTGGACGCCGTGAAATGATATTATGCCTCGCCGTAAAGTGGGGTCGTGCCCCCCGCTGGACGCAGTTAATGATCCTTCCGCAGCAGTTCATATTCCCAACCTCATCTCCTCTCGCCTATCTGGTAGCATGAGCTGAGGTATTCTGCCTGGTGGAAAACAGCCGGCCCTTCGCGCCTCTGCTGCGCAAACGGAAATAGGGCCTCGGGGTCAAGGATGGGAATGTAAATACACAGATTGTGTTTAGGTTACATCTCCAACACACACAGAAACAAATGCGGAAACCTAATTTATTAACACCCTGGCTTTTCTCCTGGCGCTACCGCTAGGTGGACCTCTTGGGTGAAGCTATTGAATACATTGTCCTTAGTGTCAGTGCCAATTTGCAAATTTAAGGCTGCTTGACTTGTGTTGTAAACGGTGAAGATGGGACCAGCAGCACGTCGGCCTCGAGCCTCGAGCCGTGATGTGCAGGAGGACGGCCTCAAAAGAGCTGCTGCCATGAACACATCCGCCGGCAAAGTGACCCCTGTTGCGTCAACGGTCGTAAAAAGCCATTTTATGACTCTTCCGATAACGTGATAATGCATCACACAGATCCGAGGGAGCTCGACCTGGACCGCCGCTTCGCCCTCGCGTCCTGACAACAGGGCGCTTTTTCTCCGAAGCGGAGGGACGGTGTTTGCGTGGCGAAGGACAGACAACCAGCGGGGCAGATGACGCCGCTGACGTGGCTGCTGTTGGCCTTCTGTCAGGTGTCCGTCGGAGGCGGTCGGTCGGAGGAGTTCGGCTGCTCGCGGCGGCCGGCTGTTCCCGAGGACCGCGTGTGTGACTTCACCGACAACTGTGGAGACGGCAGCGACGAGGAAGACTGTGAGTATAAGGGCAGGAATATACCTGGATCGGTGTGTAGAGGGAACTGCCCTTGCCGAGATGTGTAACATACAAGGTACCTGCGATTGTCGTGTCGTGGCAGTTCACTCACACAACAGTCTGCGTCATACTTCCGGGGGAAATAACAGACTTTCATTTGACGCACAAAATAACTTTTCCTGACTTGAACTGAAAGTGCATAAATTACAAAAAAAAGCATTATTATTCATCTCTCTTTTGAATGCACTTGAACACGCCAAAATAAAATAACAGTGAGGAAAGCGGGTATTAAACCCTGCTGTGTTGAAAGGGTTCGTGTTGGATTAGGAAAAGTAAGAACAAAGAGGGAATTATTGTTTTGAAAGTACATTTTCCCTCATCTCAAAGTCAATTGTCTGAAAGAGCTTCTGGTGAGATGCCTGAAATTACACGCAAACGTCTGTGAGGATCCCCTTTCTTTACATCTGCCTCTACAACAGTAAAATCACAGAGGCTTTGCAGTCCCCTTGTTGCACATTTGGCTGCGGAGGCTAAGAAGATTACTTCAAGACTTATAACCAGAAATGAATCCGTACTGTGCAAAGAACCAACAGCGAGATCCCAAATCACAGGTTAATAGCGAGTTTTAAAATGTTGTTATTGAAGGCTCCAGATATGAGAGGTGTGACTTTGAAGAAGGATTCTGTGGCCTGATTGAAAGCTCAGAGACGCCCTTTGGATGGAACAGAACAACGGCGGTCCCGGGACTCAATCGGGACCACGGCAACGTCTCAGCCGGTAGGAGCACCTGTAAAATGAGAAAGCGCATCTTGAATTCGCAATCTTAATTCTACCCTTTATCTGCTTTACTCGTGCTGCTCACGTCCGTCTCCTTCAGCACATTTCCTGTCCCTTTCGCCCGTCGCTGGACACAGAACCGCTGCAGACCTGAACAGTCCCGTCTTCTCGCCCAGCCACACTTGCCAGGTGAACGAAAGCTGCTGTTGTCGTGGACGCAAAACCGCCCCAACAACCGCGCATGAACGTCTTCTTCGCATCTTCATTCGACAGATACGTTTCTACTATTATGTTGGGGCGCAACACGGAGGCCTCGAGGTTCTGGTTCGGGCCCAGAGTCAGAGCACGGCGGCGTGGAACCACTCCACACAAACACAGGCGGGAATGTGGCAGCGGACAGTGATCACGTTCTCCAGCAATTCCAGTTTTCAGGTTTCAACATTTTACCTTACTAGGAGCTGCATATTGGAAAAATGTATATATCTATTCCTTCCCTGTAGACCGATAAAGTCCCACCGGCAAAACAGGAGCCGTTTAGGTGCGGTGAGCTTGTGCTGACCCAACTGGGCCCTTCAGAGGCCACCTGGAGTCCAGCTGTTTGTGTGCTCGCTGCAGTTTGTCCTCAGACAATGTCAGCATGTCACACGTCTCCATCTGTCAGAAAAACGGAGGTCAACTATTCACTCGCACCTCCATTAGCCTATTTCCTGCTTTGAAGGCATCTCAGTTAATTGGATTTTTGTTTGCCGCAATCATTCTGAGCATTTCAGGCATTTTGTTGAGTGAATGATGAAAAAATACGGCCTCAAACGTGAAAACATAAACAAAGAAAAGCTACGATGTGATTAGAGTTTGAATTGACTCCTATTGACAATATGGCAATAGAAGTGACTCTGTCGATAAAAACACCCACGATATATATATATAAATATATATATACACATTGCTTGTGTAGCCTCACAGGAAACCAATACCAGCTGACAATTGTGACCAATGAAAATTGTGTATTTCAGAGTTCATTTTGCAATCCACCCTTTTTTTCAGATCGGTCATAAATGATGGGTTATAAAACTCCAGTAGTTTAGATAAAGCTGTTGTGTGGACTTTGATCAGTGCAGCTTTGATGTTAATGGCACTGTGACAGTCAGAATAAATTAGATATCCATATACACTGTAGAATTGTGACATCAACCGCAACTAGGGGGCTTGTCATATTTTCATCTGGGGCCATTATATGGTCAGAAATTAAAACTATTGGCAATAGCTGTATAGACTGTACAGTTTCTTTTGGTTGTGTCTCAGTTTGCACACACATGTATGTCACGTGTTGCATGCAAAGGCACTAAACCACTCCAACACACTTCCTTAATGTGCACAGAAGCGAGGCTGCACAGAGACAAAAACAGTGTTTTGAAGTAATCCAAAGGGGATTTCTGTGTTTCCACCAGGTGGCGATTCGAGGGCGACTCTCAGCTGACAGCGAAGCCTCAGAAGTGCTGGCCATCGACGACGTATCCTTCGGCCCCGGCTGTGTGACCGTGCCTGGTACTGCTGCCATTAATAAACATCTCACTACACACACGAGATTAGCCCAGACTTTGGCACTTCCTAAAATATCGCCACACTTAAACAGACCACGGCAAACCCGTTTTGATAACGACACTGGATGGATGCGATTCATAACAAGATGAGTCATTAAAATAGTGCTGTCTATGCACATTTCCCTGCACTGAACATTGGGCAGTCAGGGCCACGGTGTACGGGTTCATTTCCTGTCTCATCGCCATATGCTGCACGCTGCTCGGTGATGAATATGATACCGCTCAGCACCCAGGCTGAGTTTAATAAAGCACCACCTTGCATTTTGACGAGCCGCAAGCCCAAACCATAGCTGCTATTATTTATCTTAAACGGGATGTTCCTGCCCTCTGTCTGATATACAAGAGTCAAACGTTTTGGGAGCACCAGAGGTCAATGTAGCGCCACACCACCCAAAACCAACCGGACTGTGCGACAAAAAGATTGACCGTGAAGCTCTGCCCTTTGCTTGTGAAACGCTCCACACATCCAAGAGGAAAGGTTCACGTTATCGCACAAAAAGCGTTAAACGTGATAATGCATCACACAGAGCCAAGCTCCAAAATGTTTTTGCTTGATACCCTTATTTATCTCTACACATGTGACACATCTGTGGAGTCTAACATGTATGTGAAGGAATGCAAGGATGTGAATTTAAAATGTGGCTCTAATATTACTAACTAATAATAGTCACTTCACAGGGTTCGTTGTACCATTCTTTTTGGTTATGAGTTATGGTTTCACAAGACCGGATCAGATTAAGTGGACAATCACATATAATATATATTTAATATAATTTCAAGGGTTAATTATTGTCTTTTTATTGAATAGATGTGTGGGGGGGGAAATCAAACAGAAACTAAATCAATCAAATTAATTAATGCACATTGTATTTTCATCCGGGGTCCGAAATCTGGTTAAGGCCCCGTTATCATAAGTCACGTTTTTTGCATGTGTGAGTGTCCGTGCATGTTTTGGGAATGAGTCATTTGGGCATGAGTCATTTTTCACGGCTAACATTTCACGTGTTTGATTTATATTCTCAGTCATTTTTGTCTCTCTGAAGAATCTCTGCTCTCCTGCACCTTAAAGACATACATCACGCTTAAAATGACCTGATCCTTGATTCTCCCGGAAGCTTCGGCCAGGAACAAAGAAAACGGAGTCAATCCGTGATGAATTGAAACAGATGGTGGCCAGGTCGAGAAACAAAGCAAAACTGCATCAAAAATCTGCTCACAACCCCTCACGCAACACAAAGGAGTCAATGGATTAGATGTAATATGAAAGGCTTTGCATGAGCAAATAGTGAGCCTAATCCTTCACGTGTCTACATCTGATTGGTTCGGTAATCAAAGTGCCTCTTTGCAACTGAATTCTATAACCGCACAGATTGTATTAATCTTTTTTTTTTGTCGTTGTTCCTGTTGCAGAGAGCAGCGCACCTCCTCCACCGGTTTGCCCGCCCTCGATGTTCGCCTGCGGCACTGGGGAGTGCATCGAGGAGAGCAAAGTGTGCGACTTCACCCCACATTGCCCCCAGGGAGAGGACGAGGCCCACTGCCGTAAGGCTCCCCAGTAACGCGTTGGATCAATCCACATCCTGTGTGCATGTTTGACACATGCAGATGTCAAAAACGTGCATTGTCTTCGACTTTTGCAGTCAGTGCGAGCTGCTTTCATCGTAAAGAAGGGTTGTATTCTGTCCACGTCAGTGAGACATTGTATAGAAACCGAGACAAATATGAGAGCACTTTATTCTTGACCACGGGAACGGAAGTTGACATTATAAATCCCACCACTTTGTCCTTAAGAATCTTTTCAGGAACGAGCGATCGGTCTCCACTTGATTTAAATCAATTCTTCCGCATCTCTCCGTTCTTTCAGCCTCGCGGTGCGACTTCGAGGGCGGTTCCTGCGGCTGGTACGAGCTCACCCTGGGCGATGGCTTCGATTGGGTCCGGGGCGGTTCTGTGGAGGTGCCTCCGGACTCCCACCCGCCCCCTCTGGACCACTCAACAAACAGCACCGAGGGTACGGAAAACAAACACACACACAGGGGAATAACTGGCGGAGCATAATATTATATACAGATGTCAAGGTTTTGTGGAAGGAAAGATAAAAGTCATCTCTAAAAGGCACTAGAATAAAAGAAAGCAACATATGCTGCTCGCATTCTGCATATTAACAGCCAGTCAATCGCTGGAATACACAATACTGTGGTCGTATTTCACAGTTTCATGTTCCACAACTTTTGACTGTATATTCATCCTCATCACATCTTTATTCTGGCTTTTCTCCACATCTCACACCCAGAAAACACGTAGCTGTTAAACAGACTTTATGGATCTAACAGGAACTCTTGTTGTAAACTTGTCTTGATAACATGCGTTTTATTTTATTTTTTGTGAAAAGACAGATTCAGACGTGTGTTTCACGCTTTGGGAAACAACACGTACCCGCGGGAGAGCAGACCTGTGAAGGCTTTAAAAATATGACTGTGACTATTCACAGATTTAAAACAACCTGCGGGTCTTTGGTGGTGATCAAGCTGTGTTTACTTGGCAGTTGGGCTCATAATCTGAGCCAGAAAACTTTAACAAACCACCAGCTCGTCCTGTGAATCATTCAGCAAAATGGACACGTTGTTTGTCTCTGTGCCACTATAACACAAGAAATACCCAATATGCCAACTGAGTAGCCGATGAGCATAAAGCCAGAACTTCACCTCTGTGTTATATGTGATTAAAAGACTCACACATTTTCCACATAAGTGATTGCTCATCATCAGCATCGGTCAGGAAGGAAAAGGCTGCTGCTGTAGCTAAAGAGTGGCAGCGACTTTTGACTCTGGTGGAAGTCATACGTTGTTAAGTTGCCTTCAAATGACATTTGAATATATGGTAGATTCATTTATGGATTTCAATCTTGGTGTTCGGATTTGTTATTTCATATATTTATCATACAATATAGTAGTAGTAGGAGTATATAGTTACAGTACACACACACATATATACATATGCACATTGTAAATATGAAGGTATGTGCAGTTTGTCAGCCTAATAACAGTAACCCCCGATTCTGTTCATCAAAATCTGCATCTTCATGTGTGCTAGAGGGAAACCAGCATTGGTTCGACGAGCTGTGTGAAAGAAAAAGGCCCTCCGCTGCACACGGCAGCCATTAGTGCGTTTGCTGACTGGCTCTTAACAAATGAGCCGCGCTGTTGTCCTCCCGACTGGTCCCATCAACAAGACGCTGTTGTCATGGCGACTGCAGTCGACAGGATATGGTCCGTCTATCGCATTAGTCTCGATATACTCATTGCACGATGTGATGCACAGAGGGTGAGACGTATCCGAGAGGGTGAAATTGAACATTTTGCCGAATGGTCTGTCTGCACCAGAGACAGTTTTAGACTTTTCAAAGGTAATTCACCGGTCTGGCGGAACAAGTTGTTAGCTGCAATGTGATGGCGTGTGCAGTAAAGTAGACACTGATACGGTTTGAATAGTAATCTTTCTCTCATTCATTGCAGGACACTTCATGTTTATATTGAAGAACAGCAGCAGTCTTCATCCAACGGCGGTTCTCAGAGGACCCTGGTTCAAACAATCTGCATCCGGGTGTACCATCACTTTCTGGTGAGGATCACAGCGTCTTCCCTCTACAAACTGTCTGGTTATCATAAGCAGAATCTATAGATGCACCTGGAGTTTTAGGCTTTTTCCGTTTCTCTTCCCTTTCCCAAAAATGTCATGGAAAAAAGAATAAGGAATAGGTTAAAAAGTGATTTGGGAATAAAGTCAAAATATAGTATGTCTAATGGAATGGAAAAGAAAAAATGTTTTGGTGAAAAAATGTTTTTTGTGAAGTGAAAAGGTTTGAAAAGGTTGAAAAATATTTTTAAAAAGAAAGTCAAGTCAAAAAATGTTTAAAAGAAATACTGCGTGTCTAAAAAAGTAATTAAAAAAATGTTGGGTGGAAAAATATTGTGGAAAATATGCACGGTGAAAAAATGTCATGGAACAACTTTCAACAACTTTCTGGTGAGGATCCAGCGTCTTCCCTCCTCACTCTATGAAGTTGTTTATTCATCATAACCAAAATATGTGGATCCACCTGGAATTTGAGGGTTTTTCCGTCTCTCTCTTATGTTTTTTTGTTGAAAAAGAAATGTCACTTCACCTGTCTCAGCTCTCTCAGCCTCCCTTATTTATAACACAATGCGAGGACACACATTGGAATCCATCACGTGTTGACGGCCCTGTTTATGTTCATGTAAAATGACAGACTTTATTTTTCCACTGGAGGATTGGAATGGTACTCCCGGCAGAGAAGGGCTAGAGGTTTTTACGTTTCATTTTCTTTCTGCATAGTAATCAAAAGATCCCATGTATAATATCCTGTAAGCACATGCATCATCAAGTGAGGAATCTGTGACTTACAGTATCTGGGGTGAATCATTTCAAAATCGTAATGCCACAGATTGCTCACACAGCTGCACTTGTTACTGTCAGTATAATTTTACCTGCCATCTCTCCCTCATCTCCTTCAGGCATTATAACTCTGGTATGTCTGTGGGGGCTGCAGACATGTACCTTCAAATGAACGGCGTGAAAAACAGAACTGTCATATGGAGGACTCTGTACGACCAGGGGACCCGCTGGAACCGGGTCACAGTGCAGCTGGGACGCCTCACCCGGCCCTTCCACATCGCGCTGGCCAAGATCAGCCTGGGTGTGTTCAACGGGGTCTCCGCCCTGGATGACATCACCTTCGAGAACTGCTCGATGCCCCCCGCGGCGGCAGAGTGCCCGACGCACACACATTTCCACTGCGTGCACTCGAAGGCGTGCGTGGAGCACCTGCAGCTCTGTGACCTTGTGGATGACTGCGGGGATGGGTCCGACGAGGAGGGCTGCTGTGAGCGCCTCTCTTGCTTATCAAATAGTAACAAATGGGAAGTGCAAATGTGTTTATAGTCAACGTCCATCTTACTGTCTGATTCCCACAGCTCCGGAGCTGCAGTGTAACTTCGAACGCGGCCTGTGCGGCTGGAGACAAGAAGTGAGCGGAGGCGACGTGTTCGACTGGACGCGCGTGCAGGGCCCGACTCCGACCATCAACACGGGGCCCCTGAAGGACCACACGCTGGGCACCAGCCTGGGCCACTACCTCTACATCGAGTCCTCCGCCCCCCAGGAGTTCAAGGACACCGCCGTGCTGCTGAGCAGGGTCTTCCAGCCCACGCGCCAGCGCGGCGAGAACGCGCCCGACCAACACTGCGTGTTCCGCTTCCATTACCACATGTACGGCTCCCATGTGTTCTGCTTGGCGGTGTACCTGAGGACCGCCGCTTCCAGCCGCGGGAGCATGCTGTGGGTACGATACGGGGCACAAGGAAACCTCTGGCACAGGAAGACTCTCTACCTCGCCAGCGCCCGGCCTTTCCAGGTAACTCGTGCTCCAGAAGCTGATCCCAGATGGGCAGCGCAGCGTCTTTTTCATTTTAACCTCACTGCGTATGTTTAGAAGATCTATGTCGTCAAATGATATTTCTTTCTGAGCGGAAAAAAACCTGAATATTCTTCAGATATGTCTTTCTTGCGAACATGTAATCCTTCCCCTGTATAATAAACACAGACATGTAGACATGAGCGACAGGTAAATTCAGTCTCCGCAGCTTTGCACGCTGATGTATTTAATATCTTCACTGCTCAACATTGATCCCTCCGTGATGGATGATCTGCTGTCATTAATAATGACTGAGCGTAACGTGACAGGCAGTTAAATGCTTTTTCTCCCGTATATCATTGAAAACTGGAGCTCTGTAAGTGAAGTTGCCCGACTGCAGAAGAGACACTGAGGAATTGAATTCAGAATCAGGCAGCTGTTCTGCTCCCACGGCAGAAATGTATCTTAACAGGTGCAACAATCCAACAACGAGCTCTGCAGCATTACAGTTAATTCAATTGTTTTAAAAGCTCTTTGCCAATGGAAAAGGCTTATTATTCATCTAAGTGGAACAAGCTAATCACACTCGCTCCGTTCAATATTTCCAAAGTATTTTTCCACAAAGTCAACGGAGATTTCGGCTGTTGATGCGACTCATCCGAAGCAGTCATCTTCAGCTAATCATATCTTGCTTTTGAAAGCTGCTGAGAAGACTTAAAATTCAGCGCATGTAATCTTACTGGTAAACAGGCAGGATGGAACACTGGAACGTTATTAGAAAACCACACATGGCGGGAACTTTTAATATGCATTCTAGCTAACTGGCACGGCTGAATAAACAAATAGTCTTAAATTGTTGACGGATATTGTCTTGTGTCTCTTCACCCTCTCTTCTGTCAGATTTTGATTGAAGGCACAGTGGGAGATGATTTCAACGGGGACATTGCCATCGACGACCTTTCCTTCCTGCACTGCGACCCATACGATGGTAAAGCATCGGAACATTTCAACCCTTTTTTTGAAAAGTTCCCATGGTCGATTTGTGTTTCGAACCGGTCTTTGATGCAGGCGAGCTCCCCGCGGTGAACACCACCACGCCCGCGGTGACCACGCCGGCCCCCACGCTTCCCCCGCACAGCTGCCCCGATGGAGAGTTTGCGTGTGGGGCCCACGGGGAGTGCGTCGCCGACGGCAAAGTGTGTGACTTCAGGCGGGACTGTTCCGACGGCTCGGACGAGGAGAGCTGTGGTACGTTTTAGCGGTCGCGTTTCCGGGGGGGGGGGGGGCGGGGGTGGGGCCCTCTCCCCCTTTCTGCGCCTGACTCCCTTTCCTCTTCCTCCAGTGGAGGAACGGTGCGACTTCGAAGGCGGCAATACTTGTGGCTGGAACAGCGCCGACTCCCCTTTGGTCCCAATGCACGCGTTTCGCTGGTCACCTGACCAAGGGGAGAGCATTCATGATGGGGAGCAGTACCACCGGCCCGTCAATGACCACACCCTGTGAGAGCCCCCCCAAACGATTAATGGGACAGGAACGCCGTAAGCGTTGATGCAGCAATTTATCTGCAATTACAGTCATTTTTAAGACTATTACATTATATACAAATATTTAGCACTTGAGATCTGAGTTGACGTGTTAGTCCAGTCGGACTCACAGTTTGGGCACATCGTTGTGATGTTGTTTAGTGGCGTCTGTGTTTTCCCCTTACAGAGGCGGAGCGGAGGGCTGGTACATGTGTGCCGACAGTTCAAACGGCGGCTACGGTCAAACCGCTGACCTCCAGAGCCCGGCCGTCGCCTCCACCGGGCCTCAGTGCACCCTGGTCTTCTGGTACCACATGAGCGGATTCACCGTGGGATCGCTGCACGTAGGAGGCGTAAAAAAATGGCGCACTCATCGGGAGAATAACAATCAGCGGCATAGACTCGTTATTCTCACCGTATCTGCAGGTGCTGTTGAAGTACGGGAACGTCACTCACGAGGTTTGGTCTCAGACTGGTAACCAGGGCAACAAATGGAGACGAGGAGAAGTGTTTCTGGGATTGTTGAAAAACTTCCAGGTCGGTAAACTGTTTTAATGAGTAAGATAATCCGCTACAAATGAATGATTCATATTTTCAGGTCAATAATACTGCTTCAAATGCCTGTTTAGTACCGGGTGATATATATTTCATTTTGTGGGTGGTCTGTCCGTCACATTCTCGTGAATTGAATAACTCAAGAATGCCTTAACAATTATTAATTACCAACTCTTCTTCATAACATTATTTTTAAATGTTGCTATATGCATGAAATAGGAATAGTCTCTACACGATTTCAGTGTTTTTATCTCTTTGTAGACATGCAACATTAATGACATTTAGTTTGTCTTTGTGTGCACATCCATGACTGGCCTAATTCCTGTCAGGACGGGCTAAACTGTCTCAGACCTGACGATCGATGCATTGATCGGGTCTAATTCAGTCTAACTTGTCTTAGCGTGTGAGCGTGACGGTAATCAGAGTTGCGGAACCTTCATGGTGTCTGCTGAGGCTATTTTAGGTCCCGTGCCCTGTGTCTTAGAACTGAATGCCACGTCCCTTCAGCCCATTTTAACTGATGCACGTTAGCCTCTGTCGGCTCTCTGATGGTGCAATCTGCAGCTGAAGGAATGCTCTTTTCACACGGAGAACAGGTGCCCTTTTCTCCAGCTTCAGGCTCCTACGCGCCGTCGTCTCTGATTATGTGCACATGGCAGGCGGCAAGAAGGCTTCAGCTCTTGTTGGCTCTCCGTCAGGTGGTGTTCAGGGCGAAGCGGGGGATCAGCTACATGGGCGACGTGGTGATAGACGACGTCGCCTTCGTCCACTGCGCCCCGCCTCTTCCTTCGGACCGGCCGTGCACACCTGAGCAGTACGCCTGCGCCAATGGCCGCTGCATCCCTCAGGACAACCTGTGCGACTTCATCAACCACTGCGGGGACGACTCCGACGAGGACGCCAACATCTGCGGTGAGGCCCTCCTCTCGTGGCCCGACGGGCGTCACATTTTCTGGTTGACGAAAAAAACGTTTTCACCGCTGTCTTTCAGTGGGCTTCAGCGGGCGCTGCAGCTTCGAGTTCGACCTGTGTTCCTGGCGTCAGTGCCTACGTGACGACTTCGACTGGCTGATCAAAGCGGGCAGCACGCCCACGGTCGGCACCGGGCCGTCTAGTGACCACACCTTGAGGGACCCCTCGGGGCACTACCTGTACCTGGAGAGCTCCTTCCCGCAGGCGGCCGGAGACGCCGCCCGCATCTCGGGACCCCTGCTGAGCCGCAGGAGCTCACAGTGCAAGGTGAGGTCCCGAGAGCAGCAGTGACAGGACCACGCTGAAGAGAGGCGCTTGTTTTACACCTCATTCTGTCAACTGGAATCGTAGTATAGCGTGAGTTCAATATTTGGAGCTTAGCTACTGGGAGATCAGTGTGTACAGGTTCTGCATTGAATATGTCATAATACATTCAAATAAACAATGAAATGAAATGAAGAAAAAACAAAAAGCTAATCAGCAGTAAAAGTTGAAGACACACTAAAAAAATGTAACAAAATATTAGCATTCCTCTGGCTTCAATGTGGATTTGAAAGTTGGATGTATTTTGAAGGCAAAAGCGTATATTCCCATTGTCTTCTGTGTGGAAGGTTTTAACTTTAAACTAGAGATTCTGCATATTTTATTATTATTTACTCAAGCGCTATTAATTTAGGACTAAAGAAGCAACAGAAACACTGTGGAAATCAACCTCAGCGTACAGACTGAATCCAGGAGGCGTTCATCCTCCCATCTCCCTGATCGACTCCTCGGTTTTCTTTGCGCGTCGGGTTCTTCTCATCCCACTTCTCACCTGTCAATCAGTCACGCGGGCTGCTAGAAAAGGCCCCAATTAAACTGAAGGGAGGGCTGTGCAGGGGAGGAGTGAGAAGGAGACAAGGACGGGCAATCTCTCCAGAGATGAAGAGTGTAGTCGTGCCGATCGCAGCGAGTCTCGCTGTCTCAGTTCTGTGTGATGGACAGAGACAATCACAGATCTTTAATGCACCTAATTAAAACCTAATTACTTTCGAAAGCATTGTCAGAGTGTGTCTATGACGTAGCCAGTAACAACGTGTCATATGCCTCTTTCCGACATCTTTCTTCAAATATGTGTCTGCATAAACCAGCTATTACGTAATCTTCTCCCTCTGAAAAGTCTCATTCTGCTATTTCTAATTTTCCATCCTTTGGTCCAGATGCGTTTTTATTTCCACATGTCTGGGGACGGCATCGGGACCCTCAGCGTGTTCAGCCGAAGCGGAGGGCATCTCCGTCTCCTATGGAACCTGACGGGAGACCAGGGCAACTACTGGCAGATGAGGGAGATCCCGCTGAGCCACGACCGGGACTTTCAGGTGGTGTTCGAGGGCAAAGTGGGCCGCAGTGCGAAGGGCGACATCTGTGTGGACGACATCACTTTCTCTGCAGGGTGCATGCTGTCCTCGTCAGTAGAGGACGACACTCCTCTGCCTCCTGCAGGTCGGCGTGCTACTTTTTCCCTGATGTTTTGTGCATGACAAGCTCTTTTTTTTTTGGTCCTCTGGTCCAGCTGTGATCCCACAGAGTCCCGCCTCCCGCTGGACTAATCTCATTTCATCCAAATTTGAATCCTCGTCTGTCTCAGCACTGACTAATCGAAGCAAGCCCGTTATCTCTTAGTCCCTGCTCATCTGTTAGTAGTTTGTCCGCATCCTTTACATTCTTTAAGAGCCGAGGTAGATGAACGAGAGCTGATTTATTGCCGCTTAACTGCGTATTTCTAGCATTTAGTATTTCTATCTAGTATTTCTGGCCTCCACAGGAGTCCGCATGTCTTTTGGAGATACAGCCGTCCGTCCCTTTCTCTGTCTCGTCGTCTCTTTGCATTGGTCAGCATACGTGCCGACATTGAAAGGGCCGGAGCCCCTGCAGAGTCAGCGTGTTAATCAGTCACAATGAGCTCTGAGGTAGTGCGACCTGCGCCGAGATGTGAAGCAGGTCTGCGAGGCCAATGACGCTTTCAAGTTGTTTATTAGTATTTCTCTCTTGCTCTTTCCGACATCTTTCTTCAAGGGAGTAGCACCCTGCGTGAAGCCTCCACCAACACTCTGGAGGATCAAAAGGATGTATTTCTGTGTTGAGCCGCGTTTTGATATTGGCTCTCTGCTGAAACGTGTTAAACGTGTAATGCTTTACAAAATATATAGCTTAAGGAGCCCACAGCGGTGTGTTGAATACTCAACAGACTGCAGGAATAGTCTCTCTAAAAACTGAATTTGTTTTGCACATTACTAAAGTAAATACCTTTTAGCTTGAGGAAAAGAGCTGCGAATGAGATTTTATAGAACCAATAATGTTGAGAAATAGCAGAAAGAAGAAATACTGCGAGGGAGTCTGAGGGAGACTGGTGTTGCTTGAAGGTCGGGGGGGGCGGAGAGGAACCCGAAGACAGCAGGAACTGTTAATTATGAAGTGAAACGCCTCAGGAGGCTTTTTCTCCCACTGCTCCATTTACCGTCACCCATGGAATGATGGAGCGGCGAGACGCACGGCGGCACCTTTAGTTCTTTCGAACTTGACGAAATTACAGAATAGCTGAGAACAATGAGCTTGAGGTCAACTGCTGCATGGGAATAAATAAAAGGATGATCAGAAAAAGAGTCTCGCCGTTCTCTGCCGGCGAGCGCCGTCAGCTCTGATAAACCGAGCTGCGGCAGAAATCTTCTCCCACTGAATGATGAAGCTAATGAGACGATGCATTCAAGTCACTCAGAGACAAATGGAAAGATGTCCTCCGCGCCCACGATGGTCATTCATTAATGCCTCATTAGCACCTTCTCCACGCATCAGACATGACGCATGCCCCGTCATGTCTGAAGAAAGGCTGAAGGGACATTTCAAACAGGTAATTAAATGAATGACTTGAGTGATACGGTTATAACGTTATTATAGATGAAGCCAGCAATCACTTGAGACACTGCTAGACTTCTTCTCTCCGTCCCCGTCTTACAGCCAGTATATCATTTTATCTGCAGTGTGACAGCTTTTAATTTAGTGACTTGTCGGATACACTGTGAGAGCAGCGTGGTTTCGACGCAGCCGCTGTGGATCTGGGCGCCGTGAAGCGGGACAAAGAGAGGCAGGAGACGGGGACGTTATGAAGCGTCCGGTTTTATTTCAAACTTATTGCAAGAAATCAACAGAATAGAAATATGACAGAATGGAGGACGCGGTGCCTTTTTGAAGGCCCGGTCACACGACCTCGTTCTCTTTATCCGCCAGATTTTTGATTTCAGGAGTATAAGAGTTTATTAAAAAGCTAATCAGGGGGAGTAGCACCCTCGCACCTGGGGGCAGTATGCCAGCGAGGACAGTGGGTCACATGACACACAGCCACGCAGAGCCAACGAGATTTTTACTGCAGTCAATGAGTGCATTCAGGAGACGAACTGCATACCCAATGAGATTTAGGCTGTTGTGGGAGATGTAACAAATAATTAGCTTCAACCACCCACTTTCTTTCAAATGAGTCCTCCAGCACGCTGCACATCAGGTGGCGAGGAGGCCCCTGCGGAGCCGCGGCTTCCCGTCTTCCTCCCTGTGCCTTTTAGTTGGGGCTCGTTTCTTCTGGTCTTGTGCATCCGAAGAAGAACAAGGGATTGAGAGGGACTTTTCTCTCCTTTACGGAGAGGGACCTCCCACACATCGTCACGCCTCATCTCCCTTTCTAACGCTCGGAATGCTCGGAGAAGCCAATTACAGCCTCCTGCAGCATTGCCACCCTGCGATACGCCGATTGGTTCCCTTGCTTCCTTGTCTCCTTGAGCTTCTTAATAAGACCCCGATGCCGCACGCAGATGGTCTCCCCACTCACGAGTTGACTTCTGGTGCTCTGAAGTTAAGTCTCAGGCCAAAAAACAGTTTGCGTGGCTCCGTCAAAAAGTAACAACACAATCTAAAAAGCTCACTGGTTAACGAGTTATATCTTGTTTATTTCTTCCATTTAAACAAATAAGATGTTAAGTTTGTGGCTTTAGAGGTGTCGGTAGATGTTTTCTGTTTTCTTTAGTTTGTAAAGTCTTAATGCTAAGCTAAGCTAACAGGCTGCAGTTGTCCTTTCATGTCACTGAAGAAAATGAAGCTACGTATTCCTCTCCTCACGAGTCCGTATACTATGTACAATAAAAAAGTGCTCGCAGCGTCCTTAATGGGAAGCACATCAGTCTGAGTTGTTGTTCGATGTCTTATTTCCAGGCTCCTCGTGTCCTTCAGGCTCGCTTCCTTGTGAAAATGGCCGGTGTTTCGCTCCGGCGCAGAGCTGTGACTTCACAGACGACTGCGGCGACGGCACCGACGAAAGGGACTGTGGGACGTCTTGCTCCTTCGAGAGCGGCCGCTGTGGCTGGACGAGCTCCCTGGCCGACAGCTTTGATTGGACGCTGGGCACCGGATCGGTGAAAGGCATTCGGCCTCCGTACGACCACACGTCGATGGATGAAAGTGGTACGTGTTCACAGTTTCCCCGTTCTGGTTCACCTGAACCGCCAACTCATTTAAAAGTAAAATCCTAAATAAATCTTGTTAAAATTACTTTACAGGCTTTTCTGGCCTCCTGATCAGATTTCCATTCTGTAATTGAAGTGACCTTTGACTTCTGCGTGTTTCTGTATAATCAGATTGAGTGAAACTTGAACCTGAAATGCTGCGGTAGCTCTGCGCAGTGTTTAATTCATGACCGAATCAATGTACCTGAGGGGTGTTAGGAATGATTGATGCCGGGTGTCTTGGGCTATAATTCCATTTTACAGTGTAGACGGTAAATAACCGCACGCATGAATAAATAAACACGTATGTACTTTAGCACACGCGCGAGTTATGCAGGCGCTTCCCCCAATCATCTCAAATTCGATACTGCTCTGATGCAACTTTGTGAAAGTGGACATTGATGCTGACGTCACCAAAAACAGAAGCAGCACATTACATGCACGCTTTTGTCAGAAGCGTCTTGAATCGACGATGTTAGCAACAGGGCTGTGACTTGTCACTCGCTGCAGGTGCTGCTCACACAAACAGTTCTAAATTGTTCTTCGCTGCCCGTCTCCCTCTTCACTCCTTTTTCATTCCCTCCCTTTAGGTCATTTTGTCTTCCTGGAAGCGACACCGGTGGGACTCAAAGGCGATAAGGCTCATATCAGAAGCTCTGTCTGGAAGGAGTCGAGCGCCATCTGCAAGCTCTCCTTCTGGTACTACATTTCCCACAAGGCCTCAGGAACAATCCGCCTGCTGATCAAGGTAAACCACCCCGCAGAAGAAGTGTTTGGACTCATGATAAGAAATGACAGATCTATGTGATGCCAACCCCCGCGGGCCCGTCTCTTTCCATCAAGCGGTGTTAGCGAAGCCAGATCGCATTAAATCACATTAAATCACATTAACGGTGACGGTTAGTGTGTCATATCTAGAGGTGTCACGGATCTGATGAAAAGAGAGCCGCGGCTGTCAATCTCTCTTTGTGGAGGACGCCCCCAACCCTGACCCGGCCCGGCCGCACCATCTGGTGCCCGCGCGCGCCGGCACTGCCAGGTTTTCAAGGCGTCTTGTTTGTTTGGCATTCTGCCGCCCGGCTCGTGCGTGCACGGTCGATTCTCGGGGATTAAGGTTTCGGCTTGAAATTTGGCCGTGATTCACTGCGCCTCCGGTGTCGTCCAAACCTCTAACACAACTCTCACATAACTCGAGCACAAGATTATTTTTTCTTCACACAGCGAGATGTTGTGTCCCACCCAGCAGAATGTGCATAGCATTTCTCTCGCAAAGAATGATACCGTCTCATGTGGAGCTGCCAAGTGATCCACAGAGCTCCCGATGCCATTGTTTTCTACGTGAGAGAATCTAACTTATTCTCTTAGTAAAAGCTCCATCGGCTTGCAGTAGTTTCTCTTTTTGTGTTGTGCTGGAAAAAGCCAAAGCAAACTGCATGAATTGGAATTCTAAGTGATTGATGACATTTGATATTAAAACAATTCATATCAACGATGGTATTTTCTTTGTTCTTCCCACATAAAACTCCAAAGCAATGAGGTATTATCTCATTCAGACACTGGGTTTGAATATGTAATTCTAATTCATGCAATTTGCACATCTTTGGAAACTGTTTTTCTTTGTTGTTAAAGAAGAAATTGTTATTTTCTACCACATCTGGTCAATGTTGTTGTTCAATATTTTTGGAGGAATTTTAATGAGACATAGAGATTAAAGGGATTTGCTGAAATATCAATATTTCAAGCTTAGATTTCGTTGTTCTTCTTCATGGAAGAGTTTTGAAGTGATTCGCTCAAGGAGGGTTCATTGTAACCAAAGGAAGAACTGATATTTGGCTTTAGAATACCAACAGAATACCAACAAGTTAGAAATATTCACGCCATGTCTTTGATAAACTGCTTGAATGTTCACCTCTGCATGTAGATGGTATATTTAATTGGTGTTGTTTTGAATTGAGTGATTATACTAATACAACTACTGTATAGCATTGATTACTCATGAAGGTCGGGTGCAGAGAGGATCTCATGAGATTAGTTCCTCAGTCGAGCCGGCGGCTGTGTGATTGATTACGGCTCTCTGTGAGAGACAGGCGGGGACGGATGCATGTGGACTGTTTTACATGTCTCGCTTGCTCGCGTTGAGGTGCAAAGTGACAAGTTTGGCCTTTTAAAGAAGGTTAGCTCTCCACCAGATGAGGCGCTGGAATCACTCGCACGCAGAGAAGAGCCAGAGGTCACATGGTTCTACACCTTGACTGAAGTGTGTGTGTGTGTGTGTCCCCTGATCTCTGTAAGTGAGAGAGACCCAACGTCTCTGCTCGGCTGTACGTCCCTTTAGTCTCCCCTTAAATCATATGAAGTGCACGTGTGACCTACAAGGTTCAAAGACATCCGCACAAGCGGATTATTGCTGTGTGCTGTAATTTACAACATTATATTTATTTCCGTGATCACACATTTGCACAGGCGCACACACACACACACACACACACACGCACGGCGTGTAAACACAATGAGATCCTTCTCTTGAAAAGGTTAATTGAAGAAAGAAAGCCGCTATGGTAATGACGCTGCAGAGGGGCAGAGTGAGGCGATGACTGCTTCCCCGTGTGAAGTCTCTCGGCGGCCCTTTCTGTTTGTAACGGTCGTCATCCCTCAGCGGGCGGAGTGGACGCGCCGCAGGGGGTCCGGCTGGAAGGAGGAGGGCGGCGTGGCAGACCGCTTCCAGGCTGCGGGCTGATAATGACGCGTGTTATTTTCACGTATTCGTGTGAAGTGCAACGTTGCATGTGTGTAAAAGGAGATCCAGCGGAGAGCAGGGGGCATTCTATGCTTCATGCTGATGATTTTACTTGACGATCAGGTGCAGATGGAGGTGGTAGGAACACACAAACCTTTTTGTTAGATCCTTAATGCATGTTGGGTGTATTTAAGTCTGAACGGGGCCTTTTTAAGCTTCTTTCAGCAACATAAAGAATGGAATTCAACATCACAAGCTCAATGTGTAAAAAATGTGTAGTTAAGTGCTATTCTCACTTCAAATACACGTATTTCACAAATGCAAAAGAATTATTAATTTTTTAAACTATTTATTTGTTTTATTTGATATCTTACTTTCTTCTTTGGACATCATGCATATCTCCCAACACCTCATGAGAGCGGGTCTCCGTGGAGGGAACTGCTTTAAAACGGTGCTACGCAGCCCGCCTCCCGCTCACTGATGTCTTTGCCGCAGTGTGTTCAAATGTGGCGTGCCGCTGTGGTGAGCCGAGCATCTCCTCCTCGGCCAAAGAAGAGATGTTCTCCCTCATTTAAATCAAACACGACGGAGATCGTCTTTTCAACCAGTTCTCGATTTGAAGATGAAGACGTTGTGGAGCGGCCTCGTCACATAAACAATGTGCTGTTCTTGCATTATTGAGCACAATGATCCCACAAACAGCTGGCAGCGGCTCCATACATTACGAATTGCATCTGGTCTTGGTGAAAGTATATGACTCCAGATATATGGGGATTTCAATAAAATAAGCGTTATGCTCCTATAGCATTTTTCTTTGTTCTTTTACGCCTTCTTGACGATCGCCAACCTTCAAACTGATCGGATAAACGCCTCGACTGATTCGCGACGGAGACGGTCAAGTGAGAGCAGGGACGGCTGCTTCATTCAGTCGAGCCTTCATTCCGTGACATAAATCTGGATAAGTCCTTCTGTAACGCTGTCTAATAATCTCGGCTTCGCTCTCACAGTAACGAGATTATTGCGAGCCAGGGCCCCGCCGGCGTGGAGGAGGCAGCCTCACCCAAGGGTGCATTTTAATGGGCTTTCAAACTGCCGAGCAGGACATGACATTGCTTGTCCTCTGGTCTCCAGTACGTGACGCCAAGTCCCCTTCTTCAGCGCACTCAAGCCTGCGGCCACATCTTGATCTTGGTGCCTCGCTGGTTACAAAAAAGTGAAGTGAAGTGAATATGGAAGCCTGACCCATCCGTTGCAGTTCCTCTACTTCACCAACAGTTGTACAAGTTCTTCTTATGCTTGTGTCATAAATGTGCATCATAGATGTGACGTGACACGACTTGGCATGTGTCTCCTTCATGCTCTCGACACCACATAAAAAAAAAAAAAACCCTACTGGCTCGCAACAGTGTACATTCTCTAAGCCGCCTTTCAAAGTCACATTCTCCGGGTTCAAAGCTGTATTAGTGGTGATTTGGTGTCGGTCTGTGCCATGGGAAAAGACAGAGAGGCCTGAGCGTAATATGTTCCATGTGTGGCATGAGAGAGCGCCGTCCCCGTGACTCACGCCGATCGGGGCTTCTTCTCACTGCTCCAAAAGTTCTGCTAATCACGCTTTAATGGCTCCTCCGAGGTGATATTTAGTGTTTCTCAGCAATCGGCCTGGAGAATTTCGAATGTACAAATGACAACCAGTGACTTTCCCTTTTCTCCTCAGACGGAGAGCCGTCTGTGGGAAGCGTGGAACAAGACGGGGCACCAGGGGAACGAATGGAACCGGGCGGAGATCCCTCTGAGGAAGCTGAGGAACTTCGAGGTGATATTCGAGGGGATCCGCTCGAGCGACGTGAGCGGAGGAGCCGCCCTGGACGACCTGCAGTTCGAGGACTGCGCGCCAAGTACGTGACGCGAAGGGCACGCGCCTGTATGGAGGAGGTGTTGGAACAGTGTGGGCTGAGCCGTGACCCACCTGCCACTTTAATTATTTATGAAGTGATTCTCCCTTTGTAACGACTCCTCGCACCACTTCTATCCGTGTGTGTGTGTGTGTGTGTGTGTGTGAGCTGTTAAAAGCGCAAAAGTGGGCGGAGGAGATGGGAAATGTCTACATTTCTCGGCCCAAAATGGAGCACTGGAGTGGAAAGTTTGTGTAAAGCCAAACATCTCACCACCTGGCAGAGTAATCAGTCGCTGCTATTCAACAAACGTTCAGGCCTCTTTGTGCAGGTCACCGGTATCACCAGTGTAGCCGGACGCTTTTTAAAATGTAAAGTCACTTTACGGAGCCTTTGACAGAGTTACTTGTGAATTGACCGTCTTTGCGAGTGCAAGAACAACGTGACAAACGTGTAATAAGAAATAACAGCAATAACAAAGTGAGCTGAATGAGTTCCTCTCTTGCTATTGTACAAGCAAGATGAAACTATCCCGTGAAATTATTGCAGGATCTTTCCAGACACTTTGACGTACGACGTCGATTCCCGGAACGCGAGCGGAGAAAGAGAAGCGGAGAGCTGGCACGCGTCTCAGAGGGACACATTACTTTGTGGGAAGACGGTTGAACGCCGGTTGACGTCTGCGTGCGAGACGGATGTTCAACATTAAACGCGCAAACGTGGACACGCACACACACACACACACACACACACACATGCACCCGCTCACGCAGGGAGACGTAAACACGGAGACGTGGATCAAACGGGCCTGCGCGTCAGAACTAAGACTAAACAACGGCGAAACACAATAACACCCTCGAACATCTTGCTCCCGGTTTTAGGTAGAAGGTCACAAGTGACTGATGATAGTCGCAGGTCCGTTTATCTGCTGCAGCCTCGTATGCTGTGCCACACTGTACTGGATGAAATCGGCTGGGATTGGAAATAATTATCCTAATGGATGTGCGTACGTAACATACAATTAATGTGCTCTTTCAAGCCACCAGACGCCGGTCACGCAACAGTAATTTCACCCCACTTATCCTCGGAAAAAAAGGTAATTGATACCGCTGCACAAAGCTACCAGACTCCACGGAGAGGAGCAGTCATTTTACAGCTTCACAATAGCTCCTGGAATTAAGTTCAATTATTGGCAAAATGTCCATATATAAATATATATATATATATATATATATGATCTCCCCTCCTCCCTCCCTCCTGACAAGGCTTGATCCTGCAGAGGTGCAGAGAACAGAAACTTTTAATAAGCTGGATTCGATTGATCTAAAAGAAAACAAGCGGGTGACAGTTTTCCTCTCAGGAGTGTCGGTCCTGAAGAAGATACAAGAAGATAATATTACCTGATTGTGAACGTGTTCTTACGTTTTGTCTGCGCGTGTCCTGTGTGTTTTCCAGATGTGGTGGGGCCGCACAGCTGCCCCGCGGTCACAGACTTTGTGTGTCACAGTGGCCACTGCCTGGAGTCCCACCTCGTGTGCGACAACAAGGCCGACTGCGCCGACGGGTCCGACGAGACGGACTGCGGTGAGGAGCGAATCTCCACCGTAACTCTCGGCCCCCGGGACCTCCGACGCTCCCCGTCTCACTCTCCCGCCTCACTCTCCTTGCCGCAGAGCGCGTCTTCGACCTGCCCGGCGCCTGCAATTTCAACGCGGGTGAAAGGCGGTGGGAAGACGCCTGCCAGCTGTCTCAGGGCGCCGACGATGACTTTGACTGGACGATCGGTTACCGGACGCAGACACCGGGAGCTGGCCCTGAGGCGGACCACAGCCCCGGTTGGTACCCGCCCCGCGTCTCAGTAGTGATGCTGACCGACATCCGTTTTCAGGTCGATATTAACATGAACCAACTCTTTCTTCACAACTCATTTTGACCCACGCAAGTTTTGAGGTTGTTTTTTACAACCTTTGACCTCTCTGTCGAGGCTGAATGAGTCACCGCATCCTGTTCTGAAGGATTTGTAATGCTTAAAAACGGAATAATAATTAAATCAAAATTAAGAAGAAACAACCTCTTTGTCCTCCTCACACCCGCTAGTGTAATTACGACCTGGCAGCCGGGAAACAACAGCGTCCGACAGGAATGATGAAGCAGGGTAAATTATAATTATAGTCCAATGTCAGCTGAGTCACACTCGGCTTAGTAGTACTGGACGGGTTGTTTATCTTGTTGTGTTGATGCTGCTGTGTCAATACAGGATTTTTGTTACTGATTAAAGGCAAATTAATCTCAATGGTGTTCAGGTTAGATTTACACTCATCAACACACCTCAACGTAAACCTTCATTTCCACGTGCTTTGGAATTTGTCTTCATTAATTATTCTTTTGTACCTTTCAGTTTTTCCCTTTTTTTTTGCTGTTGATGCTGCTGCTTTATACGGCTTGTGGAAATGACTGTTGTGGTTGCTACGGTGACCTTGATAAGGAGAACAAAGGCGGGAGAATAATGAAAAATCTTCTTTACAGCATTTGCAGGTGTTTGTTTGAGGGAAACGGTGGACAAAAGGGCTCCTGGGTGCAGTATTTTGTAGTCGGGGCTCCATTATATCCTAACAGCTGTGGTTTTTCTTTATTAACTGACGACTCCACAAACAAATGGCTCCTTCAGTCCTAACGCCTCCTCGCATTGTCTGTGGGTGAGTTACAGAGTCCACACCCGTTTCTGAGGCCGTTTGGGTTTATTGAGCTGAGAGAGGAATCTGGGAGGGGGGGTTGGGGGGATTGGGGGGGGGGGTTTATGATCTCAGGACAGAGCGGATCAATAAAGCCGGCCGTCTGTAACGCAGCCGTTCTCACGAGAGAGCCGAGCAGCTAGCGGAGGTGCACACGACTCAACATGTGGACACAACATTTCTTCCTTGGCTCAGTGAATCTTCGGTCGGTGGGAGCCGAGCTTTTCTGTGCCGTGATTAAATCCTAAATCCCTTTAACTCGTTCTGGCCTCATGTGAGCTGAAGAAGCTCTCTGCGGCTGCGGGCTGCAGACCACCACATTTCACAACGGCACAACTTCCGTCTTCTGTCCAAATCTCACATATTATTGGAATCAGCCGGAGAACGTTATTGGACTTTTTTTGTTTTTGCCTGCAGCTGGAATTGAAGATTCTCATCTTTGTCTTTAATCACGCTGCAACGTTGCTCGAATCTGCCATAAACGTTCGACACATCTGATGCGTTCTGCACCCATCTCCAAAGGTGGTGGTGGGAGCTTCCTCTACATACACACGGCCAATCAGAGGGAGGGGGACGTTGCCAAGGTGACAACCAGGAATGCATTTCCAGCCAGCATCGGCCGATGTGACCTGCGCTTCTGGTTCTACATGCACGGCTCGGACAGGATGGGAACACTGAAGGTGAATTAATCCGAGCCACATTTCCATAAATAATTCAAAGTCCTTTGTGCGTTTGTTTGTGTCATTTGCGGTAATGATCCGTCGCAGTCGACCTGAAGGCTTAATTGGGCTTTTGACAGGGTTGTCTTTTCCATTTTGCCGCACCTCCAACTACATTAAACTCTGCTCACTGTCAATCACCTGATACCCACAGGAAGGGTTGAAAGCGGCTCTGCCAGTAAAAAGTGTGTCACCTCACAAACAACATCATCATTTCCTCTTTTCATGTCTTTTTTAGCTTTCCTTCTTAGCTGTGTTAATTTCAAACTTAAAAAAGTGCCACGTAATATAAATGCTTCAATTGAAATCTTTCAAATTGAGTGTGAGTCTTGGTTCAGTTAATCACACATCTTCCATGTCATTTCACGTCACCTTTAACATTCCTGTCGGTTCGCGCCTCCTCAGGTCTTCACTGTTGGACCCAGTGGCACCAGTCTGCTGATGTGGGCAGCCACTGGGAACCACGGCAACCAGTGGAAATACGCCAATGTCATCTTGTCCAACCCGGGACCTTTCAGAGTGACCTTCCAGGCGGAGGCCGGCGGAGACATGTGGACGGACATCGCCTTGGACGACATCTCCTACACCGCAGAGTGCACTGCAAAAGGTAAAAGGGATTTCTTTTCTTTTTTTGTCTCTGGTCTGTCTTTGCTCGTCCATTTGCTCTCTCGTGCTCATGCAATTTCCAACTATTTTAATTCTACCGTCTCCCACTTCCTCTTTTCTAACCTCCACACTCCTCCCGTTCCTTACAAACAGCGTGGAGCCTCGCGGTGAGTGTAGTTTGTAAATGGAGCCCGTTGCCCTTTAGGTCCATACAAATTCACTGCGGAGGCCGGCCCGGCTCTGAGGGATGAGGGACGGAGGGCAACGGAGGGGAAAAGCAATTACATTTATATTGTGTTGTTTCATCACTGCCACCCAGGCGTTCTCCCTTCAGCCCTGAACTGCTTGACTCACGCACACCTCTCTGTTTTTTTAACACCGTGCACACTCTGTGTCTTTAAACAATCCTCTGAGGCGTCTCGCCGCCGGGCGCTTGGCTGCGTGTGATCTAAAATCAATAAACGGGTATTAATGGGTCTGTAATTATGTGCTTCCCCGTGTTGCCTCAGGACAAGTGACCCCCCGGCCTCCGACCTGCGGGTTGGACCACTACCAGTGCAGTTACTCCTATCAGTGCATCCCGGAGAGCTGGAGGTGCGACGGCGAGCTGGACTGCGCCGACCAGTCCGACGAAGACTTCTGTCCCACCGTGGTGCCCGGGACTGTTCCTCCTCAGGGCCGCTGTCCCGCCGGACGCTTCCAGTGTTTGAACGATACCTGCATCCCCTCCGTGCTGCGCTGTGACGGCGTCCCGGACTGCCCCGGCGGGGAGGACGAGAACCGCTGCCGTGAGTGCATGTGCCAGGTTTTTTTGTAGTTTTTAGTTAGTTAATCTGTTTCGTAAATCACATGGTCAGTTTTTAGTAGAAGTCTGATGCTCGTAGTGATCTGTGAACACCTTCCAATCACACCTCTATATTTAACATCCTCATTTCTGCTCTTTCCCAGCTCTGCTGCCGTGTGCGCTGGGGGAACTGGTGTGTGAAAGTTGGCCCGGTTGCATCCCACTTGAGAAGCGTTGTGACGCCTCTGCAGACTGTCTGCCTTTTCACTCGGATGAATCTGGCTGCCATGGTAACGTTTTTTTAGATACCGTGCGCTGTTAGAGATGGAGCCTGTCCGTCTTTTGTTCCCCCTTTTACTACTAACGCGTAGTTTCCACTTTCATATGAGGCCACACTTAATTGTATTACATAATGCTTTGAATGGTTTAGTTTAAGTATGTCTTTTTTTCCCTTTTGCAGTTTAATTGGATGCACACCTTTCTTCTCGCTCCATATTACACTCTCATGAGTTACCAGTCACTTTTGAGTCGCGGTTTTGTTCGCGTCTGCTCATTTCCAGCCCGAGCAGTGACTCCCACGGCATTTCGAGTCTGGCTTTTCAGTTTTCAAAGCACACCTCAATGGCCGCTGCGAGCTGCCAAAATCCATTAAAACCCTGTTTGTTTTCAGGAATAAGACCAAACCTCACTTTTATAATGCATACTCTGCCAAGCCAAGGCTACTTTATGGAGGTGGAACTCAAGAGCTTCAAACATGATGATTATTGAACAGCCCTGATGACCCTCAAACAACCTGTTAATCATCAGACGTACAAGATGCAAGAAAAGTATGTATTTAAGTGGTATAATGTAGACGCTGCAGCTCTGTGAAGAGATTGATGGACGATGCTCGGAGCCCCGCGTCCCCCTGGCAACATCACTCACTGATTTCATGTTCTGATATCAGAGCTGCCACATGCCCGAGTGCACGTCTGTTGCTTGTCAGAGGAGAAGGAACTGGATGACGGCTCGTGGCAGAGAAAGACCTCGGAGGAAAAGCTTTTTTTGTGTGTATTTCTAATGAGATATTCGGCAGTGATTTATTTACGTGTGACTTGCAGATTGTCCTCGCCTGTATTGCCTGGATCGCGGCTCCTGCATTGTGGAGAAACACGGGCCTGTTTGCATGTAAGTAGAACTTCAACCACACGTGAATTATGAGCGCAGGGCAACACATTCACGCTGATGAACAAACGCAACAAAGCGGCAACAGAGTGTGTCGTCCCTTCTCCTCCCCTTGTCCTCTATCTTTCTTTGTGGGACTTAAAACATGGAAATCCGATCAGCCGTGTTTCTTTCCTTGGAAAAGACACGCTGCATGAGGCATGTGGGAGTCTTTTTATCCCCTGCAGCTTAACCGGGCTGGTTCCGCCTCCATTTATCCACCAGCACCGGGGTTCCTGGGGATCTCTGGACTCTACTGGTCAATACTTAAACACCAGCGGTCTTAGTGGGGGGAGCCACAAAACTCTCCGTACGGATACTGTGTGTGTGTGTGTGTGTGTGTGTGTGTGTGTGTGTGTGTGTGTGTGTTTCTCTTGAATCTAGTTGTCCGCATCAGCGACTTGGAATGTCCACAATGAGATATCACATTCCAAAAGTGAGAACGCCATTATGAGACTTGCTGCTGGATCCGCTAACGTCATCATGCGCCACTGAACCGTCTTCCATCTTGGTTTTCACACAACTTATTGTGTCTCATATGCAAGTGTCATATTGCTGGAAATGCAAAATGATGAATTAGATGAGAGATACATTTAGACAAAAGGAGATGTAGCAGCATTGTGTGTGGGGGGGGGGGACCTCTGGCTCAGTATTTGCATCACGTTCCTCCCACTCTGCTGAGTCCACCAAGGACCCGGGCCAGACACACAATATGTACCCTGTGAATGATAATGAAACCAAGCTGATACTGACCAGATGTTGAATTGGACCAGAGCCTCCACTCCTGAATAGAAGATCTTTGTTTCTTTCCCAGAGATGCGGCTCACCAGACGGGGCAAAGTATTTTCAATTAGTGTGTCTGTCGGTGCCGGACGTCCAGCAGAGAAATTCTGCAGCATTTGTCAAGATGTTTTTTAAATGGTTTGGGACTAAAATTGCATCCTAGTTAATAAAGATTGGGATTTATGTACTAAAAACCACAATGCCTTTAAGTACTCCCAATAAGCAGCACTAAGGAGATACTTTCAGAAGTAAGAAAAGAGCTATTGCGATTTAATTCAAGAAATATTATCACATGAATGTTTATTTTTGACTTTTTTCAAGTGGCTTTTGTCCCTGCAGCATCATTTCCACAGCATCAACGCCCTGTCTTTGCTCTATTTCCTGGTATTGGACGGCAGGTGTAATCGCGGATGGACCGGCAACCGTTGCCACGTGAAGGAGAAGCCGTCTCTCTCCACCTCCAAGCCCGAACTGGAAGACACACAGCTGGGTAGTAAAGGGTCGCCTCCCCCACTCCATTAAACTGTCCGACCTGTATTCATTTACTATTACTTTGCACACCTTGTTAATCGCTCTGCAGTCCATAAAAAGTTCTCCCCCCCGCTCCCTCTCGGTTAGACGCTGTGTACGTTGGCATCGGCATCGGGCTGCTGCTGCTCGTGGCCGGCGTCGCCGTCTGCACGCTGGCTTTCTGCAAGAAGAAGTGCTACCCGGGGTGAGTGGTGGTCGGAGCCGCGGCTCCCTGTTGATGATGAATGCGATGACCGTGATGATTCTGCTGCTGGCTCCACAGAAAGCCCGGCCCGATGCGCTGCGGAGTGATGGATACGCTGGCGTGTAGCTGGAGGGCAAAGGTCAGCGAACAGACATGTCCAATCAATCATCAGCAAATTCTGTTAGCGCAACATTTGTTTTCTCGGCTTTACAAATGTCGCTTCTCTGCCGTTCTCCTCGCTTTAATTCAATGGATGGATCCAACATTTGAGGAGGTCAGAAGGTGATCGCCGAGCCTTTTTGCTAAATCACATTTTAGAATTAGGATTATTGATTTTGGTTTCTGTGCGCTTCTGTGTGTGATTTGTACGCACACTGTAGTGCACATACAGCAGATACGCACAATAGTAACCTGAACACCTAAAATAACCGGTGAAATCTACAACTTTTTGAAACGGTCTCTTGAAACAGTCTACAAAAGCAGAGCATGATAAGAGGCTTTTAGACCGGATTACATTATACAGGTGAAGTGGTTGAAGAAGCTCACAGGTTCACAACCTGTTCAGGTGTGAGATCATTATTGAGTATTAACAAAGACACCAAAGAGGAAACATCAAAGGACTTCTGTGGAAACACATATACAACAAATAGCTCCTATTAGGAGGCAGCTTTAGATACAGAGGTGTGGGTGTGAAGCTCTTGAACGCTGAGCAGTGGAAACCCCCAGAGGTTATTTAACCTCTGGAAGATGATCACATCATTCGCGGAGGTTGGAGGTGTAATTATGGAGGCGCGGCGGTTCAGTTTGATTTCTACCTGCACTTCAGGCTGTCTTTGGCATCAGGGCCCGTCTGAGTCTAAGCCCGCGCACGTGGTTTGTCTCTCCCTCAGCTCCGCAGTCTGCACCAAAGGCCGGGCGGCCGTCCCAGAGTCGACCCCAGGGGGGGGGATGGTCGGGGGCTTTCCATCAGCGTCTACCCCTGGAGGAGGGAGGTGGAGGTAAAGGTGTATTTCACGCCAGATTCGTCTGTGCAGGATCCAGGGACTTAAGCTTTGCCTCTTTCTGTCCACGGCAGGTTTCGGCCTGCAAAGATGCCAAGCTGTCCTTCACCAACCCGCTGTACAAAACCTCCCGCCCCAGTGCCAGTAGCTCCGAAGCCTGAAAACAATGGACTTCAGATGTTGACACTGCAGTGGATCCGCGTCAATCGCTGTGTGCACATACTCGATGAGTTTGTCTTGACGTGCTGCGGTGCCAAGTGCTTGGGGAACGATGCAGAAGAGTGAAGGAAGTTCAGCTACTGCATATTGCGGCACAGTATTCGAGTATCTATTCCGACGGACATCTATTGTGATTGACGACAGAATTATTAATTATGGAAATGAACGATATGATAGATAGCACTGAACTACCTGGTACTATAGAAGGTAAAAGTTCTGCATAATGACTCATGATTGTTGAGTTTAGACGTTTAACAAATTTGTTTTTCCATATGCATACCAATACTGTACATTTTCTTTAAAAAATAAAATAAAAATTGAAGAGCTCCCTCTCTGTCTTTTATATCAGTCTTTCGTGCAAAGGCAACAAACATCCAGTTCGCTGAACTGAGAGACTCCACTGAACGCAGCTTCCAAATGGAGTCCTGACTTCATTATGGATAAGTGCAAATAAAGCAGTTTGCCCCTGTTTTATTTGCAAATTAAAACCCATTACAAGTCAGCTTCCTGCAGCTGTTCCGTGTGTGCTGTGAACTCTCTCGCTCTCTCTGAATCAACCATCGCTAAACAGATTGCTCGTACGCAATTAAACCGCTCTGATGTAAACTTGACGAGTGTTCATCAAAGATGCTGCCGTCGCAAATTCCCTCTTAAATGCTGAGATGTGCTGAAGAGAGCGTCAGTTTGTGCAGGCGGCTTCCTCTCGGCCTCAGCCAGTAATATTTGGAGTTAAAAGTTGTTGCTCCTACTTGGATTTTTTAAACATTGTGCAAACTGAACAGATTCCATTGGAAGATATTTCAACATGTTGAAGTAGTAAAAGCCCAGATGTGAATAATAGGAGGCCTACTCGTAGCTTTTATAGGGATTCAACACCCATCCCATGCAAGTCTCGCTCTCATCCCATTTATCAAAGGGCCCCAAGATAAATAACAGTGTTGCGTTGTTTGTTCCCTCTCCTCAAGTTCAGCCGCCGCACGAAGCCAAAGAGCAGGAAACACTCTGTACCGAAGATGAATACACAGACAAACAGAGTCTAGCCAACAGTAAGGGAGCAGCGATTGCCCACAGATAGCTTGTTTGTTTACTGATGAAACCTAAGCCTGCGTCATCTTCTATCGCAGTAATCTGTATTCCTAAATCACTGACAGGAATGCAGTTCAGGCGTCACAATATCTCTAATTTTTGGGCTTTTATTATGTTTTGCCCGCAAGCCTGAAATCTTTTTCTCACTGTTCATATGGTGATTATTCTTCAAGTTCGCATGTAGTTTTATCATTGTTATCCAGCCACCTTTCTCTCTTTCCACAGCTCCATCTATATTTGTCTCCCTCAACCCTGCGGCGTTTGAAGCACTACAACTGATGACCAACAACACCCCCCCCTCCCTCCACCCCTCCACCCCTCCACCCCTTCCCGCCATTCAAACAATGCCCCCACCCGCTCACCCGCTCACAGCTGACTGAGAATGTGCAGCCAGCAGTTTTTTTCTCTGGTAGCTTCGTTATTGGTGCGGTTGAATAGCGCGCAGGAGGGCGCCTGTTGTTGCTGGAGGCAGCGTTAGTCAGCCTTTTCTCGCCGGCGCTATTGTTGCGCCGCCGTTGTTCATCGAGTCCATCGGAAAGGTCACCGTTTTGTTTGCGTGCCGCTCTGAAAGGTTCCCGTAATGAAAAAACGCTCTGCGGTGACAAACCTTTTTTTGGGGGACTCTTTTAAATTCTTTATCATACATAAACTGCTCACCTGAGACCTTTCCCATTGTGGACTGTCCAGCTGCTACGGCAACATTCACAGCGACGCGCGGCCCTGTGCAGCCGGGGACCGAGGTCACCCAGCCGTCCCGCTTGAGTCAAGGTGACATTTAACCAAAGTCTGTATTCATTGCTGGCACAGCAAAGCTTAATTCTGACTTTGTGTTTTTCACCATCAAGCAGAACGTTCCGTCACTACAGACAGAGAAGCCAGTTTATCGTGAAGCGTTGCCAATTTAATGAGATTCTTGACTTGTATTATTTAAAGTTTGCCTCGAGAGATGCACAAATTAGGCTTTAGAGAAAAACTGCCGGCAGATAAATGACCTCTGTGGACTAATTTATTCTGCCGTGGACTGGAATTACAACGAATTCCTCTTTTTGATTAAACAAACTTTAAAGGGCGTTATAGGAGCACCACCCGACAACCACGAGCAGAACTGAATGAACTGGTGGAAGCATCGATGATCAACGATGAATGGGTGGAGAGCCACGGAGCAAAAAAGGGAAGGAAGCGGACCTTCTTCAAGCTTCTACTCAACGCTAAATCGTTGTTGACTTTCTGGTTAATACCATTGTGAAACTTTAAAGCAGTTGTATAATGGAAAGAGAGAAACAGAGCTGAGCTTGTTCTCCTCCCCTGGTCGCTGTTACAGAGCATCTGCGGTGACGATGCGGCTCTGCGACTCCACAAGTGGGAAGAATTTACACTCAGATCCTTTAATGTCGCTCCCGTCTCTTTTCATTCATTTCAATCGCTCCGATGCTCGTGGAGGTCACCCTGGGGGAGGTCACCCTGGGGGAGGTCACCCTGGGTCCTCCAGCCAAGCTAAAAGGTGCTCTGCATCTGTGACTGATCCTGCTCCCTGCTGCACGTGGACGGGGTTCAGGAGGAGGTCGAGAGGGAGATGAGGGTGCATTTGAGAAGAAACTGGAAAACGAGTGTGATCTTTAGAGGACTGGCTGGGCTTGTTTTTCGCTGGAGTCGTGGAACAAGGTGATTAGAGCAGCAGACTGCATGGGGAGCCTCAACTACCGGGATGATTAAAGTGCTTGGAAAGAGTTGTGGGGGAGTGAAGGGGAGCAGAGGACACTTTGGGATCTAAATCGCCGCCCGATGCTTGACTGCGTGACCTGACTGAGAGATGCAGCGCAGTTTAAATGTCCGGTTCGACGGGCAGACGTTTGATGTACCCCCCCCCACCCCACCCCCTGGGTGCACACGAGGTGTGCATAGAGCTCAAATGCCGCTGTGGGTGGTTTGATGATTCATGTGAGAAGGTGGATGTGACACCATCATGCTCAGGCGCCGCCTGAATAATCACGTCTTTTCACTCACCAGCAACTGCTTCTGAAATCTGCATGAGGAGTTTAGTCACTAAACGCGTCATTCTCAAGATTAGAGTCCTTGACAAATAAAGTAATCAAGATCCTTACATTCACAGCAATGCATTTAACCGAAAATATGTCTTCCCACAACATTTTAAGAGATTGGACATGTAATGAAATATAAATAAAGGCTGAATTAGCTGTTTTCAGTTCTTGTTTACAAAAGGGTTAGAATTATTAAAATTATTTTGATATATTTCAGTACATACTGGGCATAATATCTACTGTAAACCGTGGATTTTCCCATTCGTTAGTTGTTAAAAAAGAAAGAGACAAAGTGAAGCAGCCTCCTCACTGACACGAAGCAGCAGCCGCATTCATTTCAGAATAAATCACCGCTGCAGTCAATACGTTGTCAGCCACCTCTAAAGGTAATGGGACGGAGGTATTTTAGGGGCTGCAGGAGATAGTCGGGGGAATAGCAAATAAGTAATGGCATATTTCAATTGGGCGTGCTGTGAGAATATTTTTGTGGCCTATCTTTGGATTCTGATGACTTTTGTTTTAAACACTAAAAAAGTTGCAAACCATTGAGTGCAAACAACTAAATGTTCCATATGCAGTAAACGATAAGAGTGCTCTGCTTTTCCATGGAGCTCCTGAATTCCTACAGCGAGTGTCGTAATTAGAACGAGGATGTGATCCAAGTTATCCTGATTGAACTAATCAGTGAGGAGGAAAAAACTAAAGTCTCCAAGTCCCCCCCCTTCAATATCTGGCTGCTCCATGGAAAAGTGAAAGAACACAATCGATGTCGAGACAACAAGGAGTAGATTAAACCCAGTTGACCCCGAACTGTGATGAGATACTAACACTGTCGGGGTTGGGGGCGGAAGGCAGGACTCAAATGCAAACTTGCAGGAAACAAAAGATTTTAATAGTCAAAAGGCTCCAAAATCCAAAAGGCCAAGGGGCAAAAACACACAGGCATGAAACTACAGATCCAAGACAAACGACAAGTACATGCGTGGCAAAAGACAATGACGCGACAAGTGACACAGGAGACACACGGCTTAAATACACAAGGGAGGTGCAGGTGATTGGACACAGGTGGAAACTATTAAGACGATCACAGGGGATGACGGGACAAGGCAGGAAGTGAAGTTACCCGGGGACACGAGTGGCAGAAAACTACAAAATATAACATGAAGTGAACCACACCGTGACAAACACTTTCTTTTAGCAAACAAAAGGAATATGTAGCAAATATAACATAACCTTGGCTTATTAGGTGTGAATATGTGTCTTTATTACGCTTATTAAGCCTGCTCATCACCTTAAAATACTAACTCATTACCTTAAAGGAGAAGAAATGAATTGTAATAATAACGCGCACACATGCATTAAAACCCATATTGTGATCCGACTGGCACCTGTAGAGGGCGCCCTCCCAGTTCCATCACCTGTTTGTGACAGTGAAGTTGAGGGAGGATAAACAGAACACACAATCAAAGTAAAATAGCACAACAATAACAAACATCTGACCTCTAAACAAGCCGTACACAGCCCAGACTTCCAATAAAGCCCACATACTTAATAAAAACACTAAGCTCTGTGGTTCAACATCTTTTGTCTGCCGGCAAACAAGGTGCGTACAGAAGCAGCTCCTGAACGCATCTTCCCACATCACACAAACGCTCCTTTGGAGACACGGCGCGTCTCGTGTCCTCGGGCAAAGTCTCCACTGGCTCCTGCAGCTGGAGAAACGCGTTGTCTCCGCAGCCTCTCGTGCACATGCACACTTCTTCAAACAGAAGGAGACGAAGAAGAAGAAGGAGGAGAAGAAGAAGAAGCCATTGGCTCCGAGGAGCTGATGACGGAGGGAGCGCACCGTCTTCTCCAGGAACGCGCGCGCGCACACGCACAGTGGGATGAGACCAGACTGGCACGGACATCTAACTGGGGAACTTTGTTTCTCCTTCTGCGGGGTTATTATTATTATTCTTTTTTAAATATTCATCAGGAGGCGGAGACCTTTTGGGGACGGCCGCGCGTTTTGCACTCTCTCCAGGAGCGCGCAGTGTGGCGCACGCTGGAACAAAACAACTAAAACAAAACCGCTCCGTGCAGCGCAGGCACGTTTCCCTTTTTAAAAGCTGCGGGGGATCGCCGGAGAGTCGCGGAGTCGTGCGGGAGGAGGAGGAGGTGGAGGAGGAGGAGGAGGTGGGTGGACCAAGCGGTGTCGGTGCACGAGGAAGACCCAGAGAAATCTGCGGGCGAACTTTGGATATGGCCGGTGCCAAGACGTTCCACCTTCTCGTTGGAGTTGTTCTAGTTTTGCAGTGTTTCGGGGACTCCCGAGGCGAGACCCCAGCGAGCGACGGTAAGAGAGACCGCGTGTCAGACGCGAGCGGGACCTGAGGGGGTTCGGGCTCCGTTGCTCTTTCGTGCTCTTATTTTTAGGAGTAACTAGGACGTCGTGACCTACTATCTTCCTGTTTCGGTCTAGATCAAAGACTTTCTTTTCTAATGACCATATTTCCACAACCCGAGTTAATTGCATTCTTTCTTTTCTTCTCATTATTGCACATTAATTGGGCCACTGGGTGAGATAATGATTCCATGTTGATGTATGCGAATGTCAAACTGCAAAATGCAAATGTTTTTCAGTGCATTCCCGCTAATTCACCTGTGCGATTTGTTTCTGTCTGTGGATCAACCGTCTGCAATATTGGCCGATCTGAGATCAGTAGCCATCTCACGGTGCAGGTGCTTTCTCCGGGAGTCCTGCAGAGAAAATGAAATGCTCGATACCTGCACGCTCTTGTCCATCCTGGATCACACAACGCACTCCAACACTGGAGCACGGGGAGGACTCTCTTGTTGAACAATATCCCGACTGTAAAGTCTCCAGTGTGCGCGCCTGTAAAGTCCACGAACCTCACATCTAGTGCATCAAACACACACACACACACACACACACACACACACACACACACACACACACACACACACGCGCTCGCCCTCCGACAGGCGATGGAATAAGTTCATGCCAGCGTTGGTCGAGCTCTTGTTTCCCACAGATTTTATTGCTGGCAGCAGATTTTCATCACATGAAATGTGAAATGTTCGGCTGCCGACAGTGGCTGTAAATTAAACCTGTGTGTGTGTGTGTGTGTGTGTGTGTGTGTGTGTGTGTGTGTGTGTGTGTGCGTGTGCAGACCACAGAGTAACTGGAATGCACGGCCCCGTTTGATAGAGATGCTATCGGCCGTGTGTGTGCGCGCGCGCGTGTGTGTGTGTGTGTGTGTGTGGCCGATTGCACACACTTTTTCAGTTTTCACACAGTCATTCTCATTCCTATTCATGAATTCAGTCAATCTGATGGGCTGCTTCTGCTTTCGCAGCTGCTGCACCCTTTCGACGTCAGTAGATGTCTGGTAGAAAAGAACAGTTTGTGTTTTCCAGAATGAGGAATTGTTTTAGTGGCTGCAGATTGAGAAAAAAACATTAACACTCATTAACAAAAACGATATTTTCCTCTCGGTGCTTCAATGCTTGGTCTCCTGCTCGGACGCCGGACACATTTAGTATGTAGGACAGTATTTTTAGACATCTGGGCGAGGTGGCTGCTGTGCCATAGACTGACCTCGGCTCTGCTGTGGAGGAGCTCTTCACAGTCCTTTAATGATGAAGTGCAGGCTCCTCCGCTCCCTGCAGGTAAAATAAGAAGGCTGAGCCGTTTCAGCAGAGCCTGAGATGTGGACACTTTGGCTGTACTCATTATCCTGTGAGCTCGTGCATCTTTTTTCTTCAAAAAAAAAAGATGTATATATATATTTCAGTAAGTGGCTCACTCACGAAATTGGAGCTGCTTTGGTGGGTTTATCTGCACTCTCGTGCTTCTCTCGGAGTGTAAAAAAAGAGATGTGTCACTGAAATCTGGTGTGCGTCCGCAATAGGAGAACGAAAGGAGGGAAGGGAGCGTGAGAGAGAAAGCCTCGACTCGCGTACGGCTGCGGCGTCGTTTGAAAGCCTGCCCGCCGAGGGTTGTTAACGTGCTAAGATCGTGGTCGCGCGTGGAATTTGCTTGGGTTGTGGACGCTCGGAGGTGTGTTTCTTTGGTCGGTGGAGGGTTTGTAAGCTCACAGGCAGCGATATGGATGTTTCCTGCTCCCTCGTCCATCGTGCAGCCGGCGGCCCGCTCTGCAATCGTGCAAACGCACTTTCACATGAGAGCGTAAGCTGCACAGAAGCACGCAGGCCGGCTCACATTGCTCATCAACCCACTTCAGCAAATTAGCATATAAAAAAAGTCCAAATCCAAAAAAGTCTAAATAGTTTTTATGCTTGGCTGAGGTAGAAAGGCCTGTGGATCAATAAAACACAAGGTGCACTATGATGAAGTGTGTGATATGAGTCTATTTGGTTCATCAGATCTATGTGTGACCATCCCAGTTTTAATCATTACATTCCACTCGTGTCCCAGTTACTCCTTGTTGTAGCGTTTGTTCCCATCGCAGTCATTAAAAGTAATGACGGATTACATCATTTATGTGGGAGTTGATGATCAAAGTCGACGCAGTACGAGTCCTTCTCCCCTCGGTGGAGTTGAACGTCCGATCGAGCAGCTACCGCAGGGATGAGTCCGAACGCCAGGAAATGAGTTCTGCTTCCTGTTCCCTCGTCTCAAAGTCAGTGGGAAACAAAATGGAGAAAAGCGCTGCCACCAAAAGTGAGCCGATCTCAAACCTCACGGCTTTCAATGTTCTCTTCTCTTGAGGAATGACTCCCGACGCAAACTGTCCAAGGAGGACAAGATGGGAGGTCCTGCTCGGTGAAGAGATCGTAAGCCTTCTTGGAATCTGCCCCCCCCCCCCCCCTTTCCCCCCCTCCATCTTTCTGACATTGCACATTTCGTAACGGACAGAATGAGCTTGCCTCTTTATTTGCCCTCTGAATGACCCGATGAAAGGATCGGGCATGAATGGACGACGGGGGTTGGGTTTGTTTGAAGGAAGGAAGGGGAGGGGGGGGCACAACAAAAAAAGGCGAGCGGCGCTGACCGTCGGCGTCCGCCGGGGCGGGGGTGAGTATAGGTGCGTTCCTGGTAGGAAGACACATGGGGGCGGGGTTGCCCCCCCCCCCCCGCGTACCAGCATGCAACAGCTCCACCAGGCTCCTGCATTAGTCACGCCCCCCCCCCTCCCTCGGAGGAGGCTCAGTTGGGCGGCTTGAGAGGGACGGAGCGGCACTCGGGAGTTCAATAGGCTCCGAGACAAAGAGCCAAGAGGCCACTAGTTAATGAAACCCCGGCGCAGTTAAGCTCCTCTTCAGCTTCTCCTCGTCATTGTCCTTCATGTGGGTTCGAAGGCCGCTCCACTTCCCCCACAGCCATCCGCACTCACTTCACATCCTGTGCAATTTATCTCTGCTTATTCGGAGAGAGCAACCAAAAATTGTTGGATGTTGTGCGTCAATCACGTTTAAGAAAAGGCGGAAAGGCGGGAGCAGCGGGCTCGTCGGGGAGCCTTGCCGGATGCGGCTCAGCGAGAGATGACGAGTGTTTTCCATTCGCGATAAACGTCCCCTTTCCACGGATGATTGCAAAGCCGGCGGTAGACCACAGCCGGGCCGTTATCTGCTCCTCCCGTTGACTCCGCTGAGGGATGCTGCACTAGAAGAGATACTAGACGAAAATAGTAAAATGGCCGTTATTTAGGCGGGAGGAGTTGTATTTTCTTGTGATACCAGGAAGAAGTCACAGGCGATCCCCCCTCTGAGCTCTTTTATAAGAAATACAGCCGAATTTTATGAATATTACACTCCAGTAATTTGCCTCTTCATGATTTTTCGCTGATAAAGCATCCATGAAGTTACTTGATGTGAAGGACCAAAATCAAAATGTGCCATTAAGATTCTCTTTGGCACCTCCTCCTTTTTGGTGTATTTGTCCTTTGAAGTAAACTAATCTGGTCCATGATGATAACGGTCACACACTGATGCTGAGGACTTCTGGACAGTCGAACTGTGAGTAAACGCTTCTCACCTCTTGTGAGAGACCCGTCAGATCACAGAAGGCCTCGGAGGGGTCAAACCGGGCTTCTGCGGCTAACCTTCGTGCGCACCATTAAGTGCCGGCTATTTGTAGACCAAAGGTTCACAGTGCTGGATTTTATTGGAGGGCATAATGTGTAAAATGGCCCGTAACGGGAGTCCCGTTTGCCTTTGGACCGCAGATGTGTGGTGATTTCATGGTTCACACACAGCGAACCAGCCACTTTCTGTTTGATGGGAGGTAAAAAACCTGCAGGTGTAACAGAAAAGATTTGGACCTGCAACTATCGTGATGTTGTATTTTCCTTCTTTGAATTGCAGTAAAATTGTGTGATTTTCTGTATTTACTAGAATGTTCTGTTATTTGGCTTCACCCTCGTTTATTCTCAGCATAAACATTCAGCCCTAAAACATCGTAGTATTCATGTCGAGGTATTTGGTCTTGATTTGCTGTATATTACCCGGCCCTGCTATCGAGGTCGTTGTAAAAAAACAAAACAACACAAATACCTGCAGGCGGTTGCGCAACAGAAAACGGCTTCTGCAGATGTGCCGGCTTCCGATGCCACGAGGCGCCTGCACGCAAATGATGAAAGCGCCCGAAGACTCGATGCGCCAGCCGGAGGAAGTTAAAAGAGGCGGCACTCCGAAGGGCAGCAAAGTGTGACATGCACGGCCACCGCCAAGAGGAGGAGGGAGCCGTCCAGTCATGCTGAACGAAGATAAGGTGCTGGAGGAGCTTGCCCCCCCACGCCTCATATCCTGAGCCCAGCAGGAGCACCGGCTTGTCTTTGTCCCACAATAGCAAGTGTCAGTCACAGGGTTTACAGCGTGCCGCTGCATGCCTGCGCCTACATGTGCCGCTGCGTGTGAAAGTTTTCTCTCTCACACTGTCAGCTCGCTCACACGTCCTTTCATTGTTGCTTTCTTGATTTGAGCAGCGAGTGAATACACCAGGTCCGCATGTTGATGTTAAGACGAGTTCCAAGCCTCAGGGAAAATCGGATTCGGCCGTATTCTCCGGCATGTTTTGATTTGATTCCGTGTCTTATTTTCTGATCAGATATTAAAGTCTGGTGGAAACACTTTAGAAGAATGTCTTGTTTTGTTAAAACAAAATCTGGCTTTTGCAAGGTTCCTAGCGACTTGCGTTATTGGATAAGTATTATTTTGGCATCTGTACCGGTATTTCAGATTTCAGAAGGGAACTTTTCCAAAAACCCAAAATCTGTGTGTTTGGTTGGATGTTAGCTTGACTGGCTCCCTTTCCAAGGCCGAGGCGTGTCTCATAATACTCTTCTGTAAGGTAAAACAAAAAAACTCCCT